AGAAGGAGCGCCCAGATATATTCCATCTTAACACCAGACCTTGGATTAATAAAGATATTGCGATGTGTGTAATTATTCGAAATGTTGACCCTTTGTGGGGGAGGTACTAGACCGGTATCGTCCATTTTCGCGTCTGACCTAGCACTGACGCAAGTATTAGAATTTGCAAAGTTAGAGCAAAATCGGATTATCCATTCTCTTCCTGTGCAGTTAATTATTATTATTATTATTATTATTATTATTATTATTATTATTATTATTATTATTATTATTATTATTATTATTATTATTATTATTATTATTATTATTATTATTATTATTATTATTATTATTATTATTATATTATTATTATTATTATTATTATTATTATTATTATTATTATTATTATTATTATTATTATTATTATTATTATATTATTATTATTATTATTATTATTATTATTATTATTATTATTATTATTATTATTATTATTAATTATTATTATTATTATTATTATTATTATTATTATTATTATTATTATTATTATTATTATTATTATTATTATTATTATTATTATTATTATTATTATTATTATTATTATTATTATTATTATTATTATTATTATTATTATTATTATTATTATTATTATTATGATTATGATTATGATTATTATTATTATTATTATTATTATTATTATTATTATTATTATTATTATTATTATTATTATTATTATTATAATTATTATTATTATTATTATTATTATTATTATTTTTTTTTTTTTTTTTTTTTTTTTTTTTGTGGGGAAGTCACCAGAAGAAGTGGACCGATATTGCCCATCTCCAAATTCGACCTAAACTTGATAATAATATTGCGATGTACCAAGTTTGGATCAAATCGGATACTTCCTTCGAAAGTTATCGTGTCCACCAGCCAGAAGACAGACGGGCGGACTGACATCGCTAGATCGACTCCAAATGTCCTGAAACAGATTTGGTCCAAAGAGACCTAGGATCTAAAACCGTTATTTCAATGAAGTACATTTTAACCATATCAAGTATATATACCCTCTCTTGCCATATGGCTGGCTGGCTCTCTAATAATATGACATTTAAAATCAAAAATAAAAATATAAAAAATATATATTTTTTAAATAAAAATAATTATTTATTTTTTATCAATATCTGGACTTAACATCATTTTGCATAAAATGCCTCATTTAAATAAACATTAATCTGTCATTCTCTGCAAGGATTGCTTTTTTCTGTTGACCTATGACTGCACTTCATTTCATTTATTTTTAAAACAGCTTGAAGGTTAATTCGTTGCATATGGCTGTATATGTATGTGTAAATGTGTGTGTGTGCATGAATATTTACGCCACCAATCGGCAGCAAATAATGAGTAACGGAAATGAGCTGTTGTTAATGTTAAAAGGGGAATTCCAGGTAATTACATTGCATACTTTAGGGAGTTCACAACATAATGACCAAATGGCTGTTTTACAGCGAACGTATGTTATGGCAGAGGCACGGTAATGGTTAACAGCGAATGCGCAAATTAACTTAAAAAATTAATTCTGAAAATAAGAAGCTCCAAAAATTGGACCCTAAAATTGCAATTCAAATTTTGTTTATTTTTTTTAAATTTGTTTATTTATTGTTTATACTGATTTTCATAAATCAAGTGCAGTTAAATGGCGAAATACCAATACGCCAAATATTTCCTCAAAAAAATAAACCCGTTCAATGTGTAAAATTCGATAAGACAACTAAAATACAAACTAAATAAAATTGGTAATATTAAAAAACCTCATTGCAATAACCAAAATCAGATCTTAGCATAAACATGCAGACATACGTACATTGACATATTTCATAACACATATACGTTAATACATACACCCATATCCATTTGTCCTAAATTTTAGCTAATTCTGTTCTCAGTACACGCCGTTGCTGCTGATGCTCTTCCGGTTTGCTCTTCTCTCCCTCTCTCACTCTTTTCCTCACTGTCGTTTATATTACAAGTAGAAAATTGGCTCAAATTACGAGTATTACGATTATTGCAACGGCAATAGGCAAATCTAAAGCCAGCTAAACGGACTGCGACACAGTTGCAAATGATGAAATTATGAAGAGACCGTTAATACTAATGTTTGCAACGAAATGTAATTATTTTATAATTGCAATTTTAATTGCTACAAACTTACATGTACACAACACCCCTCTCCCCACTCACTCTCTCACACACACACACCAAGAGACATTTACATTTGTACCCACAAATGAGACTAATTCTCTAAACAATACGCACATTATGAATGATGATTACAAGTACGACTTTTTTCCAAATGCAACTCGTATTGTTGTTAACAACAAAATGACATTTTTTTCTCTCGTGCGGGTGCAACATAATGTATAGCTGGGGTCAATAAAATAGCATAGATTACGAAAATTTGTAATAAATATACTTTTTTTCGATTTTAGTAAAATATAAAAAAATTGTAACATTGATCTTATCATGATTCAAATACAGTCGTTATTAATAAAATAGCATGGTTTTGAGAAAATTAAGAAATTTTGGCTGCATTTTAAATAATTAATTGATCGGTCACGAACTTAAACTTTACCGAACTCTTCTCTCACAATAAAAAAAAAAAATGAAAATAGTATTCAGTTTTTATACCCATACATACTCATTATATTAAGTTCGTCACTCCGTTTGTAACACATCGGAATAATAATTTTAGACATAACAGAGTATATACAGGGTGAGATGAAAAAACTGCAACCAACTTCAGACTGCTATCATTTCTAAGCCACACATCCGACAGCTGTTAAAATTATTCCAGTGAGAGCTCATTATTTTGTTCACAAGCATACTAAGGCATTTTGGTGAATATTTTCCAGAAAAACTGTTATTCGTGATGGAATTCAAGCGTGATAGTGTGATTATTTTATATTTGGCTAGAAAACCACAAGTGGCTATCGTCAGAGCACTCCAGCATTTAAATGTGAATAAATATTTTGTGTCTCGTAACATCGCTCATTTCCGTGATACTCGTAGCATAGCCCGATGTCAAGGAAGTGGACGGAAGAAAACATCAACATCAGCAGAAATGGTGCAAAAAGTAAAGAAGCGACTTGATCGAAACACGCGTCGCAGTGGGCGAAAAATGGCTCGTGAGCTGAACATATGGCAATACTCCATTCGGCAAATATTGAAAAATGAGCTCGTGGTAAAGCATTTGAAATTCCAAAAGTACAAGATTGTTCACCGCAACAGAAAAAAAACAGACTCAAAAGAGCTAAAGAGTTGCTTCGCTTGGCTGAAAGTGATGAACTGCAGAATTAGTAAACAAACAAATTATCGTATTTACGTGCCAAAGAGAACAGCTAAATATATACAGCTTCGGTTGGCCATCAGAACTCAAGCGCCGGCCATCGTGATGGTGTAGGCCGCCATAACAGCCGATGGTCGCTCACCGCTCGTATTAATCGACCGTGATATAAGAACAAATGTCGAATATTATCGCGAAAATATTCTGGAGGGTGTATTAAAGCCTTGGGCACGCAAACATTTTGGCCACAGACCTTGGACATTCCAAAAGGACTCAGCACCATCACACTCAGCACACCCCACCGAAGAATGATTACAAAATGAGGTTCCTCTCTTCAATTCCAGCGTACAATGGCCACCAAAATCCCTGGACTACTGTGTCTGGAGTATTTTGGAAAGCAAGGTTGGTACTAAAAAGTACCAAAGTGTCGTTCACCTCAAGCAAGCGCTTCGCGGGGAATGGGCCAGAACACCGCGGAGCAACATTCGGGCAGCGTGTGACGGTTTCATTGGCCGTTTGAAGGCCATAATTCGCGGTAACGGTGACCAATTCGAACAAATCTAAACTTATTTTAATTTTTTTTTTTTAATTTATTTTGATGTTATTTGAAGGCTCTAGGCCTGTGATATGAAATTGTCTATACAGGTACAGGTCTTTGTATAGCCCTGATATAACGAGAACTCCCTATATTTTGATGTTTATAGCGACATTATTAACTGGATTTTTTTTCTAAGTTTCGTATTTGAATATTGTCTATTTATAATAGCTATAGGACCTATGCAGGTCCACGTCATCGTATTAATCCCTATATTAAGGCTATATTTGGTAATTTTATGATTTTAACAAAATTTTTAAAGGATTTTAGTTTTTTTTTCGAAAATTTCAATTTTTTTTTTACTTTACTTTACTTTACTACATTTTAAAAATTTAATGTTTTTTCAACGGAATTGGCTAATACTGGTACTTCCCTCAATGTGTAGATATTATGGCTGTGATCTCAGACGATATGTTTTTTCAACGGAGGTCCTTTTTTGCGACAGAATTTAATTGCTCCAATATTTTGGCCACATCAATTGGGCGCCACGAAAATGTGAATTGGTGTCTTTGGGAAACATTTTTTTAAACCTTCCACCATAGCAGAATTTTTTGCGACAGAATTTAATTGCTCTGTTATATAATGTTTTGGCCACATCAATTGGGCGCCACGAAAATGTGAATGCTATATGAATATGCCTAAATGTAACATCAAGCATCCCACTAAATGATGAAATGTAAGCTAATAAGTAGTGGTATTTAACAATGCGCTAATAACGTTTATTAAAACCAGATGAGATTTATAACTCATACCATAACATAAAACCATACACACATAGGCACATGCAAATAACATATTTTCTCAAACACACATATGTTAATAATAAGCCATCTCTCCGCTCGGATGAGAGTGAAATTCTGTTGTATTTAATCACTTGTTGGCATAAAATGCCAATGACAAATTAGCAATTACATACATTAGTGAGCAGTTAGAAAACATGTTCATGTATTTGTGTAATTCCTTGAATCCTTTGCCAAGGAAAATAACATAACAAGGCTGCCACGCTCTTGTGTGTGTGTTTGTGCATAATGAAATAGAATGTGCATAGAAAAATATAATTGTCTGAATATAATTAAACAACGACAATGGCAAATAAGTGTATTTAATTTTATAGAACAATTATTAAATCATGTGTACATAGATGTATTGTTTAACATCGAAAATAGAAGAAATCATGTAATGACGTGTAAATAAGGATTGTGCTGTGATGATGTAATATAACATATCATGTTAGACAACGACTTAACAATAAAACAATATAACAAATATTTATTAAGCTATACTAAACAAAGGCAATAGAGGCCTTGGGTATGTGTTTTGTGTGAATTATCTCTTAGGTCCTGGATAATTTATCCAATGTTCACCATTCAAACGACCAAAATCCCGTTGTTGCTGCTCGGCGCGCCTCTCATCCTGCTTGCCATCTTCACCAACACCAATGCGTTCGATGAATTTTTCACCACGAAAACCATGTGTCTGCAAATATTATTTAAGAAAATGTTTTTAATTAGTTTCAATGTGTAAATGAATAAAATATAATGGGTTACCTCATAATATATGGCTCGAGAGTTCCTGGCAGCCTCTGGATCAAAATTCCAATCGGTTCTCTCATGCAATACTGGGGCACCGGCAACGTTATTGGATAATAAATCGGAAATCAAACGATAAACAAAGGCATCCGATGTATGGCATTGGAAAAGCAACACCAAGAGAACCTGTACACGAAGAGTAATAATTTTGAGTTTTAAAATATATCCTTATTAGTAATTAAATACAATAACGGCAAATAAAACGTCTTGTTCAAAAAGCTATTATTTTTCTGTTTTATTGAAATTTAAATTTAATGGTTTCCGGTTTGACATTCTCAGCAAACCAATGCACTGTAAATTTGAGGGAAATTAGAGGCAAAATATACAAAATTGGGCAAATGAGAATCTTCAAGCGATTGTGTGGGACCATCGGCCTGTAATATTCAACAAAAGGTGGCATATTTTGCAAATTCAATTGGGCGCCACATTTGTGTTAAAGCCGATGTAGGGCCCAATATAGGTGTTTTGTTTAGACAAATCACTTGGGCACCGCGATTAAGTTTGGCCACTGTATTGTTCGACAAAATGTTTGTCAAATTGGACTGTATAGATCTACAAAAAGATGTGTAATATTCTGGCAAAATCTTTTTGGGCGCCACGATTGTAGGACAGCCAATGCATCGGTAAAAAGGTATGGCTTATGAGTATAGGGCCATCGGATCGTTCTATTCGACAAAAGGATGTGTCATGTTTTGGTAAAATCAATTGGGCGCCATTATTGTAGAAAAGACTAAGCAATATCATTTGGGCGCCACTACCATTGCATCACCGATTTTTCTATTTTTTGGGCCATTGGACTCCACTGTTCGAAAAAATAAGGATGTGCTAAGTCTTGGCAAAATCAGGGTACACTAAATGCATCATGTTTTGACAAAATCAGTTGGGCGCCACGATTGTGGAAGCACTTATTTATCTTCAAAAAGTTCGAATTATGGGTGTGAGGCCATTGGCCTGTACTGATCGACAAAATAATGTGTCATGTTTTGGCAGCGTTCGAAAATGGAGGTACTGTACCGTAGTGTTCTGTACCGTTCCGACGTGGAGTGGTACACTAAGATAATGTATTTTAGTGATACTGTACCGGAACACAACGATGATTGTAGTGTACCGCCGATTCATGTACAGAGAGTACGAGTTATCACTATCGTCCATTGAACTATTCTCTGCGACAAAATAATATGTTATGTTTGGGCGCCACTATTTTGGGATCACCGATTAATTTACAAAGAGTGCAGGTTGTGCATATGGGGACATTGGACTGTAATACTGGAAAAATAATGAAATACAGGGTAAGATGAAGAAACTGAAACCAACTTCAGACTGCTGTCATTTCCAAGCCACTCGTCCGACAGCTGTTAAAATTATTCTAGTGACAGCTCATTATATTGTTTATAAGCGTACAAAAGCATTTTGGTGAGAATTTTCCAGCAAGAAGTTATTCGTGATGGAATTCAAGCGTGATAGTGGGATTTCTTTATATTTGGCTGTAAAACCACAAGTGGCTATCCTTAGAGCACTCCAGTATTTAAATGTGAATAAATCGTTTGTGTCTCGTACCATCGCTCGTTACTGTGATACTGGTAGCCTGACATCAAAGAAGTGGACGGAAGAAAACAGCAACATCAGCAGAAATGGTTCGAAAAGTAAAGAAGCGTCTTGATCGAAACTCGCGTCGCAGTGGCCGAAAAATGGCTCGGGAGCTGTACATATCGCAATAATCCATTTGGAATAATTGAAAAATAAGCTCGGGGTTAAGCCATTGATATTCCAAAACGCGCAAGAACTTACACCGCAACATAAAGAAAATAGACCCAAAACAGCTAAAGAGTTGCTTCGCTTGGCCGAAAGTGATGAACTGCCGAATTTGGTTTTCTGCGATGAGAAAACATTCGTGGTCTAGCAGTTTGTAAACAAACAAAATAATCGTGTTTACTTGCCAAAGAGGTCAGCTGAAAATGTACACCTTCGGTTGGCCACCAGAACTCAAGCGCCGGCCATGTTATTGGTGTGGGCTGCCGTAACAGCCGATGGTCGCTCTCCGCTCGTATTAATCGACCGTGGCATCAGAATAAATGCCAAATATTATCGCGAAAATATTCTGGAAGGTGTATTAAAGCCTTGGGCACGCAAACATTTCGGCCACAGACCTTGGACATTCCAACAGGGCTCAGCACCATCGCACTCAGCACGCGCCCCCAGGAATGGTTACAAAATGAGGTTCCTTACTTCATTTCTAGCACACAATGGCCACCAAAATCTCCGGATACCAATCTGACTATTGTATCTGGAGTATTTTTGAACGCAAGGTTGGCATTAAAAAACACCTCAAGCAAGCGCTTCGTCGGGAATGGGCCAAAATACAGCAGAGCAACATTCGGGCAGCGTGTGAAGGTTTCATTGACCGTTTGAAAGCCATAATTCATGTCAAAGGTGACCAATACAAATCTAAATTTATTCTAAAATTTGATGCTATTCCGACATTTTTTTGCTTTCATTCAATAAAATTAAAAAAATGAAAAAATTATGGTGTTTGACTTTGTTGCAGTATTTTTATCTCACCCTGTATGTGTATGGGTTCATTGTACTGTACAGACACACCAAAGATGTGTCATTTTTTGACAAACTCAATTGGGCGCCATGGTTTTAGGAAAGTCAATTCAATTGGACTGTACTGAATAATGATTTTTTTTTTGAAAATTCGTTTGGAAAGGGCTGTGGAAAGGACTGTTCGACAAAACAATATATAGTTTTTTTGCGTTATCAATTGGGCGCCAAAAATGTTAGAAAGCCCATGAATCTACAAAGAGTATGGGGTTTGAGTGTGGAGACATCGGTAATATCAATTGGATGTCATATTGGTTTGGTTCCGGACCCTTTAAAAATATTTCTTTGGCCATAAACAAAGCAGAAGGGCTCGAAACAGGTCGAAAGAAAAACTTTTGAAGAATAAAGGGACAGAATTTCTCAAAACATAACAGTATTTAATTTAACTATAAATCAACAGATGGAAGTGTCGATCAAGAACCTTGCATAACATTTCCCATTTTATGTTGTGGGAAAGAGTCGAGTGGTCACTTATTTTGTTGGGTTCCGATGTCTGCACACTCAAATCCCGTACTCATTGTGGATTCATCGGTTTTCTAACGTTTTTGCCACCCAATTGATGGCGCAAAAAATTATACATAGTTTTGTCAAACAGTATAGTCTAGTGGCCACAGGCTTTTTCAACCGAATTTGCCAAAAAAAAAATATATACATCATTAGGTCGATCAATACAGTCCAATTGAAGTGACTTCCCTAAAATCATGGCGCCCAATTGATGTTGTCAAAACATGATACATCTTTGGTGTATCTGCACAGTCCAATCGCTCCAAACACATTACCGGTACTATTTATAGTGAATCGGTGTTTTCACAATCGTGGCCTCCAACTGATTTTGTCAAAACTTAATACATTTTTGGGGTATCTGTACAGTCCAATGGCCTCAAACACAAAACCTGCACTTTTTGTAGATGAATCGGTGATACAACAATCGTGGCGCCCTATTGCCATTACATGGCACTTCCTTTTGTGGATTGATTCGATCATAAACGTTCAATTTGTTTGTACAAAAATTGGATTGGATTGGAAATAAGATTAGAGGCCACAATTTATCGTCGGCTATGCCATCATTTAGGCACATGCAAAATATAAAATTGCGATCTTCAAAACTCCTCAAATCGTGCGATTGCATTATTGTAACATAAGTCAAAAGTTGGTCCTTTTTTGACAATGTCGTATAATTATGTTGATAAGAGCGAAGGGAACCTGTAACAATATAAAATAGCTAAAATCGCAATTAAAAACAGAATACATTCGTAAGAATCGTAAATATTTGCACATAATAATGTGCTAACGAAAATGAGTCAAAAATATACCCGTACTCACAGAAAACGCTCTGAGAAAACAATTATTTTATTTCAAAACAAGTAAGCAAAGGCTATAGTAGTGCGGGGCCGACCATGTGATACCCTACATCACAACAATATGTTAGAAGCCCCCTCATGTCCAAATCCATTTTGGAAGATTTCACTTTTGAAATTATGTCACGGAGCACTGCCCAGATATTTCCCTTAACAATTTGACAAGGGACATTTGCCCAATATTTACAGCTACATATAACCCAAACGTCATCCAAAATGCTAGAATTCTTCCCTGTCCTCAACTCTTTTCTTAGGCGTGTCGATTGGCTTCAATTGTGTGATCGGGAAATTTTTTCTTTTTTTTATACTTTTATGCCAAGAGGTCATTCTGAATTGACAAAATTTGTTAAAATCGGTCCAGCCATTCGTGAGATATAAGCATTCTAGCTAACATCCCATTCCTTTGTATATATATATATAGTTTGTTTCCATAAACATATCTCAACAGATTTGGACCATTTAAAATCATTATTATTTTATCTTTGCTTTACTCCAACGAATAACTACACATTTTAGCCCTCTTAAAAGGTAATAGCACACACAATGACCGTAATAACCTCGCCAGTGGCACATATTTATCTTGCATTAACTGGTTATAACAAAAAAAATTGCCTTGAATTATTATTTTTTCATTTCAAATTAAAAGATTCAATGATCACTATTTTTTTCTTTTAAAATAACGCTTTAATTTAAGTTTTAGATAGGGATTTCTTTACGACATTTTTTTTTTGTCAACTCACACAGCTGGTAATTAGTTTCATTTTTGTTCAGTTTTTTTTTATTTTTTCGGATAAATTGCAAAATAATAGTTGGTGGCTTGGTAAGTTTGTTATGCCCACTTTGATCCACACTTCTTGACTAAATGATAGCCAATTCGGTAAACTTGCTTACAGCCGAGTTTTCATAACAACAAAACAATAACTGCACGGACAGGTGAGTTGGAAGGTATATTGGTTCAATTAAGAGCGGATTTCATAATAAACGAAACTTCATCTCATAATTGAGATCAATCGAAATTGAGACATAAACTTTGCACACAGACTCTTTGCAAGAGATCTCTTTACGTTTAAGAGAGTGCTAAATATTGATTACAAACAACTGGTTTTTGAATTAAAAGAAAAAAAAAACAACAACAGAAGTTAGTGGCACAATGTAAACAAACAACTGAAACAAGGAAGTTTTATTTGTGTTCATTTATAATTTTTTCTTGCTTTTTTTTGCTTTTAGCTTGCCGGCCTAAATTGGTAGGCTGAGCATGCGCTCTCCGCTTCAGTGATTCTTAATAATTTCCATTAATGAAATGAAAATTTGAAGCTTGAAACTTGGTCAATGTATGCCTTGTTATTTTTGTGGGTAGGTGAGCAATTAATTTAATAGTTTCAACAATTGTCTAATAGTTGTTAGGTACTTAAATTAAACTATTTGTTTAACACTAATTCATTGACCTTTGAACTTTTGTGAGCAATACGCATAATATTTGCCGTAGTTAGACTTTAAACCGGCATACACATCTTATGTATAGACCGATCAAATTATACCCTACATCAATGAACTGCAAATTTAAATATGAAAAATATATAAACGGCAAAATGTCAGAACGAACCGGCTTCTGTATACCCTTCGTTATGATAAACAAGTGAAATAGTGTCAGTCGTTATGATTATTCAAATTGTTGAGCCTTTTAGTGGGGGGGTGTTCTCAAGCAGTTGGCCACAATTGACCAATTCGTATCTGAACCAAGTGTAATATAAATATTGAAGTGTGTCATATTTGGCTATATCGACTACTTCGTATACTTTTTACAAAAGATCTTGTGTTGATGGAAAGATTGAGATGTGCCAATGCTTATTTCGGATTTTATGGTCGTTTTTTTTTTTTTTGAACTTTGAACTTTGTGGGGGGAAATGGTCCGACCTCTACCATTTTTATAACAGGTCTTGTGTTGATGAAAATATTGAGATGTGCTTAGCATAAATGGAATCGGATCCTAATTTCGTGTTTTATAAACTTCATGAATATTCAAAATTTTGACCCTTTGTGGGGGAGGTACCAGAAGGTGTGGACTAATATATCTTTACACCAAACCTTGGGTTAATAAAAATATTGTAATGTGTGTAATTTGAAGAGAACCGAATGCTTATTTCCGATTTTATGTTCGTTTTGGTTATTCCAAACTTTGACCCTTTGTGGGTCAGGTACCAGAAGGAATGGTCCTATCTCTACCATATTCATAACAAATCTTGTGTTTATGGGAATATTGAGATGTGCCAAGTCTGAATGGAATCGGATGTTTTATGTTTTATGAGCTTCATGAATATTCAAAATATTTAACCTTTGTGAGGGAGGTACCAGAAGGAGTGGACCGATGTATTCCATCTTTACACCAGACCGTGGATTAATAATAATATTGTGATGCGTGTAATTTGAAGACAATCGGACGTTGGGCTGTTCGGAAAAATTATGAGTCTTTCATATACCCTCCCTCCACCATAACACAGATTAATATTGTCACGGGCCGAACTTTTAAATGCCCTACACCATTTGGAAGGAAATTGAAAAATTGCAAAAAAATCTATATGAAGACGTTGTCACAAACTAAAAATTCCGGTGAATAATGTCGCTAAAATCATCAAAGTACCGAATATCGGGCATAGTACTACCCGCTACGAACTTTGAATACGAAATTCGAAACAATTCCGATGAATGGTATCGCTAAAATAATCAAAACACTTAATATCGAGAGGTACCGTTATATGGGGGCTATACGAAAACGTGAAGCGACATGGCCCATTTACGAACTTAACCGGCCTACTGGAAAAACACAAATTCTGTCTCAACTCGTTCGAAGGTTAGGGTGATTACAACAGACAAACATACAACACTAAATTGTCTTAAAAATTTACGCTGATCCAGAATACTTTGTAAGGTCTACAATGAATATTTCGAGGAGTTACAATCGGAATGACAAAGCTAATATACCCTCCATAAAATGGTGGAGAGTATAAAAAATTCCATGAGAACATCGAAAAATCGGTTCTATAATATCAAAAATACACCCAAAATTAAGAGCTTTACCAACATTTTAGGAAACGTTGCAAATTTTTGGGTGATTGATATTTACAACATAAACTGCCAAGATTCCCTAGTTTCACAATTTTAGTCATATGTTTGCCGTTTTTCTGAAAACTACAAATTTGTTTGAATTTCTCACTCATACTGACGAATAAAACAAGTTCCCTTAAATTGACAACAAAAAAAAAGGAGGTTGCGTAATACACAGCTTCAGCATTGCATGTTTAACGTCATTGAAAGAAAGTATATGCATGCGTTTTTGCAAACTTCAGGCACTCACGCAAAGCATATATTATGAAAAATAAATATTTACATTTTAGAGATACGAGGGTTTATTAAAACAGGTGAATTGAAAATAGAGTTATCATCAGTTCTTCGCACATCATGGTTCATAACATATTCCGAATCGAAATTCAGGGAATTTTTTTTAAAACCAAACAACTTCATTAGCTGATAATGAAGTCATTGCTGAAGTCATTGCATCCTAACCTTAATGTCAAAGCTACCTTCAATTTGATGTCTCTTTAGTAGACTCTGCTGAAACCACCATCGTCTTTTTACACAAAACCACAGAAAAAAAAACTGTGGCAAACATTAGTTCAACTTCAGCTTCCTCAATTTGCAATGGAGACAAAATGTAATGGTCTTTGCGCATGCGTAACTTTATTTTTCCCCAACGTCCCACACACCATTACCAAGAAGTCATTATTACCCTACACAGACATCCCAGAGAACTCGCAGTTCGTTTTAATGAACGTGATCATGATCACGCTGTAAAATTTTGCCATTGTCAGTTTAATTTTCGTTAAATATACAAATGTTTTATTATTTAGATATTTACCAAATAGAAGTGTGTATTTTATTATTATTATGATACCAAGCGAATTGTCTCGAAGGTCTTTTCACGGTTTGTAACTAATACCATGACATGAAAATCTGGGGAGACACCCAAGTGATTTACTGCATACAAGAAAAAAAGAGACTTGGAGACAACTCAACTGAGCATAACATTTATGAGAGCTAAAGACTTTTACTTTTATTTGAGTTGCAACTTGTAAGAGTAAAAGAGAGTTGTCAATATGCACTTAATTTCGAAGAGAGTTTTGACTTTGATTATGCCTACATTACGACAGAGAAGAATGCTGTGCTATGGAATTGGGGATATAAAAATTGTAAAACGGTCATAAGAAATTTAACTTAGAGAGATTTAAATATTAAATAAATATTAACTTAAATTAAAGAAATTTAAATTTGACATAAATTTTGAATATTGCAAGGTAACATTAAATGGCGAGTATGCGAGTATAGTTAAATTTTCCGTCATATAAAGTGGTACCCATTTCGAACTCCGAACGAGGGTATAACTTACTTTCGATAAAGTTGGTATGGGACGATTTGGAATATTTTAATGCTTCTCACCAACCTTCTTCAACCAAATAGCTCTTTTTATTTATACCCTCCATAAGTCATTATTCCGCTTGTAACTCCTCGAAACACTCATGTCAGACCCAACTAAGTGTATATACAGGGTGAGATAAAAAAACTGCAACAAAGTCAAACGCCATAAATTTTACATTTTTTTTAATTTCATTAAATGAAAGCAAAAAATGTCGGAAAAAGCATCAAATTTTAGAATAAGTTTAGATTTATTCAAATTGGTCACCTTTGGCATGAATGATGGCCTTCAAACGGCCAATGGAACCATCACACACTGCCCGAATGATGCTTTGCGGTATTTTGGCCCATTCCCGGCGAAGCGCTTGCTTGAGGTGATCGACACTTTGGTACATTTGGCACATTTACAACTGACCTCTTAAGCAGGTAAACACGATCATTTTGGGGTAAGTTCTTGCACTTTTTGGAATTTCAATGGTTCTACCCCGAGCTCATTTTTCAATATTTGCCGAATGGAATATTGCGATATGTTCAGCCCACAAGCCATTTTTCGCTCACTTCGACGCGGGTTTTGATCAAGTAGCGTCTTTACTATTCGAACCATTTCTGCTGATGTTGTTTGTCTGTTTTCTTTCGTCCACTTCCTTGAAGTCGGGCTACGCTACCAGTATCACGGTAACGAGCGATGGTATGAGACACAAAAGATTTATTCACATTTCAAATGCTGCAGCGCTCTAACGATAGCCACTTGTGGTTTTCCAGCCAAATATAAAGAAATCACACTATCACGCTTGAATTCCATCACGAATAACTTTTTTCTACCAAAATGCTTTTGTACGCTTATAAACAGTATAATAAGCTGTCACTGGAATAATTTTAACAGCTGTCGGATGATTGGCTTAGAAATGACAGCAGTCTGAAGTTGTTTGCATTTTTTTCATATCACCCCTTAAGTCAAGAATATTTGAAATTACTTTTACATTAGAGTTCTCTGCCGTGAAAAATAATATATTTCACTTTAAATTAATGATGAAAGCTCATTTTCACGACGAAGATCGTATGTCACAATAAGGCCTTATAGTTCCTCTGACGTTGCTTATATATTTGCTTATTTAACAACAAATCCCAGGAAGCAAAATAGGATCTTAAAATATTGAATAAGAGATCATCTAAGAGTCAGCTCTTTAAATTTGTATAACATTTCTCTTTACAAGCCTCTCTTTTCTAACACTTGCATGCTTGTTTTGTCAGCATGAAAAATTAACACACGCTCAAGACATTTGAACACAAGTGCCAACTAGTTTCGGTTGTTTGCTCTTTAACTTAATTTTTGTGTAGTTGTAATTTGTACAATTGCATGCTCTGTTGCCTGACACTACCGACACGGCTTGGGACCACGAATAAGACACACACACAGATACAAAAACGAGCAAGCAGAGCCAAGCAATTGTTTGTCATCAACAAAATGATAAATATTCAATTTTTTAGTCACAACTTGGACGAGCTTAAAAACGGTTATAAATAAAAGTCAAACGCTGAGGCAAAAGAAATAACGTCTTTTTCCAGAAACAAAATCCAAATAAGGGAACGATTTTTTAATAATAAGGGAATAACAAAAAATTATATTAACAAAATGTTCAAATTGGGCATACTCCTATTACCTGTAAGTGTGGAATTGCAGAAAATTAAAAAAATCTCTAAATAAAGTAAAAGTGTGGGTAAAGTGTGAAAATCTTTGAAATTAAATAAAATTCACACCTTTTCGAAAGAAGTGCTTATGTACCACTTTAATAAGTGAAGCTAATAACAATTGCAATTAGTAAGAGTTTAAAGAAAAAATCATGAAGTATTGAAACTTTCTTTAGCATGGCATCAATTTCTAAAATGTCTTCAACTAAAAAATTGTCGTCGTTTGCCAAACAACCAACACCTCTCGACTTTCTTTCGTTTTTTTTTTTTATTTGTTTAGCAGCAATGCGGCAATTAGTTGTTATTCTTTAACTACCACTCTTGGTTTCGTGGGGGGGAAACATTAAAAAGCACACACACACAAAGTTTGGCAACCGCAAGCGGAGGGCCAAAAATTAAAAAAAAATACAAAACTTTACTTTCGAAATTGCTGAAAATGTGTTATGAATTTTAATTTAAAATGTAAAAAAAAAGAAAATAAAAAGTTAATGTTTTGGGGGTTTTCCTGTCAAAAAATAAATAAAATAAAATAAAATAAAATAAAAAGAATTACCAACAGGAGATTGACACCAAATGCTGCATAGCCAAATGCTGAAAATCCATAACAATTAAATAAGTCAACATTAAAACTAGTTTGCCTTGAGACATCTCTGTTGTGGCTCTCTGCTGTGGCCTCATTTCATTACTTGGCCTTTTTTGTTAGATGAGAAGGGAAGCTCTTTGTTTGGCGTATTAAGATGAGAGGGAGGGAGGGGAAACGTAGTATTACAACATCTTTTTATTCGCTGTTTTAAAGACCTTGAGGTGTGCATGTGTGTCTCGATTTTTTTTTTGGGTTATCCAAAAAAAAAGTAAAATGTCAGCAGTGTGTCTCGTAGACCATCAAATTGTTCACAGTGGTTCGAAGTTTAAAAATTCGAAAAATTAAAAGAAAACTTATAAACATTTTCATTCAATAATTTGTTAATAATATGTGTGTCTGGTTATCCTAAAATTTGTAACAATTGTTGCTAATTGTTACTGGAAGTCGTCTGTTAACACAAAAGTTCTGAAAAAGAGAGCGATTTGAGAGAACAATTCTAACAGTGATTTCACTGAGAGTTTGCAAATTCTTGCTGCACAAATTTCTTCTTGCAATAAGTTGCAACTCTTCTTCACCTTCCGGTGATGTATATTTGGGCAAGGAATTAAAAAAGACATTTATTTAAAAAAACATGGTTCCATCTGTGTACTTTTCAAACTTTTCTTACAAAAGATAATATAAATACCTCACTCTCTCGGAAAGAAGTTGCTATACAATTTCTGCAGGAAAAGTAACCAGACATACCTAGTAATATCCATTTAAAATAATAATCTGCATTTACTATTATTTACATTTGGTGTGTTCCAGAACTGCAAGAATGAAAAACTACTGCTCTGTTCCAAAAATAAAATAATGTAATTTTTTTTATTTTTCCTTCATGGTATCGAAAAAAAATTAAAAACTAGTAAAAGTACAGAAAGTCAGCACCGAGGCTATGTGTGCTTTTTGTCGGCATAATTCATTCATATTTTTCTTTTTATACCCTCAGCCATATGGCTACAAAGGTTATATATCATTTGATATGGCCAAAACGTGCCTCATCGAAATAACGGTTTAAAACCCTAGGTCTCTTTGAACCAAATTAGGACATTTGGAGTCGATCTAGCGATGTCCGTCTGTCCCTCTGTCTGCCTGGTTGGTGTGCACGATAACTCTCGAAGGGAGCATCCGATTTGACCCAAATTATTATTATTGTCAAACTTATATCGAGTTCGGAGATGGGCAATATCGGTCCACTCCTTCCGTTACCTCCCCCACAAAATGTCAACATTTTCAAAGAAAATAATTTACTGCACAGAAAGAGAATGGATAATCCGATTTTGCTCTTACTTTGCAAATCCTAATATTTCCATCAGTGCTAGGACAGGTGCGAAAATGGACAATATCGGTCAACTCCCTCAAGTACCTCTCCACAAAGGGTCAGAATTTTGCAAAATTATAACTCGTATAAAATGTGATGTAAGTGTCCGATTGTCTTCAAATTACATACATCGCAATATATTTATTAACCCAAGATCTGTTATGAAGATGGAAGAGATTGGACCATTCCTTCTGGTACCTCACACACAAAGGGCGAAAGTCTTGAATAAGCAAAATAATCATAAAATCCGAAATAAGCATCTGGTTCTCTTCATATTTCACACATCTTAACATTTTTGATAACACAAGATCTGTTATGAAGAAGGTAGAGATTTGACCATTCCTTCCGGTACCTCCCACACAAAGGGTCAAAATTTTTCAATATCCATGAAGTTCATAAAACTCGGAATTAACATTCGATTCCATTCAGACTTGGTGCATTGTAATATTTCCATCAACACAAGATTTGTTATAAAGATGGTAGAGATTGGACCATTCCTTCTGGTACCTCCCACACAAAGGGTCAAAATGTTGAATAACCAAAACCATCATAAAATTCGAAATAAGCATACAGTTCTCTTCATATTTCGCATATCCCATTATTTCTACTAACACAAGATCTGCCGTGAAGATGGGATATATTGGCGCACTCCTTCTGGTACCTTCCCCACATAGGGTTCACGATTTTGAAAAACAAAACGCTCAAAGAAAGCGACTCTCTTTAGATTTCAAACATGCAAAAATTTTTGCTAACTCAAGATCTGTTGTGAAGATGATACATATCTGCGAACCCCTTTCTGGTACCTCAACCACATAGGGTCACAATTTTCATTAATTTTACTTCTCATAACTTGCGAAACAAGTCAGCGATTTTTTACAACTTGCTGTATCTAAATATTTCTATAAACCAGAAATATCTTCGATGTTCTTGTAATTTTTCCCATATCAATCTTTTATAGATGAAGTGTAAAAGTTAAATATTTCGGTGCACTGTATTTTTTTAAAAATTATCACATATCTCATATAAAGTGTAGAAAGTAATCAATATTATTCAATATTTTTTATTTTTTTTTACAAATTTACAATTTTTTTAAATATCTTATTTTTTGTTTCCCTAAACCCCCTGTGCAATATGTTTGGTTTAATACAAACACCAGAAATTGCATATGACCGGTAGTTCCTACTTGGTCGTTTGTTGTGTTCGTTTTTTTATTAGTGTAACCCATTTTCTTAAGCTCAGTTTAGTTAAGTGACCCATTCCCCACATTTTAAGGCTAGTCGGAATCAGGTTTTATGACGAGAGAAACGCAAAGCAATTCTCTGTATTTACAAAATAAACAAACGTTTCCTGCTCTTTCCTTAGTTGAGTTTTTGTTGTTGCTGTTTCATACAAGAGATATGATCATGCCATAACTGGTGTAACAACAGCTGATGATGCCTCTTAACAGTAATGAGACAACAACAAAAACGGTAGCAGCTTGTTTACTCTTGTATGTCATAATTGAATATTTGCCTGTGGGTTGTTTTGCTTTTTGTTTTTGCTTTTTTTCTCGAAATTACATAATTTTTGCAATATCTGGTTGAAAGTGTAAGAAAGGCGGGAAGTGTTTTCAAGACATTCATTTTGAAGTAACTATATACATATGTGTGTATGTATGAACAAAAAAAAAATACAACAAAAAAGGCAGCAATTGAAATGTGGGTTTTTAAAGCGAAATGCTTCAATGATTGGCCTAGTGATCGAGAATAAATTGTAAAAATTGGATACTGGATCATAATAATAAAATTAAAAACTGTAGGGCATGGTAGGTTATTGCTCTATGATGGAGGGGACCAAAAGTGGGTTATTTTCAAACTAGGTATATTCAATAGCCCATTACAAAATGGGCACATGTACACTTTAGATGACATTATTAGTTATAAATTAAACGCGTATTATTGATAATATTATGTGGATCTTCACATTACTTATACGTTTAATTGATTCCTCGATGAATATCACACTATTTTACCTATCTATAAAGAAATTCAATTTTACAAAGAAATTCAATTTTAAATTCTTATTTTTTTATTATTTATTTTTTCACAGTTCCTTTTAGTTGTTGTTTGCATGCTGCGCTTAGCTAATGCTACTGTCCAACCAAGAGCACCAAATTTCCAATATTTCGAAAGGTAAATTTGTAATCTCTTGTAATTTAGGAAATAATATTACAATTTATTGTTTTTTTTACAGACCCAAATACCGCTATCCCTATTATGATGCCAATGGTCGTGGTAAATTACTTTATGGCTATGGTGGACCGGATTTGTATCAATACAAAACCTATACCCCACTGGAGGGCATACACTAAATGAGCGAAACGTTATATTATTTATAATTAAAAGTATTCTGTAATTTAATGTTTAAGTTATTTTTTAAATTGACAATAAAGAGAAATTATTTTGTAAACTTTTTATTTACATCTGAGTTTTATTTAACCATGAATCATAAATAAAAAACAAATAAGCTTGGTAAAATAAAGAAGGTAAAGTGATTCCAAATAAGCATTGCCATCTCTGAATTTTCTGTAATTTATCCTGTCAAATGTCACTGAATATGAAATGGCATCCCATCTCTGAATATACATTTTGACAATGAAATGTTGTAAAATGAATAATTCAAAAAAATTGTAAACATCAGACTCATGACTTTGCCTTCCAAATTCTTCCATGCAAATAAGACTGAATTTGTATAAAATTCGAAAACGTCTCATCAGTATAGTTTCAGGAAGAACCCTTCTTTACTTCACTAGAGGATTAGAAAATATTTGATCAATATAATAAATAAGAAAATCACACTCGTACCACGCCCATATATAAATTATGGTTTTTTTAAAGCTAAGAAATGTTGCACGCTTTCTTGTTGAGTTCTTACTAAGTAGAAAATAATTCTACATTTTTTTATGTTAATAGTTTTAAATAATTAATCAACAGTACTTAATTATTTCTACTTTAGAAACTATAAATATGTATAAATTATTAGTTAGCATATTGTCTCTTCCAGAACTACAAGAATTTTAAAGTTTTCGCTACGATAACCAATTTTCCCTTTATGATATCGAAGAAAAATGCAAAAATAGTAGAATCTTGCAGGCACTGAGACGTAGCAATTATGCTGAATACTTGCCTACTTCCTAAAATTAAATTGAACAAACCCTGAAAATATTAAATAATGCCCAATAAAAGAATTTATCAAAAAAAAACTTTAAAAAAGATTACAAATAGTTAATATATTTACAACTAAAAATTAGAGCAATTTTAACTTTTGATTGTTTCTTTCTTATTTAAATTGACTGTCTTTTAATTTTAATTGTCTACTGCACATGTGGCCTAATTTCAATGAAAGTTGCACACATTGACCATCCATTTCTATCGAAACGCAAATCGATCTATAGATCCCTTAAGTTAAACAATCGATAAAACATATAACCCAAAATCAATCTTAATATCCCTACAAGCCACCAAACACCGGAATATGTCTCGAAAGGAAGCTTTGTCGCAATTCATCAATCAAATCCATGGAAGACCAGTTGTGGTCAAGTTAAATAGTGGTGTTGATTATAGAGGTACGTTTGAACTGGCATTTTTCAAAGTTTTCTTACTTTAGTGCTCCACTTTTCAGTAGCCTTTTACTGGCCACCTCAATTCTGGCATGCATGAAAGTTTGCCATTACTTTTAAGGGAATATTTGCACCGGTTTTATTATTAATGTGAAATTGAACATCCTTTGCCATTTAGCTGATTTTTTCATCTTTTTATTGCATCTCCCAAACGCAGTTGAAATCTTATATGGTGCATAAAGTGGCATGATACATGTACCGTGATAGGTACTGCTGCTCGAAACACTTTATATCAGAAATTTTAGAAGCAGCAACACTTTGATTATGCTATGCACATAGCGAATCAGGGTTTGTTGACCAACTTCAACGCTATGTAAATCTATGTTTATAGAATTTGTTAGTAGGGTAGCTATGATGTAAAGTTGTCTATATGCCATTTTAAATGAATAGGAAGTTTATTAATAATTACATTTAAATGGGAAATTAAATAGCAGAAATTGAGATGCAGTGGTTGAATACATTTTAACGTCTTTTACAATTTGATTTCCATTCATATTACATGTCTATAAGTAGATTGGACTGTACTTAGCCGAAAAGATACATTCCAATCTACTAGAATCCGCAATGTCAAATTAAGATAATTATTTAAACACATACCTTATTGGGTATTTATAAAAACTTGAAAATTTTTGTAATTATTAATCCTATCCTACTTCCATTTTAGTTATGTCAATATCTCTTTTTTTTCAGGTGTTCTTGCTTGTTTAGATGGCTACATGAACATTGCCTTGGATCAAACAGAAGAATATGTAAACGGTCAGCTAAAGAACAAATATGGTGATGCTTTTATAAGAGGCAATAACGTCTTGTACATATCCACACAAAAGAGAAGAGTATAGCACTACTCTTAGATTTTGTATAACTCTCTTTTTTAATAAATAAATTAAATTACAAATAAATAAAATATCACTCCATTTTCATATTTTCTCATTTCAATTCGGATAGTATCTGGTTCCATATTCTTTGGGTATGGCCCCATATTGTCGTAGATGATTCAAAGAATAGCCACGACCCAGGGCATCAATTAAACGTTCACCACGCCAACCATATTTACGCACATAATATGGACGCCAGGCACGACCGAAATGGGGATCAAAAGGTATTTCACTTTCCTTTGTGAAAGGAGAGTTGCCCAAAAATAAATGTTCCACATAGTCCAAGACGGCTTTTTTCTTTTGAAAATGTTCCAAAAATAAATTCGCCTGTGCAGCTCTTTTGGGATCTTGTGAGGGTAGATTCTTAAAGAATTGGAAATCTCGTAAATTAACCGAATCGAAATCGATTACATCGTGTATGTCATGAAGCAATGCTTGATGGAGGGGTAAAAATGCTCCCAACAAAAGCTAGAAAGGCAAAGGAAATTACTTAAGATTTCATTTTAGCTTAGATTGTATTACTTACCAATAAAGCGGCAACCAACATTTTCGTCATGGCGCTCTTTTTTGTAATCTTTTTTGTTTTCCTACAAAATACTTGCTTCCAGCTTAAGCTGATGTTAAAGACTGACCCTCTGTAAATCAATGTGGTCTTAATTTACCAACCCCCATCAAGCATTTTGCAGAAGTTTCAAAACTTATCCCAACTTTTGGTAATAAGACAAAATTAATAAAAAAAAAAATACAATTGCTTAATTCTTTGATATGTCAATGACTATGGGGAGACTACGAGCCATTTGTCACCCATTCATCAACATACGCAAGCAAGCCACTGGTTATATTTTAATTAATTATTCATATCAGGTATGGCTATCACTGGCTGCTACTTGTTGTACACTCGCCAGAGTATGGACTTGCCGCTGCATTTTTACAACTATTTTGATTTGAATACAACAAATGGGAAATTCAATCATTTTTTTGTAATAATGGACACAAGGTCAAACACTTATCCCATATTAAAACCGGCATATTTATTGATAGCAATGAATCGACTGCGACTGGACTGAATCGACCAAATGTAAACATCATTTCGCTTCAATATGTGTCCTCTAATATCGCAATGTAGGTTTCAATTGAGTTTAAAATGTAAAAAAAAATACATTCCCAGAAAAAGATTCCTCTTGTCCAGTTGATGGAGATGAAAAGTCAGTCAGATTTTGATTTTTTATCCGTTTCATTCCTTTTTGCCATTCAGATCAAATAACAGTGTTGAAATGTTTAAATTAAAATATTTCCATTAAAAAAACTGCAACAAAGTCAAACGCCATTATTTTTACATTTTTTAAATTTTATTGAATGAAAGCAACAAATGTCGGAAATAGCATCAAATTTTAGAATAAGTTTAGATTTGTTAGAATTGGTCACCTTTTGCACGAATAACGGCCAATGAAACCGTCGCAGGCTGCCTGAATGTTGCTCTGCGGTATTTTGGTCCATTCCCGGCGAAGCGGTTGCTTGAGGTAATCGACACTTTGGTATATTTTAGTGCCAACCTAGCTTTCCAAAATACTCCAGACACAATAGTCCTACAGATTGGTATCCAGAGATTTTGGTGGCCATTTTGCGCTGGAAATGAGGCGAGGAACCTCATTTTGTAACCATTTTTGGGTGGCGCATGCTGAGTCCTGTGGGAATGTCCAAGGTCTGCGGCCAAAATGTTTGCGTGCCCAAGGCTTCAATACACCCTCCAGAATATTTTCTGATGCTACGGTCGATTAATACGAGCGTAGAGCGACTATCGGCTGTTATGGCGGCCCACACCATCACCATGGCCGGCGCCAGAGTTCTGGTTGCTCTGGCCAACCGAAGATGCACATTTTCTGCTGACCTCTTTGGCAAGTAAACACGATCATTTTGTTTGTATACAAACTGCTGGACAACGAATGTTTTCCTATCCTGGAGTACTCTAACGATAGCCACTTGTGGTTTTCCGGGCAAATATAAAGAAATCACACTATCACGCTTGAATTCCATAACGAATAACTTTTTTTTAGTTTTCGAAATGGGAATTTCAAAAATAATAAAGCGTTGCTTACTTTGCGACACGACCGATCCAAACAATAATTTCATTGAAATGCTATTTTTGGTTGAGTTCAACAGTTTTTTAGACAATGGTTTACGTCACAGTTGGGTTTATATACAGGAATAGCGCTTCGGCTCAGATCTGAATTGGAGCCGTTTTATTTTTTGTTAACGTAAAATTGGCGATCGGGTTTACCTCCTTTTACAACGAAAAACGCATTTCCCTTTCAAGATTTCTATCGATATTTTAATGAAATCTTTCCAAACTTCCAGAGAACAAGAATTTAACATATTAAATTCACTTCGTGTTATAAGAAGAAGTATTGACTAACATATCCCTGAAAATACTCTGGACTTTGTCTTGTATATTTCTGCAGTGTATTATTGAGTCTAATTTTAAATGTTCTAATTTTAAATGTTAATTACATATGGAAATATTACTTACAATGTTTTTAAACTTGCGCCTATTTCTTGCCGATAAAAAATCTATGATATTTGATTTCAAATTGTCATAATAGAAGTTAAGAAATGCAATTACTTAGATAAGTGTTTTACGCCTTTATCGAAGACACATTGTCATACACAAGCTATTACTTATCTCTTCTTGTTATCAAGACAAATTTATAGACTCATAAAATAGCATATCAGTTTAAAATTTATACGAGTTTCGTTTATATACTCATGAAAAAATCCCCATTTTTATTTCATTCATTTAATCATTTATTTTCACAAATTCGTAATTTGAATATATAAATGTGTTTTCTTATAAATTTTGCGTTGTTTTTGTTTGTTAAAAAAAACTAATGAAATATGATTAGTTCGGAGCGCATTGCTAGACACAGATGTGAAAAAGAACACAGGATAAACTAAATAGAGGTGATATACAACGAGCATTAAAATACATTGATTTGTAGACGATAATATTATTAACTAAACCACTGTAGCTGGCAATCATTAAAATTCTTTGAAAATCTCCCAATGATTTTAAAAATCAAAAAAAAAAACCATATGACTTGCAGTGAATGCTGCTGATAAATACTATATTTAATGTATGCCAAATTATGTGTTTACGTTAAATTACTTGCAACTTGTTTATGTTTTCCTTGTATGATATAATTATATATAGGCTTAATACAAAAATAAAACTTTGTTTTGTTAACGACCTCTGACCAGTGGTCTTTTAGATGAGATATCAATCGTTACTCTATGTGTGTGTGTTTTCCTTAGTTAGCCCATGCCAATAATTGTTTCATATCAGGATCGTCTGAAAATCAAAGAAATAACATCAATATTAATTTCATTTCTCAATGAAAAATTCATAGCTAAATACCATCTTCGGCTGCACTGGCTGCTGTGGCATTTGTTGTTGTTGTGGCTTTTTTCTTTTCTTTGGCTTTTTCGCTAACATCTTCGTCAGGAACTTCGGGTAATGTGGCAGATGGTTCGGGTATGCCAATAATTTCCTTATCAAAGTTCTCTTGTTCTAATTCATCTAATTCGCGTTCCAAATCTTCGTCATCAATATCAGCACCAAAGGCCACTGGATTTGAAATAGCATCAGAAATTTCACGAGCCACATCTTGTTGTTCGGCAATATCGTCCATCATATCGTGAACCTTGTCGACATCCCTGGGAAAATATAGAAATAAAAGAAGTTAGAAAAGCTCCTGGTATTGTGCAAAACTTTTCTAAAACTTACATATTTTGATGGGCTGCTTTGAGGGCATCTGCGGCATTCTTCATTGTTGTCAATACAGCAGTATTTGTGTTGGCACTTTCCAATGCCTCACGCTGCATTTCAATTGTCGATAGGGTGCCATCGATTTGTTGCAATTGCTTTTCTAAGCGTTTCTTCTTTTTCAGAGCTTGTAAGGCCACTGTAAGATAGTCAAAATAAAACATTATTTTCAATCCAATGAAAAGAGTATTCAAAAATTTTGAGAAAATGAATTTTGTAAAGAAAAGTGGAATGAAACAAACAAAAAATGGGACATTTTACAAAAAGCATTGTGATTTTTTTTAATGGGATATATGACTTTCGTATAGCAGGCACGCCTGGTAGATGATAATGTCATGTAACACTTGCAGACCGTACACTTTCCCAGCATGTAATGGACAACTTTGACCCGCATTTTCCTTTTTTTCAATTTCTTCTTCTAATCTCAATGGCATTCAGAAAGTCTCATAACCATTTTCACAGTAAAGGAGGTGAAAAACCAAACAAAAGAATCATTTGTGTTAGGAAAAATTGGCCAATTGTTAAAACCGAATTATGGACTATAGTAATGTTGGACATCAAATTAAAAAGAAAACATGTTATCACTGGAACCAATATTACTTTCTGTTCATGTGTACATGTAATGGCATGACCATTTTAATGCAGTTGCAGCCAGGACCGGATACGGACATTGACATCAGTGTTATCAGGAAAGAGTTTTTCATGGTTAGCCAATAATAGACAAGAAACAAACGAAAAGAAAGAGATTTTCAATAAAAAATCAAATCTGTGATCGGAACATTATTTGTTTTTGTTGACAAAAACACACAGACACTGCATATGACTCATATCTGTCATCTGTGTAATGGCAAAACAACACCACCATCTTCTACGCCACCATCAAAACTCATCATCCACCGCTTCTCGTCGCCTCAAGGAGCTCTGGGACCTAATCAATTCTGTTGGGTTAATAGCATTCTCCACTTGCAACCTACCTCTTTTGTTTTTGGAAGCATTCTTTCTAGCTATATTCAATTCCTCTTCGATTTTCGTTTCTAGAAACTCTTGTTTTTTGATCAGCATATTTTCGGTCTCACGCAACTTTTGTATGGCCTCGCCAGTTGTTGGCGCCTGTTCCTTTTTGCCACCGAACATTTTTCCAAAGAAACTCATCTTGGCTGTGATTTGTTTTTTTCCTCCGATATTCCTTAAATTACGTTTAAAATGTATTATTTATTGCGAGCTATCTCTCTTCCGTAGTAATATAATTTTTAATATAATATAATTTTTTTCTATAGACGAGACGTGCGTCATCGACTTTGACTGACGTTTCTGTGGGGGACCGCTAGATCGACTTGTCACAACACAGGGTGATTTGTATTTGGTGTTTTTATTCTTTATATGTCTATTTTCAAATTAGCTTTTTTAATATATTTCTTATTTATGTAATTTTTTCATTTACTTTTTAGATATATTATTTATATCGTACATACAAATAAAATAAACGTCGGGAGTAAATACTGTAACTCAAATAAATATGAATATATAACTAAATGACTCTGCGTCAAATTATGCTCTATTCCAGAACCTGTAAGAATATACTAATTTTTCAATTTTTCCCGATATCATGAAGGGAAACCCGGTTAGTGTAGTAAAACTTTTACGTTCTTGCAGTTCTGGAACATATCATTAATGATGAATATTCATATAGTTTATGTCATAGAGTTTGGTAGTCAAATTTCTTTATTTATATCTCTTAATTTTTACAAAGACATAGAATATAATAAGATGGGACATTACATTGTTACTTTTCTTCAATAGATGGCGTTGGTAGTGGAAAAATATGTTATGTCACGATATCGTGTCATAGCATCATGTTATAATTTAACAGAGCTGACACATTTTAAGGGTTGTTGTTGATTTTCATCGATTCAGTGTACAAAGAAATGTTCTGGAATAGATTTTTGAGAGCATGTCTATCATAACTGATTTTTCTAGCTTATTTCCGCCATTTTTCGGCGATATCGGAATAACATATTTTTCTAAAATTTGGAATGCATTTCTGTTATGTCGCCTGCCATCTATTACCTGATAGAAAAATTAAAGCCCAAATACATTTTGTCCAATCTTTATACTTTTATGTCTTGAACTCAGACTTGAACCCGGGTCAAGAATGTGGGGTCCCGAATCCGTCCACCAAGAAAAAAAATTATTTCCCGGATAAAAATACCTACCTCTAGAAAAAATACGAAAAAGAAGAGATTGGAGTCGTTCCTTTATTGTTATTATTATTTTTGATTTTTATTTTATTGAATTTATTTTTTACACCATTTATCTTTATTTGTTAATAAAAAGACAGACCTCATATCACACTTACTCATTTAACATTCTCTGAGGCACCCTGTTTCCTCTTTGACATTTGTCCAAATGACATTTTCTGGCATTGTTTACATTCTGAATATCGTGTTTATTTTTCAACTTGGCGAGCGAATTTTACAAATGCTTTAATAAAATATAAAGTAGACAAAAAACAATGGCAAATCGCACCGTAAAAGAAGCCAAAAACATCCATGGCACCAATCCCCAATATCTCATTGAGAAAATTATTCGTTCCCGCATCTACGACTCGAAATATTGGAAGGAACAATGCTTTGCCCTTACCGCTGAATTGCTGGTTGACAAAGCTATGGAACTGCGCTACATTGGCGGCGTGTACGGTGGCAACATTAAACCCACACAATTTCTATGTCTTACACTGAAAATGCTACAAATCCAACCCGAAAAGGATATTGTCGTGGAATTCATAAAAAATGAAGAGTTCAAGTATGTCAGAGCGTTGGGAGCATTTTATCTACGTTTGACCGGCAGCTCATTGGACTGTTACAAATATCTGGAGCCATTGTACATAGACAATCGTAAGTTAAGGCGGCAAAATCGTTTGGGCCATTTTGAAATTGTTTACATGGATGAATTTATTGATGAACTGTTGCGGAGCGATCGGGTGTGCGATATTATATTGCCGCGTCTGCAGAAGAGAGCTGTCCTAGAGGAGAATAATGAATTGGAACCAAAGGTTTCACCACTAGATGAGGATTTGGATGAAGACGTGATAAGTGACGAGGAACCACCTGCAACCGAACAGGAAGTTAAACAATCTTCTAGAAAATCACGTAAGGAACGTTCAAAATCTTTGTCATCATCTCCAGAACGCCGAGAAGCTGCCGGTACAAGTCAAAATCGATCCCGAGATTATAACGATGGTGATTATCAAAGAGATCGCGATCGAAGGGAGCGTGAACGTAACAGGGATCGTGATTATGATCGGAGAGATAGAGATCGTTATGAAGAACGTGATAGGGATCGTGAGAAGGATAGAAGACGTGATGACTATGATCGTAGAGATGATTATGACAGGCGTGACGACTACGATCGGCGAGATGACTACGATCGAAGGGACGATTATGATCGTCGTGAAAGGAATCGGCACGATAGAGATCGTGATCGGCGGGATCGTAGATATTAGTAAATGTTAAAATAAGACTTAACTTTTTTCAACAAAAATGAATGTTTTTTTAAAAATAAAAATTTAAAAACAAGAAAAATTAGTATTTTATTTTCATTGTATTTTACATTTCTTGTGCGAAGTTAGGGTCTTGGGTGTTATATTATGAAGTAAATAAATAATGTAAATAAGTTTAATACTTTGTGTTACACATAAACAATTATTTATTTTTCAACTTGTTTTTAAAATCTATGTCAATACATTTTAAACATCAAATATTTGCATAATTTCTTGGCTATGCAATTTACATTAAATTTGCCGGTTTCGTATTTTTTGAAATAAATTTCTTTAGATTATGCGATTTTAATAGTGACAACCAATGATGAAATCAACGAGTCTAAAGCTCCCTATTGAATACAAATAGGTTAAGTTGATTCGTAAACAATGACGGACACATACTGTCAGAAAATTTAGTTTATACATTGGAGCCCAATAAAAATCTTCAATTACATTCTTAAACTTCTTAAATTCTTAAACGATTTGAAAAAAAAATGTTTTTTAAGTGTTTATAGTTATTTAATACAATTCGTATATTAAAACATATGTGCATTACTTTTTTCATACAATTGAACAAAATATATATAAACTTCCGTTTATAAAGTATTTTGATTTAAGCATTTCAATCTTTTATTTGAAAACTTTTCAAATTCAAGTAAAAGTATAAAATACTAATGTATTTTTGTGAGAATTGTTATTTTTACATACATTAAAAAAAATTTGCCGCTTGCCATAAATGGTACGTCGTCATAGCAGAGTTCCTTTACATAAAACGGCAAAGGTCACCTTGAAATGTCAGTTCGCGGATTGTCAATTGACCAAACTGCCAAACTCAACTCGGTGTCACCTTGAGAGAAAAGAAAATTCAATTTCGGCAAAACTCATTCATAATTCCAGCCTCAACGCATAAAAAGCTTCACTTGTCCCTTCGTAATTTCCACAACAACAACAAGAAAAATAACAAGAAGGGAAAGTGATTACAACAAATTACATTTTCTTTTACATCAACGGTAATTTTGAGTATACATAAAAGTGCGTGTGTCGAGCGTTGAAGCAAAAAGAATAAAACCGTTGTTCTTAAAATACGTTTAAAAAAATTATTTAATTTGTTGAAAAAAAGCAAGTGTGTAATTTAAAAAGAAAGTAATCGAAATGGCTACGACTACAACGGTTAAACAACGTTTCATCGAACGTGGCTCCCATAAGGGTAAAGGTCTGGCTGTGTTCACCAGTGGAGGTGATTCGCAGGGTATGAATGCCGCTGTTCGTGCCTGTGTTCGCATGGCGATTTATTTGGGATGCAAGGTAAGATTTGGAGTTCTGTGTTTATTTTGTGCTATTTTTGGTCAAAATAGATTCGAAGATAGAAGGCATTAGCCCATTAACCTTTAAATTCTTTTCATGGCCCCCAATTAGTTCAGTGGTTGTAGAATTGTTTTTTTTTTATTAGATGATAAGAGTGGCTGTCGTATAAAAATCTTCTAATTTATTTCTTGTGTGACATTCGGTGGCTATTTTTGGATTGTATCTACATTTCTTCGTATATTTTTCCTTTCAATTGTGTCGGATCAAATACACAGAAACAGAAAAAACAGATGTTTTGTTGTCTTTTTTATCCCCTGAGTTAGGACGACTTTGGTGTTTGTGTGTATGTGCTGCATACAACACACCCAAAACTTTTTGCTTCCCTCTCTCCCTCCCCTTTTGTTCTGGGAACGCTGAGAATGTGCATTGAAGAAAGTACATTAAAAATTACATTGTTTATTTTGTTTACTTAAATCATCAGGTTATGGCAATGTATTGTCTTATCGTTTAATGACTGCCAGTCTAGCCAAGCAAGAGAGTAAATTTGCAATGAGTGCAAGTGACAATAGGCGGTGAGAGCATGAGCGTTTTGTTTACATTGCATTCGTTGTGAGAAGACAGTTTCTTTTTTGCAATATATCTAATTCTATTTGTTTATGATGTAATAATATTCATTTCTTTTAATTATTTTGTCATTGCGCTCTAATAATCTAAACATTTATTGGTAATTGATAGTTGAAGTGGATTACGTCATTATCGCTGATTATCCTGTGCGTTGAATTGAATGATTGATATGGAGTCGAAGTTTTTTATGGAATAATGGAATATGATGACAGTGTCACGATAGGTATATGAGTAATGAAATTTGCTATTCCTAGAATTCAGTTTTTTTAATTGTTTTTTATATTTTTCTTGTGGGTCATTGCCTTACTAAATATATATTTTTAATCCGATGCAATGTATCATTGGATATTGAAATTGTTGAAACGTGTACGTGATGTCTCCATTATATCTTTTTGTTAAGACATTTTTTTATTAGATATAACTTAATTGAAAAATTGAGATCACTTGTAAAAAACATATTCAATTGATTTGCCTTTTTAAATTGATTTTTAAATTCGAATTTCATCTTTTAAAGAATTCATAACGGTCGTCTATTTATTAAACATAATCATTGAGTTGACGTTACCAATCTTAGCATCAGCTGTCGAAATAGTATTTTAAATGTACAAAACCAGTTTTCAACTATGATTTTAATTTAAATTATGTTAATTATGTTATGTTAGTATCTTTTGTGTTTCAATGTATGCCAGTTTCAAATAGCTCTTTCAGAATTTAAGTGTACCATTTAAAGGTGTTAGGAAAATATTTAATGTGGAACATGCAATGTGATGAAATTCAATCAGTGTAGTGGGTATGAGTCATAAAGGAGTTTAACAAAGCTACGTGCGCGTTTGAGCATATTGCTATGCTGTGCATGATGATGTCGTGTTGTAGGATTTTTTAATGAGCAAAACGAAATAACTCAAAAAACACAGAGCCTCACTCAATGGTTATTGCCACAATAAACTTACTTTTCGTGATGCCTTTTTTGTTGATCTATATTCCAATTCTCTTAAACACGTATTGTGGTTGATGTTAACAATAAGAAGCCATTGTCTTTTGGCGCATTGCATTTGTATAGCAAGCTTTGTTTGGCCTTTGTCCAAACATCATTAAACAATGAGTGATCAAAAAGATCATTGACCTTTCGATGAACATCAGTCGTGTTTTACCCAGTGACTTGCACACAGAATTTACTTGCAGGTAGAACTGCAGTAATTCGACTAACCAATACCTGTTTGTTTTCATTAAGAATGTTTGTGTATCTTCTTGATTGTCTAATATATCCACCAAAGAAAAAAATTTTCGAGTTTTATTTCAAGTGTCACGGAAGTGTCTATTCAAAAATTGTCTGTCATTTGAGACATCCTCTACGTTATTTTTAGTGAAGAGATAGTCCAAGTGTTTTTCACTGTTTTTATACCCTTAATCATATGGCAGATGAGGCACGAAGAGGCACATGATATATACCCTATATCATTTGATACGGCCAAAACGTGTCTCATCGAAATAAGGGTCTCTTTGGACCAAATCCGTTTCAGCACATTTTGACTCGATCTAGCGATGTCCGCCCGTCCGTCTGCATGTCTGGCTGGCTGGTGTGCACAATAACTCTCGAAGGGAGTATCCGATTTGATCCAAACTTGGTACATCGTAATATTATTGTCGGTTTACCCCTTCCGGTACCTCCCACACAAAATGTCAACATTTTCAAAGAAAATAATTTCATGCAATTTTGCTCCAACTTTGCAAATCCTAATATTTTGCTAGGTCTGGTGTGAAAACAGACAATATCGGCCCACTCCATCATAAAGGTTTAAAATTTTGAATAATTATATATTTATAAAATCTGATGTATGTGTCCGATTGTGAAGATGGAACATATCGGTCCGCCCCTTCTGGTATCTCCCCCACAAAGGGTCAACATTGTGAATATCCATGAAGTTCATAAAACACGAAATTCACATCCGATTCCATTCAGACTTGGCACATCTCAATATTTCTATCAACACAAGATCTGTTATAAAAATGGTACAGATCGGACCATTTCCTTTGGTACCTCCACCACAAAGGCTCAAAGTTTTGAATAACAAATAACGATTTCCTTCAAATTTTGCACAAACCAATATTTTTCTCTGTATTAGATGAAGAATGAATATGGAATACTTCGGTCCGCTATATATGTTACCTCAAACATATTTCCACATTTTCCAAAAATTTGCACATACCTCATATAAAGTATACGAAGTAGCCGATATAGTTCAAATCAGGCACGTTGTAATATTTATATCAGTTTTAGGTCAGATACGAATTGGTCAATATTGGCCAACTGCTTTGGAACCTCCCCCATAAAGGGTCAATCGTTTGAATAACCATAACTCAAGGCTGAGGTTTTACATCTGTCGGCAAAATGGACTGATAATAGTTTACTTTTTTTTATCCAATATAGCTATGAGTTATATTTCCCAGTTTTAAAAATTTTAGTTCAGTAAATATTTGGCGCGGCAGTATTTATTATGGGTATGAACGAACCAAATTCTAATTCGTTTGGCCCCCAAATTGTGTATTGAAAATGACTAGAATAGTCTAATAGATTTGTTATATGTGTGTTAGTTCGAATATTTCTACAATTTGTTATGTTGTTTGTTTTCCCACGCAAATATTTCATTTTTTCCTACATCACACAGATATCGTCTAGGACAAGGGTTGACAAACCGATTAACCTTGACAACATTTATTTTGTCATATTCCGAAAAACTCAAGTTCAATTAGTTTGAAAGAAAAAACACCTAGAACCTTTATTTTATTACAATATCATAAAAAGTCAATTGGCTATTGACAGCAATTCAATACAATTGAACAAACAAATCGAAATAATTGATAAGGTCAATAATTTGCCACACTTTGCAATAAAATGCTTGAACTAATAAAGAAATGTATTTAAATAATATGAAGTTCTTGTCTTTTTTTATTATTTGAGTATTTTGTCGGTTAAAATAATAAATAAAAGTAATAAAATAATGATAGAGTTGTAAGTAATAGAGTTGTAGAATAATCTCTTAACTCTTATTCAATATATAAAATTTCAGAGAAGCTGTTTTGCGGTTATTGATAAAATTTCCAAAAAATTAATAGGATTATCCTAGAAATTTTTGTTGATGTGAGAATCTTATTTTTATTAAACTATCTGGGTCCCATTTGCTTTCTATTTTTAAATGTGATGTATAATTGTTCTGTTTCAGTTCCGAAATTTCAGATTTCCACTTGGAAACCTACTGATCTTTTGTAATCAGCGAAGAAAAATTAACGTCTTGTTCTCAGACACTTTAGTATTCTGGCTAACTGAAAATGACTGCTAGTTCTGTGCCGGAAAACGAAGGGATCATAATTTGCTTCACAGCTTTCAGATTTCCACTTGGACAGCTGCTGGTCTTATTTTCAAAACACGACCACTGATTTTAGAATTGGAATTTAGATCTAAAAATTGATAATTTATTTCTATTCTATAAAACTTTTCATATTTTCTTTTCAGGCCTACTTCATTCGTGAAGGCTACCAGGGTATGGTAGATGGTGGCGATAACATTGTCGAAGCCAATTGGGCCTCTGTATCGTCCATTATTCATCGTGGTGGCACTGTTATTGGTTCGGCCAGATGTATGGACTTTAAGCAACGTGCAGGCCGCTTGAAGGCTGCCAATAACCTCATTCAAAGAGGAATTTCCAATTTGGTTGTCATTGGTGGTGATGGTTCTTTGACTGGTGCTAATCTCTTCCGTCAAGAATGGTCTTCCTTGTTGGATGAACTTTTGAAAAATGGACAAATTACTGAAGAGCAAAAAACCAAATATGCTGTTTTGCATATTGTTGGTATGGTAAGTGCTTGCATAATTTTTGGATACTTTTTGAAATATGGGAAGGAAAATTTCATACATTTGTACAATTCTTTTCCAGGTTGGCTCCATCGATAATGATTTCTGTGGTACCGACATGACAATTGGTACCGATTCCGCTTTGCATCGTATTATCGAGGCCATTGATGCCATTGTCAGCACTGCTTACTCTCATCAACGTACATTCATTATGGAAGTTATGGGCAGACACTGCGGGTAAGTTTCATGATTTATAAAACAATAATAACTTTGTTCATTGAATTTTGAACAGGAGCGTTAGCTTTAACAAATTTCCCCATACAACCAATCCAATACAAACAAACGAAGAAAAATTTGTTCCTTATTTTCAAAATTAAACTACCTACCAACTGCCCTACAGATTCCCTTGCAACACACTCCTGGCAATTGGCTTTAGAAGATTTCCATTGATGTCACAACAAAGTTTGTCAACATGCAACTTTCCCCTCCAAATACTTTTCCGAAAATAATTAACACTTTTAAATTAGCTATTTACCCGTAGTCACTGGAATTGTATCTGAGGCTGATTATGTATTTTGTCCTGAATCGCCACCACCATCTGATTGGCCAGATAAACTTTGTGATAAATTAATACAGGCAAGATTTCTTATATGAAAAGTGTTTCCGTTCTTTTTTTTTTTTTTTCTTTGTGTAAATTGAACTCCACTCTTCTTCACTCATTTACTTATATTTAAAGCATATACTATTTTACAGAAAGTTTAAAAACAATAATTTGTAATCTTTAAGAAAATCGCTTGACTTGTTTTATATTACCCTAGTGTGGTCACATGGTACTTTTAGTCCCTTATACAAAGAGATGGCTTTGGTATCATATAGCTTAGAAAACACACTTTCAGATTTCCATTAGAACAACCCTTTATAATGCTAGCATTAAATTAGCCATTGAAAAACAATGAAAAAAAATTGGTTTAGATGCTTACACAGCACCAGTTTTTATTTTCTGTATTCTCTATTTTCTGTTGGGACAAAAGTGTGTTACTAACCAGAAACCACCAATCAAAATTAAAGTGAATAAATTTATTGAAGATATTGAAATTTGTATAGGAAGAGGGCATTGTTGAACTCGTTTGCTAAGGAGGGCATTTAGCAGATTTGTATTTGTATTTGTTTCGCTCCTACTTTCTTCCATTTCAGATATGTTTTCATAAATTCTTTGTTTAAATGATCGATCTGTTGTTGTTATTATTATTGTATGTTTTATCATCCATTTTCCGTTTTCTTTGTGTCTTCCATGAACTTTCTTTTTGCAGTTATTTGGCTCTTGTAGCTGGTTTATCATGTGAAGCTGATTTTATTTTCATTCCTGAAGCTCCTCCATCAACTGATTGGCCTGAAAAACTTTGCCATAAATTGAATCAGGCAAGAGACAATTTTGCAAAACAACTACAAGTCGCTATAATCGGCTTTTTGTTTATGAACATTTCAACAATTTGTTGATTAAATGTGTTGCTTTTTATTACATTTAGTGACTTAATTTTTTTAATAGTTTATTTGGCTGTTGTTAAGCTTTTATTTGTTGTTGTTATACAGAGATTACTTCCAATAGCTGCAAGCTACCACAACCAAATAGCTTTGAATGTTTTCTTAAAAAAACACTTATCTTCTACTCATTAATCATAAATCATAAAATTCATACCTATGCACACACAAACTCTGTATCATATGTATAAAAAGTACAACATATCACTACTTTATTTAAAATTTCTTTAAATCAAAAGAATCCAGTTTTAATTAGACAAAAATATCTAGGAGCAGAAAAGGCTTTATGGAAGTCTTTATGCCGTATAATTCTTTTCCGATTAATTATAGAAATATTATATTTACAATCTCCTTGTGTCAGCACCATCACATTCCTGAATGAATTCACATAAATTAGTTGTAGTTAGTACCTTATGTAATTATAAAAAATATTAATTCAATATCTACAATCCATCACTTTACAGGGTGAGATAAAAAAAAAACTGCAACAAAGTCAAACGCCATAATTTTTACATTTTTTTTTAAATTTTATTGAATGAAAGCAAAAAATGTGGGAAATATCATCAAATTTTAGAATAAGTTTAGATTTGTACGAATTGGACACCTTTGGCGCGAACGGCGAATAAATCCTTCAAACGGCCAATGAAACCATCACACGATGCCCGAATGTTGCTCTGTGGTATTTAGGCCCATTCCAGGCGAAGCGCTTGCTTGAGGTGATCGACACTTTGGTATTTTTAGTGCCAACCTTGCTTTCCAAAATACTCCAGACACAACGGATTGCTATCCGAAGATTTTGATGACCATTGTGCACTGGAAATGAAGCGAGGAACCTCATTTTGTAACCATTCTTGGGCGCGTGCTGAGTTCTGTTGGAATGTCCAAGGTCTGCGGTCAAATTATTTGCGTGCCCAAGGCTTAATACAGAATATTTTCACCATAATATTCGGCATTTATTCTGATGCTACGGCAGATTAATACGAGCGGAGAGCGACCACCGGCTGTTATGGCGGCCCACACCATCACCATGACCGGTGCTTGAGTTTTTTACAAACTGCTGGACAAGGAATGTTTTCTCATTGGAGAAAATCAAATTCGGCAGTTCACCACTTTCGGCCAAGCGAAGCAACGTTTTTAGCTCTTTAAGGTATATTTTTTTTCTGTTGCCGTGTTAGTTCTTGCACTTTTTGGAATTTCAATGGATTTAACCCTAGCTCATTTTTCAATATTTGCCGAATGGAATATTGCGATTCGATATGTACAGCTCACGAGCCATTTTCGCCACTGCGACTAGGGTTTCGATCAAGTCTCTTCTTCACTTTTCGAATCATTTCTGTTGATGTTGTTGTTTTCTTCCGTCCACTTCCTTGACGTTGGGCTACGCTACCAGTATCACGCTAACGAGCGATGGTACGAGACACATAAGATTTATTCACATTTAAATGCTGAAATCCTCAAACGATAGCCACTTTTTGTTTTCCAGCCAAATATAAAAAAATCACACTATGACGCTTGAATTCCATTACGAATAACTTTTTTTCTGGGAAATTCTCTCCAAAATGCTTTTGTACGCTTATAAACAATATAATGACCTGTCACTGGAATAATTCTAACAGCTGTCGGACGAGTCGCTTAGAAATGACAGCAGTCTGAAATAGGTTGCAGTTTTTTCATCTCACCCAGTATATTTAAAGTGGATTTGAATTTATTCCGCAGTGAAAAATATGTGAAAACAATGTAAAAAATTTCCACAAACCCTGGAGGTACAAAAAACTTTTGTTTGATTTGTGGAATATGGTCCAAAATGGCATATCATTATCTTTTGTTTTAAAAATTTATCAAAATTTATGTTTTTTGTTTCATACCTTCACCCCAGTTGCCCCAGTTTGTATGTTTTGTAACCCATTTTTATTTAGTTATTTAGCCCTACAAGCCGGTATGTCCTCTGGTTCAGATTATATATTTATACCCGAAGATCCTGCTCGCGAGAATTGGAGAGAAATGTTATGCGAAAAATTACTTCAGGTTAGAAAGACACCTATTTGAATTTAATCAATGGGTTTCTAAAATAAATTTGAGAACTCAAAATGAGTTCTAATTTGGGATTTTATTTATTTGAAAATGTTCTGTGATTGTCATAATTTTGGATAAATTTGAATTTTTAGACATAAAAATGTATCGAATTAAAAAAACGACAATATGAGAGGGGTTATTATTTGATATCTTAGCATGCTAGAACTTATGTAGCCTAACAGGTATGCTCTTAAATACCTATTTGATTTACTGATTATTTTATATAGTTTTCTAATTGGTTTATTTACTTGTATATGCTTTTTTCACTATATATGTCTCTCATCAGTATCGTACATTCATTTTGGTGTTGGTTTGATTTCTTTTTCAATGTACTACTATAGCACTTGTCTGTTGTCATAATCTCTCATATACATACATATATCTCCATTCCATGATTCCATCACGCAACACATAATCTGTAACTTATTTACTTAGTTTTATATTAATGTTTATAATAATAATAATTTTTACATATTCAACTTAATCTGAAAATTATTTGGAAATAAATCAAATCTTAGTAAATTGGCTGTGAATAAAATTTTGAAAATTTTTTCAAATTAAGTTGATTTTTTTTTAGAATTTTTGTGTGTTTAATAAAATGTGGCTCTCTTTCATTTTTCAAAATTAAATTAATCAACATCTGTATTTTATCCAAAATTGCCCTGAATAGGAGCGTAATGCTGGTCAACGCTTGAATATTATTATTGTCGCCGAGGGTGCTATTGATCGTGATGGCAAACCTATCTCTGCCGAAGATATTAAAAAGGTTGTTGTGGACAAGTTGCAACAGGATACCCGTATTACCGTATTGGGTCATGTCCAACGTGGTGGTAATCCCAGTGCTTTCGATCGTGTTTTGGGTTGTCGTATGGGTGCCGAAGCCACATTGGCTTTAATGGAAGCCACCTCGGAATCAGTACCTGTTGTCGTCTCCTTGGATGGTAATCAAGCTGTACGTGTGCCCTTGATGGAGTGTGTCGAACGCACTCAAGCTGTTGCCAAGGCCATGGCTGACAAGAACTGGGAGTTGGCTGTCAAACTACGTGGTCGTTCGTTTGAGCGTAACTTGGAAACCTACAAGATGTTGACCCGCTTGAAGCCACCAAAGCGTGAGGGACAAGTGAGTGTGGGTGTAGATGTGCCTTAGTGTGTGTTGATTCCGTTTGTTTGACATCTTTTCTTGTTATTTTATGTTTAGGGTTACCGTTTGGCTGTCATGCACATTGGTGCTCCAGCCTGTGGTATGAATGCTGCCGTTCGCAGTTTTGTGCGTAATTGCATTTATCGTGGTGATACCGTCTTCGGTATCCACGATGGTATTGAAGGTTTAATTGCTGGCAATATTAAAGAAATGGGCTGGTCCGATGTCACCGGCTGGGTTGGCCAAGGTGGTGCTTTCTTGGGTACTAAACGTACCTTGCCCGAATGCAAGTTCAATGAAATTGCTGCTCGCCTCAAGGAGTTCAAGATTCAAGGTCTTTTGATTATTGGTGGTTTCGAAGCTTATCATGCTTGTGGACAAATTGCCGATCAACGTGCAAATTTCCCTGAATTCTGTATTCCAATGGCCGTTATTCCATCGACCATTTCCAACAATGTACCTGGCACCGAATTCTCCTTGGGTTGCGACACCGGTCTCAATGAAATCACCGAAATTTGCGATCGCATTCGTCAATCTGCTCAAGGTACTAAGCGTCGTGTGTTCGTCATTGAAACCATGGGTGGTTATTGTGGTTACTTGGCCACATTGGCTGGTTTGGCTGGCGGTGCTGATGCTGCCTACATTTTCGAGGAGAAATTCTCAATTAAGGATTTGCAACAGGATGTCTACCACATGGCCTCGAAGATGGCTGAAGGTGTACAACGTGGTTTAATTCTGCGCAATGAAAAGGCTTCTGAGAACTATAATACCGATTTCATTTATCGTTTGTATTCTGAGGAAGGCAAAGGTTTATTCTCCTGTCGTATGAATATTTTGGGTAAGATGAAATGATTTGATAATGAATTTATTTAAAAAGTAATACGTTTTCTCCCATAGGTCACATGCAACAGGGTGGCTCTCCCACACCTTTTGATCGTAACATGGGCACCAAAATGGCAGCCAAATGTGTTGATTGGTTCTCTGAACAATTCAAGAATAACAAGCAAGCTGATGGCACTATTAAATGCACCAACAAAGAGTCGGCTGTGCTTTTGGGCATTGTTAGACGACAATACAGATTTACTCCATTGGCTGATTTAATTGCTGAAACTAACTTTGAGTAAGTTACGAATTTTTATATATTTTTTAAAGTTTTTTTTTTTAATTCTTTCTTTGATTTCAAAAAAAATTCATTTATTCAAAAAGATTTTAATAATTTATTAATAACAACTTTGTTTATTTTCCTTCTAGACAACGTATTCCTAAGACACAATGGTGGCTGAAATTGCGTCCCCTTCTCAGAATATTGGCTAAACACGACTCTGCCTACGAGGAAGAAGGTTTGTACATTACCGTAGAAGAAGAATGCTCTACCGATGCCGTGGCCTAAGTTGTCGTCATGATGTCGTACGCTCTGCAAACAGCGAAATCATTTTCACTCATATGATTTCTTTGCTATCCCGCAGCCAGTCTAGAGTAAAACAAAATGAATGTTCTAAACTACAACTGTTTCAGTTCTGCACAAAAAGCTTGAGATGAAGATTGAGCTTGATGGCCTAAATTAAAAACAAAAAATAGTAGAAAAGCTTTTTATTCTTTAATCGTAACAATTTTTTTTTATAGTTTAGATTGCACTTTCTTTTTTGAAAAGTTGTATTTTTTTAAGTATTTCGAATTGAATATCATAATTCTTATTATTTATTTTTCGAAAATAAGGCATTATTTTGGCGTTTCATTTTTAAATAGTTTTTACATATCAAAAGTTGTTAATAAACTCAGGACAGGTTATTTGTTTTTGACCCAGTTTTTATTCATATTACGAATATATGATAATGAAAACAATCTTCTCATCCCACATTGATTTTTTAGCTATTTATTTTCTTTTCATATAAATTAAAAATCAGGAAACACATTCATTAGTTCTCTATGCCGTTATCCATGAAAATATGATATTGTAGTTACTATTATTATTATTGTTAGAAAAAAAACTATGTATTGTTACAACAACAAACAGCAAAAACACCAATAAAACATAAAAAAGAGAAACCAACACAAGAATCTAATTGGAAACATATTTTTTTGAAATAAATTTCAAGCTGCTATTATTGTATGTAGAGGATTTTGATTGATGCCAGTCAGCATTCTTGTAAATCTCCTTTAAAAAAAAAACCAACAACAACAAATAGAAGTATGGGTTTGTTATAATTGTTAACCAGTTGCAAACGAACTCTATTTATCGAAACAATAACAATAAAGTTAACTTTTTAATAGAAACATCCATACATTTTTTGAAATAGTATTTGAAACAATAACAATATATACTGCATGTGTACTCAACACCACCACACCGATCATCATCTATACAAGATAAATTAATTCAGAAATGTTGTACAATTTTGAATGTGAAAACTATAAATAAATTGAAATAAAAATTAAAAAAACATATATTTAATTCGTTTTATTGGTTTATATTAAAATGGGAACGGAAAGTTTTTTTTTTTTTGTAAATTGCCAAAGAATTACAAAATCAAAATCTTAAATTTAGAGAAAAGAAAATTTAAATTTTGTTTAATCTAATTCAAAAAAATTGTAATTTGTAAATTTGTTTAGATGATAAATCACAGTAGATTAATTTACATAACTATTAATTTAAAAACTTCTTATTTAAATACATACACATGTCATTTGTCAAAAGTCGTTTTACTTACTTACTGCTACCGCAAGAACGTTGGTCTTAGCCATGTTGTATGAATTATGCTTCGTTGTGGATAAATAGAAAAAATAAAAACCGGTACAGCAGAAAACCCCCTTTTGAATTGAGTTAGAGGCATTTAGAAGTGTCAACGTAACTTAAAGGGGAATTCCTCTTGTTCCAGATTAGATTTTTAATTGACTTTTGCAAAAAAAAAACAAGAAAAATACTGAAACTGAAACTCCAGCAACGTTCCGATGTTTTTCATTATCTTCGTCTCCTACAGTGGATGGTTGTAAAATAATGAAATCCCGGGTGGAATAAATGATTCATTTGTATAAATCTTTTGTTCGCATATTAGGGTTGTCGATTAGGAAATTTTTTAAACAAGTTGCGGGATTAGGAATTTAAATATTTTTCATCTTGAAATAAGGTTACCTTGATTTGAATGTGCCATGGTTTCAGGGAAGTATGCATTTTTATAAGATATATTTAGAAGATCGCGCTCGTTATTAATTGCCTCTTTAAGAGTTTTAAATTGAAAATCAGATCAAGGCTATATCGTAATCTTATTCAATTCTCACCAAAATTTACAGAGGTATTTTAATGCCTATTTTCATGACCATTAATGGTTCAATATATAATCGGGTGAAACATATATATAGCTATATCCGGGGCGTTCTAAGAGTGGGGCTCCCTCCGAAATAGTTCGTTTTTCGACATCTTTAGTGCATTTTATATGGTAAATCTAACCATGTAATAAACCACCCATCCCTGTCTATATCTAAACCAAAATGGTCTACATTTGTCAGGCTTTTGTCTAAAATTCGGAACTTGATCTTATGATCCTAAATGCATGATGATTGGACTATTTACATCATATTAGTGGGAAATATATGAGGTAGCTATATCTAAATCAGAAACCGATTTCAATAAAACTTGACAAAGATGGTTCTATCTTGCACTGCTTAATTTATTTACGTTTTTTTTTGTCCTTGAAACATAACTGAAAAGGAAGCTGTTCTAGCGCACGCGGTCGATTTTTATACCCTCTGCAATAGTATGGCGGTTTAAGTTGGTCATTCCGTTTGTAACACCTCGAAATATACATTTTAGACCCCACAACGTATATTCTTGATCAGCATAAAATTCTATGTCGATTTGGCGATGCCCATCCATCTGTGGAAATCCCTCTAGATTTCGAAACGAAGTAGTTTGATAAAATTATACTCAAAAGTATATTATGTCTGCAGGACTTTTGTTATTGAAAATGGGTCATATAGGTCTATGTTTTGGATAGCCCCCATAAAATGATACCTCTAATTTTCGGTATTTTGATGATTTAAGCGACATTATCCACCGGAAAAGTTCCAAATTTGGTATTTCAAATTCATAATGGATACTACAGCTTATGACAGAAAATTGTCCGTGTTAGTCCACGCCTTCGTATAGCCACCATATAACGGCTCCTCCCGATATTCGGTATTTTGATGAATTTTAGCGTCTTCAATAGAATAGAATAGAAATAGAATTATTTCAAATTTGGTATTTGAGTTCGTAATGGATACTACAGAAAATTGATTGTGCATGTTCACTTTTTGGTATATCCCCCATATAATGGTACCTCCCTATGTTCGGTGTTTTGATGATTTTAGCTTCATTATCACCGATTTTTTTTTTTAAATTTCGTAAAAATTGAATATTATAATGGCTTATGGCAAAAGTTACATATGCATGTCCACGGCGTCGTATAGACCCTAATATAACGGCTACATTCGGAATTTTTAAGATTGAACAGCATTTTTAACGGATTTAATTTTTTTTAAATTACCAAATTTCTTTCCAAGTGGTGGAGAGTATTACAGCTTTTTTACATGTTCTTAGTTTTTTTAAACATCCAAACAATCAATTTTAATGAATCGAGAGAGAAAAATGGAGAATTTGAAAATTTTTGCCGGACAAAAATTTTTAAACGTTTTTGCAATGGCCACAAAGCAGCTGTTTTTAATCAGCTGATAATTCTTACTTACAGTAACTCAACCTTAACTCGCTCTCATTTACTGGACTTGTGGGTTAAAAAAAAAAAATAATCATTTTTTTGATAAATCAGGCATTCCGTCATTTTAGACTAGGCGAGTTTTATTGCTAATTTAGTTTCGTTTTCGTTTCCTTACCTCTTGCATTTATACAAGGCTATTTCATTACAGAAATTTTATTTTTTATCATTGCTTTTACTGTCATTTTTATTTTTATTAAAAAAAAAAACTAACAAAAACACAGAAGGAACTGACAGAAATTAACAGGTTTGCCACATCTGCTTGACTGCTTTTTTCTCTCAGACAGAAGTTGCTGGGCAATTCCCGAATTTCCTAAAGGTGATGATACAAAAGGCGCTTGGCATCATGGCTTGGCATATTAATGTTAAATTATAAGGGAAAACGAGGCAAACGACGGTATATGTCATTAATATGTCAATAAACATGCCAAGCTGCTTATGTATTTTCGGGTCCAAATCACGGTTTAAGGTCTGATCTGTTTTAGCCCTATGTGTAGTTATGACATTGTTTCCAATAGGTTTAAATTTATAAATTTATATCTTAAATATATATCGAAATTTCCCTTCCGATTTACCTTAACCAGCCTAAAATATTAGTTCGACTTCCATTACTATGGCATTTTTCGTACCCGGACACCTGTTGTACGCATGGCGTAGAATATAACATGGTCGGTCGGGGCGACTTTTATCCTATTCTTACTTGTATTTTTATATTAATATTTTTAGATATCTATTGTGCCGCCCAACATTTTATTAAGCCGACAAAACAATAATCTATTGAAGAGTTTATTTGCAAATAACAAAAGTAATTTACGTATAATATTGCCTTGTTTTCGATCGAACAAAACAATTGTCCGAATGGTGTTTGATACGCCTTGCTGCAAGGGTTGTTTGAGGCTAATTATTTTTACAATGGTAATCAAGTCATTGAGTTCGTTCTGCATATCAGACAGTTTGTGGGATAGTAGGCATATGACATCTGCCTGAATAATACATATACATGTGCACATGAATGTGTGTACTTCCTACGCAATTTTTCGGAAGTTATGCCATCATTTTGGACCATTAGTGTTTGCCGACAAGTGTTTGAAGATACTCGAATTTTGTAAGGATATTGAAAAATTAAAAAAAAAAATTCCCATAAAATCTCCCGACTACCAGCATTGACATCCCCGTTACAAATATTCGCCCTGTGACTCAATCCCCAAGTAGAACCAACTGATTAAAAAGTGTATTAAAGAAATAATAATAAAAAAATAAACAAAAATCCAAATACAAAGTGAATACACATGTATGTAGATATATATACATATGTATAAAGCCTATATTTGGATTGTGTGTTGTTTGGTTTTTGAGCGGCTTGCGGTGATCTAGGAACATATTGAGAGTGTTAGTTATTCGCTGACCACAAATCATGAATGACCGCAAGCAACTTAAAATGGATAATTTTGAGGATGATCGCAGTGCTCTGATTGAAGAGAGCCGCACAAAAACCAGTAGCCATGATTTAAGGTTGGACGCAACAACTTCTTCAAACGCAAATCACAACGCCAATGAAGAAGACACAACGTCGTCTATGATGGGACTGTCACTGTGGCAAAAATCTCGTTACTATTTGGTAGAGCCGACGGTTTTAATTTTGGTTTTTGCCTATAATTTATCGGGTAGGTGCAAATGAAAATTGTTTTGAAAATTGTTGCCTAAAATTGAAAAATAAATTAGTTTGGCTATAATTTGTCGTTTTAGCAACCGTTTGGAAAAACCAAATAATTCTTCAAACATGTACGACGATATTCCATCACAATGCAACGGATTGTAAAAAATTGTCAACAAAAAACGCCAGCGATTATATTAAGGTAATGCCTTGAAGTGTTGTTTAATAATTTTATGGGACTTTCAATTTCAATTTTTTTCATTTATTTCGACGTTTCTTATCAGTCAATCGAAACGGAAGTTCAATCGTATACGGTGGTCTTCTTTATGACAAACTCCCTGATACAAAGTATTGTACCTGCTCTTTGTGGCACTTTTGTTGGAGCTTGGTCGGATCGCTTTGGACGCAAACCTCTGCTGAGAGCTTCATTTACGGGTATGTATGCACAAATACGATAACATTTGAATTGAACACACATACGAACTTCATAAGAAACATGGAAAAATGCTATTCATTTATTGAAGACTAAATAAAAAACAAGCTAAGCGTATCCATAATATGGAAGAAAATTATGTCGCATGCAAGTCACTGACGAGCTTTTGGTGAAACAAAAAATTAATATCATCTGCTTAAGGAAAACATTTAAACAATAATACATATAAACATAAAAATATATAAAAAAAACAAAAATAGTACGAAATGGCGCCCAATATCTCCTCACATCTCACATTATAAACACCTCTGGAGTTCAATTTATATTCCAGGAAAATAAGAAATGAGAATTTTTAAAATGTATACTTTTATATTGTGTACAAGCGTACAAAAGCATTTTGGTGAGAATTTTCTACAAAAAAGTTATTCGTGATGGAATTCTAGCCTGAAGATGTGATTTCTTTATATTTGGCTGGAAAACCACAAGTGGCTATCGTTAGGAACTCCACCATTTAAAAGTGAACAAATCTTTTGTGTCTCGTCCCATCACTCATTACCGTTATACTGGTTACGTAGTCCATCAGCAGAAATGATTCGAAAAGTAAAGAAGCGACTTGATCGAAACCCCCATCGCAGTGGCTGAAAAATGGCTTGTGACCTGAACATATCGCAATATTCCGTTCGGCAAATATTGAAAATGAGCTCGGGGTAAAGCCATTAAAATTCCAAAAAGTGCAAGAACCGCACCGCAACAGAAAGAAAATAGACACAAAGAGCTAAAAAGTTGCTTCGATTGGCCGAAAGTGGTAAACTGCCGAATTTGGTTTTCCCGATGAGAAAACATTCGTTGTTCAGCAGTTTGTAAACAAAATGATCGTGTTAACTTGCCAAAGAGGTCAGCTTAAAGTGTGCACTTCGGTTGGCCAGCAGAATCCAAGCGTAGGCCATGGTGATGGTGTGGGCCGTCATAACATCCGATGGTCGCTCCCCTCTCGTATTTATCGACGGTGGCATAAGAATAAATGCCGAATATTATCGCGAAAATATTCTGGAGGGTGCATTGAAGCCTTGGGCACACAAACGTTGTGGCCGCAAACTTTTGACATTCCAACAGGACTCAGCACCATCGCACTCAGCACGTACCTACCAAGAATGGTTTCAAACAAAATGAGGTTCCTCGCTTCATTTCCAGCGCACAATGGCTACCAAAATCACCGGATACCAATCCGTTGGACTATTGTTTCTGGAGTATTTTGGAAAGCAAGGGTGGCACAAAAAAATACCAAAGTGTCGATCACCTCAAGCAAGCGCTTCGCCGGGAATGGGCCAAAATACCGCAGAGCAACATTCGGGCAGCGTGTGACAGTTTCAATGGCCGTTTGAAGGCCATAATTTGAACGAATCTACACTTATTCTGAAATTTGATGTTATTTCCGACATTTTTTTTGTTTTCAGTCAGTAAAATTTATATGATATTTTTTTTTAAAAAGTGAAGACAATAATATTACAAGAGTTCAAAATGGCACCCAATAACTTTTTATTTCTTAACATTAATAAAAACCTATGTGGCTCAATTTATGTTCTACAAAAATAAATAACAATTTTTACAAAGTCTCTTGCGTTCAAATGAAAAAAATATATATTTCTCAGTTCCTTTTATTAAGTTTTGATATCCGTAACATATGACATGGTCGGTAGTGTATCGTTTCAAAAATTATTTTAATGTAAATGTTGCTAAAATGTTGTGGTTCTCAAAAAAATATATAATAATAACAATAATAATAATAATAATTAATCCATTGTTCATGTCTTATCTATTGCGAATCACATTTACTTTTCTATTTATTTTTAGGTTACTTTCTGTTCTATGCCTTAACCTGTCTTATCAGTCATTTATCGGATTTATACGAAGTTGATCCATGGTTTTATATCCTGCCTTCAATACCGCTATCTTTATTGGGAGATGGCGTTACATATTCAGTAGCTACCTATTGCTACATATCGGATGTTTCTTCACCCAAAGAGAGACCGTATAGGTAAATATTGAAACAAACAACGTACATTTAAAATCTGACAATATAAATTCCTGGACATAACGACTGACGGTAGGGGTAGTTTATGATGCAGAAGTAAGAAATATGCAAGAAAATTGGTGAGGGCAAAATTATAGTTGTGAGAAAAAATTAATATAATAATACAATAACATATTTTAAACTGGCCATAACTCCTTGAATATTGACATTTCGGGGTTTTTAGCATGTTTTTTCATTCAGTTTTTTAGAGAAGAAAAATATCATATTTTTAAATGGCCATAACTCCTTAAACATTGACATTTCGGGGTTTTTAGCATGATCTAGAGGAAAAATAGCATATTTTAAAATGACCATAACTCCTTCAATATTGACATTTTTAAAGAGGCAAAAAGCATATTTTAAAATGGCCATAACTTCTTAAATATTGACTTTTCGGAGTTTTTAGCATATTTTTTCATTCAGTTTTTTAAAGAGGAAAATGGCCATAACTCCTTAAATATTGACATTTTGAGGTTTTTTTTATTGACATTGCAGGGGTTTAGCATGTTTTTTCATTAAAATGGGAAAATAGCATAAAAGGAAAAATAGCATATTTTAAAATGGCCATAACTCCTTAAATTTTGACATTTCTGGGTTTTTTGCATGTTTTTTTTCGTTCAGTTTTTAAAGAAATTATATTTTTTGAAACTTCTGTTTTTTCTTTATTTTCTAGAATGAACTTATACGAAGCAGTCATTTACATTGGCCTTATGATGGGTTCATTTACATCGGGTTACATTTACAACGCATACGAATCATCAACACTGATATTTTTCATATCATCAATGTGTATTCTGGCGGCAACCTTAGTTGTTATATTTATAATACCTGAAAGCTTGAATATACGCCAAACATCGCCAGCAGATGTGGTCCATGAATTTGAAAATCCTCAAACCTCGACAAACATTATCAACACCACAGACAACAATACGGAAGTTGTGGATGACAAAAAGGACACAACACTTCACGCAGAAGAAGAACAACCAAAAGTAGAGGAAAATAACCAACGTTCCACAAATCGTCTGCGAAAATTATTCGATATTGATCACCTCAAGGCAATGTATTCAACCTGTTTCAAGTTGAGAGATTTTGAAACACGTTCGGTCATCTTGCTGATTGTGGCATGTTTATTGACGTGTGCCTTTGTCGTGGGTAAGTGAGTGCGAGCCACCGCTTGATTGAACTGTGTAATTGACATTCGAAATTATGTTAATTTTCTGTGATTTGTGTTTTTTCTTTTCGTTTCGTTTTTTTCGTTACAAAATTATCATCAGAGGGATCGACGACCGTATTTTATTTATTTGTGCGTGAGAAATTCCAGTGGACCGTTAAAGATTTTACCACATACGAAACGATAAGTATTCTGATACCGATATTGGGTAATATTTTCGGTGTGTGGCTGCTAAGGAGGGTAAGTGTTAAACGTTACATGAATACTAATTGAATTCTTGGTAAGTGGCATAAGTGGACACATCATTGAGAGAGTAGATTTTTTCCCTTTGCCTTTTAATGGTACAATGAGTAGAAAGGCCATGTGTAAAATTTCGCTCGGAGAGAACATATTTACTTTAATTAAATGCTAGTCTCATGCAAAAAAAAAAAAAACTCATTACAAATCGGTTTAGTAACTCATTATTTTAAAAGGATCATAGCACAATATATAAGCAGTTATTCCTTGGCAACAGGTAAAACGACAGATGAGCAGTTATTTAATAGCCTGAGAATTACAACTTATTTATTGACTAATTTGGAGCCAAGGACTAAATATTTACTTCGTGTAACATGACCTTGTTAAAATAATGAGCTCCATTCCGGTAATCCGGTTCGTGATGAGCAAACAAACGATTTTTTCCACTGGCATTCATTCTCACTCAATTTTGAGTATTTGGACTCCCACTCTCCTTTTTTCAAACGGGAGTAACTCTGAGCGCTCCCAAGTAAAAAAGCAGTAAGTTCGGCCGGGCCGAACTTTGAATAAACTCCACCAAATGGAACGAATTTGGAAATTTCAAAAAAAAAAAAAAAAAAAAAAATCCGATAGCAATTATGTTAAATTCTTAAGAATGCAGAATGTTGAGAGATACCTTTATATTGGGGTTTATATGGAAACGTGGATGTGCAAAGGCATTTTTTTGTTTGTTATAGCCATTCAAATTCAAATGAATAATGTCAAAATACCGAATAAAGGGAGGTGCTGTCATATAGGGGCTATACGAAGACATAGACCCGCATACGCAATTTTCCGTCATAACTTGTACTTCCCATTACGGTCTTCAAATACGAAATTTGGAACAATTCCGGTGAATAATGTCTCTAAAATCATCAAAATACCGAATATGGGGAGATACCGATATATGGGGCTATACGAATACGGGGACTTTCATAGGCAATTTTCTGTCACAGATTGTAGTACCTATTAGGAACTTCAAATACGAAATTAAAAACCACTCGGGTGAATAACGACGCAAATATCAAAAAAACCGAATATCGGGAGGTATCGTTATATGGTGGCTATACAAAGACCTGCACCTGCACAGGCAATTTTCTCTCACAGGCTGTAGTACCTATTAGGAACTAAATGTGAAGCAATTCTGGTTAATAATGTTGCTAAAATCATCAAAATACCAAATATCGTGAGGTACCTCTATATGGGGGCTATACGAAGACGTGGACCAGCATACGCAATTTTCCGTCATAAACTGTACTACCCATTAGGAATTTCAAATACGAAATTTGAAACAATTCTGGTGAATAATGTCGCTAATATCATCAAAATACCGAATATCGTGTGGTATCGTTATATGGGGGCTATACGTAGACATGAACCTGCACAGGCAATTTTCTGTCACATATTGTAGTACCAATTAGGAACTCTAAATACGAAATTTGAAATAATTCCGGTGAATTATGTCGCTAATATCAACAAAATACCGAAAATAGGGAGGTACCTATATATGGGGCTATACGAAAACCTAGACCTGCACGGGCAATTTTCTGTCACAGATTGTAGTACCCATTACGAAGTTCAACCACGAAATTTGAAACAACTTCGGTGAATAATGTAGCTAAAATAACGAAAAAACAAATATAGGGAGGTACCGATATATGGGGGCTATGTAAAGACCTGAACCTCTCACAGGCTGTAGTACTCATAAAGAACTTCAAATACAAAATTTGAAACAATTCTGGTGAATAATGTAGCTAAAATCGTCAAAATACGGAATATATGGAAATACAGTGATATGGGGGCTATACGTTACGTGGACCTATATAGTTTATTTTCAATACCAAACACCATACATACCAAACACACATTTGAGTGAAATTTTATCAACCTACCTAGTAAATTTTTTTCGAAAGAAAGAGTGATTTCCACAGACGGACGGACATCCCTAAATCGGCATAGAATTTTATGCTGATCAAGAATAAATAGTTTGTGGGGTCTAAAATTTATATTTCGAGGTGTTACAAACGGAATGACAAACTTAATATACCCTCCATACTACGGTGAGGGTATAAAAAGTGTGGGATCTAAACTTCATGATAAACTCCTACTCTTCGACCACATCCGCTCACGATTATGTTTGACTCGCGAGTAAAAACGAGCACATCTAGGCTCTGGTTTTTTGGCGCTACATGGCGCTATAGATTCTTGCATATAAGGGAACAAACCTAACACATTTATTTACGCTAGTGTTTGTGAACGTGACAAATTCAATGAAAAAGAGGCGAATTTTTTAATTCTAAACGATGGAGAATGCAATATTTTTTTTTCCCTTCCAGGTCTTCAAAATGAAAATCCTCACAGTGGCCATTTACGCTTTGCTCTCACAAACGTTTAGCAGTTTAATGAAAGGCTTTGCTGCCGTTAATTGGCAATTGTATTTAGCCATTGCATTGGGCGTTCTCAAGTCTGTTGTCAATCCAATGCTGAGAACGGTCTTGACAAATCTCCTGCCTGCCAATGAATTGGGTAAGTTACTTGTAAGTGCAATATACTTTTGATATTTTTATTTATTTTTTTTTAATTTTATTGTTTCGTTTCGAATCGTTTTAGGAAAAATCTTTTCATTTATTAGTGCCATTCAAGCCTTTTTGCCATTTGTGGCATCACCATTGTATACTGTGATCTATCGTTCAACACTTGTCACATTTCCGGGACTGTTTAATATTATCAATGCAAATCTATTTATGATGGCCATTGGTTTTATATTGTAAGTAAATATTTAAATGATTAATGATCAAGACTATTTTTAAAAGTTAAAAAAAAACTGAACTTTATTTCTGTGACGACAAGTCCAATCTATCAATTTATTTTAATTTTAATCATTAACTAACTATTCTAATTAATTTTAATTGACTTTTGACTTTTTTAAACTATTTCATTGCAGAGTAATTTTACGTAAACAGCAAAAATATCCCGAACATTATACAGCGATTTTAAACTGATCTGATTCGTGCCTTGCTCCAGAGAGGAAATTTTTGTCCAAAAATGCCATTTGTTTGAAATTGAAATACATTTATTTAATTTGTAATAAAAGTAATTAATAAAAAAAACAAGGTAATTTTATATACATTCAATAAAAATAAACAATAAAAAACAACTATTAACTTAATTCAATTAACCATTAAATTGTCAGCACTTTTTTATGTACTCTAAATTAAATTTCTTCAATATCGGGTGGGTATAATGCCAGTGCATCTCCATTGGTATTCTATGGCTTGCATTAGCCTTTAAACCAAAATACGCCAGCCCTCAGATATCAGCGTACTTCTATTAGAATATAGTCGGTACTCCAAGTCTATATTCTAACATAATGTGAGGGCTGGCGTATTTGGTTTTAAATGGCTGATTCCGATGTGGCACAATTGCCATATGCCATCATATACATGTTCTAGAGAGAGAGAGAGGGAGAGAGAGAGTGGTCAATCAATGTATTAAAGATAGTTTCTGAGTCAGTAGGTTACATAATTTGCAGCAGAGGAACCATCCCCGCCTCGACAATCCAGAATAGATACTAAGATGCTGAAGTTTGCCTTAATTCCGGTCGAAAGTTGAGAACCTGATTCAAACATTGCAGAGTAAACTAGTAGGCACCATTTAGCATAATTGTCAGCCCACGCCGTCTTAATAAGAACCAAAGGTGCTATCTGTTTTCGCATGCCAGTTTAACTGTACCAAGGACATAAAACTATAAAGATTGGACAGAGTGCATATGACCATTTCTGTTTTCTACCAGTTAGCAGATGGCAGACGACATAATAAAAATGCATGAGAAGAAATATGTTATTCAGAAATCGCTAAAAAATGGGGTAAAAACGCAAATCATGAAAAATTACTTATGTGGGCTCAAAAATATATTCCAGAGCATTTCCGCGAACATTTAATCAATAAAACCACCGAAACCCTATAAAAACATCAGGTCTGTTAAATTGATATGGTGACATAACATATTTTCCCACCACCAATCTTATCTATTTAATGAAATTAACAATGAAATGTCCCATTTTATTATATTATATGTCTTTGACTGTACTCATCATTATGTTGGGCGCCATTTTTTATATCTTCAGTCAAATGGCTACAAACGGTATATACGATTTGATGCGGCAAAAACATGTCTCATCGAAACACGGGGTAAGGCTGTTGGTCTCTATGGAATATTTGGAGTCGATCTAGGGGTGTTCGTCCCTCCGTCTGATGTCATCGATAACTTTCGACAGGAGTATCAGATTTGGAACAAACTTGATACATCGTAATATTATTATCAAACCTGAATCGAATTCGGAGGTATGCCATTTTGGTCCACTCCACTCCTACCTACTTTAAAATGTTCACAGAAAATAACTTACTCTTCAGAACAAGAATATGTTCTTTAAACTTTTCAGAACCTAATATTTATATAAGTGCTAGGTCAGGTGCTACACGTTATCGCTTCACTGAAATAAGTATCCAGTTGCCTTAGCATTATGCACACGTCAATATTTTTATCAGCACAAGATCTGGTGGAGAAATGAGACATAGCGGATAGCTCTTTTAGAAGATTTGGTAGATGACAATCCTTAAAGTATAAAATTGTCTATAGAGGTTTTTCGTTTTGGTATGACCCCCATATATCGGTCTCAAACACTTTATGGTTTTTTGAAACACCATTATATAGCGGATAACTCCTTCAGGTAGCGGATTATTCCTTCAGGTACCAGCCCCAAAAAAACATAAATTATATCTAGTGTGAGTATGGAATTTATTGGACCATTCCTTCTCGTATTTAGCGCACAAAGGGTCAACTCTCATAGTATGCGAAACAAGTCAGCGAAATTTAGTGTTTCTCAGTATTTCAACCATAGATCAAATGGTAATATGAGATATGTGGGTCCACTCTGGGGGACCAGAACGCCACAAAAACTCAACATTTTCCAAAAAAATATATACACAAATCTCATATAAAGTGGAGGTCATAGTCGATTTAGTCCAAACTTGGTACGTCGCAATATTTATATCAGAATTGTAGATGGACATAGGCAGAAAGTATAAATCTGTCGACAAAACCGACCGATATTTTTGTACCCTCCCCCATTCTACATTAGCTTTATTATCCGTTTTGTAACTCTCCGAAATACTCAAAATACAAAGTATATATATTCTGGATCAGCGATGTCTATCTGTCAGTTTTAAACAAGCTATCTTTCGAACGAAGTGAGGTAGAAGGCTAAAATTTTGCACACATGTGTATTTTTCAGTCGACAGGTTCACGTTTTCGTATAGCCCCCATATAACGGTACCCCCTGATATTCGGTATTTTGATGATTTTAGCGACATTGTTCACCGGAATTGTTTCAAATTTTGTTATGATAGTTCGTAATGGGTACCACTGACTGTGACAGAAAATTGCCTATGCAAGCCCAGGTCTTCGTATAGCCCCCATATCTCCTTATATTCGGTATTTTGCTGATTTTAGCGACATTATTCACCGGAATTGTTTCATATTTCGTATTCACCTGAATTGTTAAAATTTCCTATTTGCACTTCGTAATGGTTACTACAGCCTGTAAATGGAAATTGTAGGTCCACGTCTTCGTATAGACCACAAAATAACGGTAACTCCCTATATACGGTATTGTTAAGATTTTAACAGAATTTATAATGATTTATTTATTTATTTTTAAATTTCCATATTGTTTTTCCAAATGGTGGAGGGTATTCAAAGTTCGAACTTACTGCCTATTCACTTGATACTTGTTTAACTTGGCACTAATTCCTGTCAGTCTAAACAAAAATAAGACGAATTCAATACCATAGCCTTGAAACGGGAGAAAAACGAAAGGTCCACCCTGACGCTATTCAAAAGAGAGTTGTAGCCAGTTTTTGTTTTAATTTTCTCATAATCAGAATTGGGCCCCTCGAATACAGCTATTTTCTTTTTCCAAATTGAAACGTCTCTACTACTAGTCATTTATCGAGACACCACTGTTGTACGTATCGCATTTGAGGAAAAACTCCCCCAAACAAAAGCTGCGATTTTATATCAATTTTATTATTTTGTTTTCAATAAAGGAATTTTTTCCGCATTGTCACCTGATTTAAATTGAAAAAAATATAAACAAATTATAACAGCAGTAATTTGTTAGGAAAAGTGTTGCGTTCTCAGTCGAATAAAATTGCAAAAAAAAATGCAATTTAAACTAGTTTTAATTATTTACTTAATTACCTACATATTCGTTCATTATTATGTCATACTTGCTCAATGTAAATACGTATCTATGCTTCTTTGAAAATGCCTAGATTTGAGGTGGATAAACGGAGATGGTACAAATATTATTTTAAATAATAAACATTTTATTGTAATATATGGTGGGAAATGGCTTAGAATTGCCATTCCTTAATACTACAAAATTCTGGAAGAAAATTTTTCTCACTCAAAGTATGTTTACATACTAAATCTGCCATCGGGTTAACTATGATAATTGTCCAATCACAAATAATTGTTGGTCTGTTCCAGAATGCAAAAGTTTTTACAACGATAACCGATTTTCCTTTTATGATATCGAAGAAAAGTGCCAAAATAGTGAGATAAAAAATCTGCAACAAAGTCAAACGTCATAAATTTTACTTTTTTTTAAATTTCATTGAATGAAAGCAAAAAATGTCGGAAATAGTATCAAATTTTAGAATAAGTTTAGATTTGTTCAAATTGGTCACCCTTGGCACGAATTATGGCCTTCAAACGGCCAATGAAACCGTCACACGCTACCCGAATGTTGCTCTGCGGTATTTTGGCCCATTCCCGGCGAAACGCTTGTTTAAGGTGATCGACACTTTGGTATTTTTTAGTGCCAACCTTGTTTTCCAAAATTCTCGAGACACAATAATCCAACGGATTGGTATCCGGAGATTTTGGTGGCCATTGTACGCTATAAATGAAGCGAGGAACCTCATTGGAATGTCCAAGGTCTGCGTCCAAAATGTTTGCGTGCCCGAGGCTTTAATACACCCTCCAGAATATTTTCGCGATTATATTCGGCGTTTATTCTGATGCCATGGTCGGAGAGCGACCATCACCAGTTATGGCGGCCCACTCCATCACCATGGCCGGCGCTTGAGTTCTGGTGGCCAACCGAAGTTGCACATTTTCAGCTGACCTCTTTGGCAAGTAAACCCGATCATTTTGTTTGTTTACCATCTGCTGGGCAACGATGTTTTCTAATCGGAGAAAACCAAATTCGACAGTTCACCACTTTCGGCCAAGCGAAGCAAATCTTTAGCTCTTTTGAGTCTATTTTTTTCTGGTGTGGTGTAAGTTCTTGCACTATTTGGAATTTCAATGGTTTTACCCCGAGCTCATTTTTCAATATTTACCGAATGGAATATTGCGATATGTTCAGCTCACGAGCCATTTTTCGGCAACTGCGACGCCGGTTTCGATTAAGTCGCTTCTTTACTTTTTGAACCATGTCTGCTGATATTGCTGTTTTCTTTCGTTCACTTCCTTGACGTCGGGCTACGCTACCAGTATTACGGTAACGAGCGATGGTACGAGACACAATACATTTATTCACATTTAAATGCTGGAGTCCTCTAACGATAGCCACTTGTGTTTTCCAGCCAAATATAAAGAAATCACACTATCACGCTAAAATTTCATCGCGAATAACTTGTTCTTTCTCACCAAAATGCTTTTTTACGCTTATAAACAACAGTGGCTTAGAAATGCCAACAGTCGGAAGTTGGTTGCAGTTTTTTCATCACAACCTGTTTAAATCTTCCTAGAAGAACACGAGTAGATGCATCAAGGCCTAGGAACATTGATATGTCAAAAATTCTAAAATGTTGTTTTTTTCGTTCAGGTATAAGTATATTTGTATATGTTATCTTATGGGACGCTAATCGTTTTCGTTATTAAACAATATTTCCAAATTTGAATAATTTTTCATTCAAAATTTCAAATCCAAAATTATTAAAAGTCATTTTGATTGGCCATTTAAATGGTAGAAGAATATAGGTAGTCGCATCGATACAGCTGCTGGGACAATGAACTGTCAAACTGATTTTGGAATTGAAAATGTTGAATGAAAAATTATTGAAATTTGTAAAAGTTCTTGAAAAATGCATATCACAACAACCTCCAAATGGCGTCGTGTAGGAAAACATATACAAATCTACTTAATTTTGAAGAAACATTTAAAAAAATTGACATATCAATGTTCCCAAGTGTTGATGCATCTACCTATATTATTCTACCATGGGCCATTTATCTGGGTTAACCCCAGTACACATTCTATATATGTAAACGTACTTTCAGTTCCCTAGAAAATATGTCTTTATTTGAATTCATATTAATTTCCCCTGTAACCTTAAAACTCAGTCTAACTCGTGAGGAATATCCCCATGTAGTATTAACTTAATATTCAAGTTCCGTATTTAATTGTAAACACCTTAAAAAATTAATATGCCAGCTGTTTTTTTTTTTTTTTTCAATAATAGTATCTTCGAACAAGAATTTTATTGCCGCAGAATCGTGTATGGCAAGGTCACGATATATATTTTTTTCTTGTTATTTAATATTTGGACTCTCCATAAAAAATGACTGCTTTCCGGGATCGAAATCCCTTTCTCACAAAGTTGCTAAATTTAGCAAATGCCTTTTTACACGTGACGCATAACACCTCATACATACATACATACATACATACATATTTAAGACCAAACCCTCATTTGCATATCAAAATGCCCCAGAGACGCTGCGTGACTTATTTGCCAACCAAGTTAATAAACAATTATCATAAAAAAGGCCACCCAGCGAAACAGCAGCGTCATTGTTTGTTGTGTACAAAACGAAATCTTCGATCCGAAATAGAAAAATCAATGTGTGAAATACGATTTATGTGTTTTTCTTCTTATGTACTTTAGGCATTCGGACCTGGTTTTTGTAGTTCCCCAAAACCGAATTGCCAATAAGCCGGCTTTGATAACAAACAAACAAACCACGATTTGATGACAAGAAAAAATAAAAACTTGTGAATTTTTCAAATAAAGATATTTACAGAGTATCTTTACTTGACTTTGAGACGGGTTTAAGGCAACAAGCTGAACGCGTGTTCGGCAGTTAGTTTGTTGGAAGAAAAAAGTCTATGTAAATCTTGTTTGTGTGTGTTTGGATTGCTTTTTTGTGTGAAAAAATAAATATGTTTTGAAAACTTTCTAATTGGTACAGAAATATGAAAAAAAATAATTTTTTCGAAACAAATAATATAATCAATTAAATCCATTACCACAAGATTGGCGTTGAAAATTACACTGTGCTACAAAAATTGAGTAAAAAATCGAAAAAAGAACACAATGGTCTTCCGATGGTTTGAAGTGGCGGAAGGCTGTCAAATGAATTTCTGGTGAAACATATTAACTATATTAAAGGTTTTAAAAATCTGAATTTGATTTCAATCTGAGATACTAGCAGCACTACTAGCACTTCTGCAAATGGTTGGATGTCACGAAAGGCTGCCTAATGAATTTCTGAATTAGACGATCCCGTAGAGAACACAAATATATCAACTATATTTAAGGTGTCAAAGATCTGCAGTCAATTACAATCCGAGATACTAGCGGACACTACTAACACTAAAATCTCAAATCGTCCCAAAGACTGGGATTATAAAAAGTTTAATGATGACATTTGCTGAGATGGACATCTGGCAAGAGTAGTTCTCTCTTGGATCCCAGCCATATATGTCTTCGGGGCTGGGAAAATTTACGAACTCGAACCACATTTGGATCTTTTTCTAAAAGAATACAAATTAAATAGCATTAGTTGGTTTTGCGGACAGATGTATACCCCCAGCCTATTCTCTTTTTGTGAAGTAAAATATTTTTTTGAAAATGTCGACTTTTTGTGGGGTTGGTACCAGAAGGAGTGAGTCGATATTGCCCAGCTCCGAACTCGAGCTAAGTTTGATAAAAATATTCCGATGTACCAACTTTGGACCAAATCGGATACTCCCTTCGAGAGTTATCGTATGCACCAGTCAGCCAGACAGACGGGCGGACGGACATCCCTAGACCGACACCAAATTTCGTGAAACGGATTTGGTCCAAAGAGACCTAGGGTCTAAAACCGTTATTTCGATAAGGCACTTTTTGGCCATATCAAATGATATGAACACTCTCTAGCCATATGGTTGAGTGAATAAAATCTCGAGAAGAAATCAGTCACAACGTCACAGGATTTTCACAGTTCGAACGGGCTAACTATAAACATAGTGGAAGCTAAGTAAAATGTCAAAACTCTCCTGCAATGGTTATGTCGTAATTGGAGAAAGGAAAATTTGGAGGAGTGGTTGAACACGTCCTCCATGGAAGAGTCTTCTCCCAACCACTGGAAGTCTTACAGAAATTCGAAGGCTAATTTCACACCTGGTATACATTTTCAGCATTGTGGTATCAACAAGTATAAAGAAGGACTTTGAACAGAGTTATTTAAATGCAGTACCAAAATAAATAGGTATTGGTGTTTTTGGCGTCCAACAGTGGCCGTCATGTAATGGTAAAACTCAATGTTCAAATCTATAATATCATCTTCCTATGTCTACAAATATTCGTGTATACTTTTGAAACATCTGTAGGTGTTATGGGAAAAAATCTGTCCTGAAAAAAAAATTACACAGACACTATAGGTATAAAACAAACCTTATACTTTAGTAATGAGGATTATATAATCCCAACTCTTTGCCCATTTTAAACATCCTTCGTACGTCTCAACTATCTGTGGCGCCCAAATGTAAGCCTCGTGTAGTTTGAAGTAGAGCTTGTGCAATGTATTTCAGGAGCAGTATGTTCTATCCGGAAGTTACTTTTTAGTATCATTTAGTGAATTTATCCAAGTATTGTTTTTGGCGCCCAATAGCGACTCTCCTCCAAAATGCTATTTAATCACAATTCTATATCCATTTTAAACATCCCTCATACGTGTTGTGAACATCCTGTGGCGCCAAAATGTAAGCCTCGAGTAGTTTCATTAAATTTGAAGTAGAACTTGTTCAATGTCCATCAGGACCAGTATGCTCCATCGGGGAGTTACTTTTTAATAGCATTTAGTGAATACATCCAAATATTGTTTTTGGCGCCCAAGAGTGACTCTCCCTCCAAAATGCTATTTAATCCAAACTCTATGTCCATTTTAAACATCCTTCATATGTGTTTTGAATATCCTGTGGCGCCCAAATGCAAGCTTTGTGTAGTTTCATTAAATTTGAAGTAGATCTTGCACAATGTCAATCAGGACCAGTTCTATCGGGAAGTTACTTTTTTAAAGCATTTAGTGAATCTATCCAAATATTGTTTTTGGCGCCCAAGAGTGACTTTCCCCCAAAATGATATTTAATCCAAATCTATGTCAATTTTGAAAATCCCTCATACGCTATTAGAACTTGCTGTGGTGCCCAAATGCAAGCCTCGTGTAGTTTCATAAAATTTTAAGTAGAACTTGTTTAAGGTCCATCAGGACATGTATGATACATCGGGAAGTTACTTTTTAATATAATTTTGTTAATCTATCGAAATATTGTTTTGGCGCCCAAGAGTGACTCTTCCGCAAAATGCTATTTAATTGCAACTCGATATCCATTTTAAACATACTTCTTTCGTGTTTGGAACATCTTGTAGCGCCCAAATGTAAACCTCTTGCAATTTCATTTAATTTGAAGAAGAACTTGTTCAATGTCCATCAGGATGTATGTAACTTTCTAATAGCATTTATTGAATCTATGTAAATATTGCTTTTGGCGCCCAAGGTTGACTCTCCCGCAAAATGCTATTTAATCCCAAATCGATGTTAATTTCTTACATCCTTCGGTCGTGTCATCTAAGTATTACCTGTGGCGCCCAAAAGTAGGCCTTGTGCATGTTTTTTTACTCTCTCTCAAGTTTTATGTAGCACAGTGTAAGTTTTTCTCTATCTCCCACTCAATATAATCAATTTAAAATAAAAGAAAAAAATCACCAAACGGTAATAATAATAATAATATTTTGTTGTTATGTCAACGAAATTCTATAAATCACAGATTCATCTTCATTCCAACGGAATTCATGCATACATACATATGCATATATTGCAAAACAAAAACTTACACCGAAATCCCATTTAAATGCACGATTCAACAACATTGGCCCACTACTATTTCAACTCTAGCTCAGAGTCAACGGCAACTGGGAACCCAGTGGTACAAAATATTTATACATGCGATCATTTATAATTATTGATAACTACAAAGAAGCGCAAAAAATGATACAAAATTAACAAAAAAAAAAAAAAAAAGACGGTGACAACAACAACATAACGTTGGAAGCAGACAACAGAATCGTGTGTGGATTTAAAGTAGAAGGGAGTTAACCGCTACCTCACAACCCAACCGATCAACAGTTTAAGCGTGGACTCTCACCGGATAACTTGTCAAGACGAAAGTTTGGCCTGAAATGAAATTATAAAAATACGTATTTTGCAATTCGAAAAAAAAAAAAACAAAATTAAAAAAAAATATATATATATATTGTGACAATGTTTTAATAAAAACGAATTAATTGCTTTAGACAAAAAAGCCTTAAGAAAAAATAAAAAAGCAAAACAAAAGAAAAGTGTAATCACCTGTAACAAATAACAACAAAACTGTATATAAAAATATTCCATCAAAATGGTCGAATCATCCATTACATCGACATTGTCTCGTCTCAAACAATTGGATTGGCAGAAATGTTTCTACATGTTTCACGTGGAGCCGATTGTTTTCCTGTTGGTCTTCTCCCACAGTCTGTCAGGTAAGATTATCTATTTTAAGTATTACGTTTCAGTATTGCATTTTGGGAAAAAACCAAAAATCTCAAAATACGTTGTAGACGGTATCATTTATTTAGGTAGTTTTAAGAATTGAAAATTTTGAATATTCATGAAATGAGATTTTGTTATTAAAGCTAGAAAATGCTTTTGGAGAAAAAAGGGGAAGGTAATTTAAATTGTTTATTAATAAAAATATTTCAGGGATCTACATTCCTCGGTTTGGTCGATTAATGTATCTACACGTGTTGATGGGTATCTTAGAAGTTGCTGTATGATGCCGAATCATAAAGGCCCGATAAAAATTGGGCTAACTGATTCCGTCCTATAAAGTAACTCAATTTTGAGGAGCATTCTTAACTTTTTTAATTTTATATTTTGATATTTTCCATCCATATTTACGAAGCTATATTCCAGCAATCCATTCAAAGTTACTCAAAATTACTTCAAGTTCGAGGAGTTTATAGTTTTGTTTTTGATATTTTTCTATCCATATTTAGAAAGCAACAAACCGCAAATTAAATCGAGCAGTTGAGTGGACTGGTTTTAATAATATATGTGATCTTAGTAATTTATTATATAGTTATTGGATTAAATGATATTAGTAAAACCAGTAATAAAGTAGCTCAAGCCAGACCACACAGTGTACAAAGTGAGATGAAAAAAAACTTCAACAAACTTCAGACTGCTGTTATTTCTAAGCCACTCGTCCGACAGCTGTTAAAATCATTCCAGTGACAGTTTATTATATTTTTTAGAAGCGTACAAAAGCATTTTGATGAGATTTTTCCCGGAAAAAAGGTTGTCGTGATGGAATTCAAGCGTGATAGTATGATTTCTTTATATTTGACTGGAAAACCACAAGTGGCTATCGCTAGAGCACTCCAGCATTTAATTGTGAATAAATCTTTTGTGTCTCGTACTATCGCTCGTTACTGTGATAATGGTAGCGTAGCCCGACGTCAAGGAAGTGGACGGAATAGCATATAACAGCAACATCAGCAGAGATGGTTCGAAAAGTGAAGAAGCGTCTTGATCGAAACTCGCGTCGCAGTGGCCGAATAATGGCTCGTGAGCTGAACATATCGCAATATTTCATTCGGCAAATATTGAAAAATGATCTCGGAGTAAAACCATTGAAATTCCAAAAAGTGCAAGAACTAAAACCACAACCGAAAAAAATAGACTCAAAAGAGCTAAAGAGTTGCTTCGCTTGGCCGAAAGTGGTGAACTGCCAAATTTGGTTTTCTCCGATGAGACAACATTCGTTGTCCAGCAGTTTGTTAAAAAAAAAAAATAATCTTGTGTACTTGTCAAATAGGTCAGCTGAAAATGTGCACCTTCGGTTGTCCACCAGAACTCAAGCGCCGGCCATGGTGATGGTGTCTGCCGCCTTAACAGCCGATGATCGCTCTTCGCTCATATTAATCGACCGTGGCAGCACAATAAATGCCGAATATTATCGGGAAAATATTCTGGAGGGCGTATTAAATCCTTGGGCACGCAAACATTTTGGCCGCAGACCTTGGACATTCTAACAGAACTCAGCACCATCGCCCTCACCAAGCGCCACCCAAGAATGGTTACAAAATGAAGTTCCTCGCTTCATCTCCAGAACACAATGGCCACCAAAATCTCTGGATATCAATCCGTTGTGTCTGGAGTATTTTGGAAAGCAAGGTTGGCATTAAAAAATACCAAAGTGTCGATCACCTCAGGCTAGCGCTTCACCGGGAATGGGACAAAATACCACAGAGCAAACTCGGGCAGCGTGTGATGGTTTCACTGGCCGTTTGAGGGCCATAATTCATGCCAATGGTGACCAATTATAACAAATCTAAACTTATTCTAAAATTTGATGCTATTACCGACATTTTTTGCTTTCATTCAAAAAAAAATTTAAAAAAATCGAAAAAATTATGGCGCTTTACTCTGTTGCAGTTTTTTTTATCCCACCCTGTACATAGAAATACTGCAACGGTATAACAAAAACTAAAAGAGTGCTCAACAAGAGTAGAATCTGTTCGATTTTGAACGAAATGTGATCCCATTCAAAAATGAGAAAAATATGCTCATTCGTATTCGGTAGAGATCGAAATATTGAGTTTGCTCTATTTTTTTCTGCTCCCAGTAGCCACACTCTCGAATTCGAGTGAGTTTCGTTCTTTGTACAAATTCAATCAATTTTTTTCAATTTTTCGGAGGTCTATGCATTGGCAATAAACACCTTTATAGTCTTAATTAATACCGTCTATATCAGGGCCAAAATGTTTTCGTTTTGTTCCCTTTTTTGCCCTCCACCATTCTATGGAGGGTATATTAACTTTGTCATTCCGTTTGTAACTCCTCGAAATATTTATGTCAGACCCAACAAAGTATATATATTCTTGATAAGCGTAAAAATCGTCCATCCTTCGAACGAAATGATTTAGAACGCTAAAATGTGTGTTTTTTTCCAAGTTTTCGTATAGCCCCATATAACAGTGCCTCTCAATATTCGGTATTTTGATGATTTTGATGACATTATCGACCGGAATTGTTTCAAATTTCGTATTTAAGGATCTTAATGGTTACTACAGTCTATGATAAATATTGTGTATGCAGATCTACCTACGTTTTAGTACAGCCACCACATAAAGGTACTTTCCGATATTCGATATCCGATCGGGGTTTTATCATTACACTGCATATTTTTCTTTTCCTGAATTTTAGTTAAAAAATACGCAAGACGAAATTGAAATTAATTTCGTGAAATAAATCTTCATTTCAGTTCTTCAATATAAAATAAACGATTTGCGTTCTATTTTTATTTGAATAAATTTTGCTGTTATTGCCATATTACAAATACGAAATAGACTGAAAGATAAATGGAAGATGATCTGACCTTTTGCTTATCGGACAGTTCGTATTTTAATGAGATTTGTAATAACGAAAAACGGTGTATTCAAGATTGTTCAAGTCTACATTGTTTATAATTGTTTCCTGGATTCGGATCTATAGATACAAAAATATACCTAATATTTTAATAAACAACTTCTTGAAGATTAAAATATCAAAAGAAAAACTTGAAAAATGTGTCGCAATCGTGAAATCGGACATCGGTATCGTGAAATGATAATGAGTTTTTTCTTGCCTATGACTGAAGAAATGAAAAAAAAAAGACGGCACCACAAGTCATACAGCCAGAGCCAATTCTATTGTGCCAGCAGTCATTTCCCTGTCGTGTTATTCACGACCAGGATTGGGCAACTAAACATTAAGTTTTATTGATTTTATGTATTTAATTTTTTTACCTATTTGAAAATAGCTATTACTTTGACTTACAGAGCTAAGAAATTGGACATCAAAGAAGCAAACGGGATAGGGAAAACGGTGAGACACATCCCCTCTAATTTTTGATATTCTACTATGTTGTGATGTCAGAATATGGTCAATAATTTTCATGAACGCTAAATTTTTAAGTAAAAATTAATCGCGAGTAAATTTTGCAAAAAGTTTCGAACAACATTCAGTAAAAACTAGCAAGAAAACAGCTGTTTCGCAAAATACATTCCTTAAGGATACAGTAAGATTTGCGAACTCTCTGTAATTCAAATTGCTCTTTTTACTTGTTCTCATTTACTGGACTTTTGGGTTTTCGAACAACACTTTTTTTTAGAAAATTGGGTAACGCCGAAGGTTCTTTTATACTTGAAATTGCTTGAAATTGCTTTTTAATTTTTATACCCTACACCACAAGGTGGTCAGGGTATCGTCTTTCTGCTTTTGTTTGTAACTGGCAAAAGGAAAAGGACCCAAAGTTCCTTTCGATCATATGCATGATTTATTGCCCGATCCAGATGAAATGTTGCACAAATCATTTTTGATCCAAGGACAAATCCTATCAAAATTTGAGATAATCGGTCAAAATTTAGATATAGGTAAGATGAAAAAACAAAGTCAAAAGCCATATTTTTTACATTTTTTTACGATGTTATTGAATGAAAGCAAATGTCGGAAATAGCATTAACTTTTAGAATAATTTGTAGATTTGTTCGAATTGGTCACCTTTGGCACGAATTATGGTCTTCAAACGGCCAATAAAACCGTCATACGCTGCCCGAATGTTGCTCTGCGATATTTTGGCCCATTTCGCGGCGAAGCGCTTGCTTGAGAAGATCGACAACCTTGCTTTCCAAAATACTCCACTCACAATAGTCCAAGGGATTGGTATCCGGAGATTTTGTAACCATTGTGCGCTGGAAATGAAGCGAGGAACCTCATTTTGTAACCATTCTTGGGTGGCGCGTGCTGAGTGCGATGGTGCTAAGTTCTGTTGGAATGTTCAAGGTCTGCGGCCAAAATGTTTGCGTGCAAAGTCTTTAATACGCCCCCCAGAATATTTTCCCGATAATATTCGGTATTTATTCTGATGCCACGTCGATTAATACGAGCGGAGAGCGACCATCGGCTGTAATGGCGGCCCACACCATCACCACGGCCGGCGATTGAGTTCTGGTGGCCAAATAGGGTGCACATTTTCAGCTGACCTCTTTGGCAAGTAATCACGATAATTTTGTTTGTTTACAAACTGTTGGACAACGAATGTTTTCTCATCGGAGAAAACCAAATTCGGCAGTTCACCACTTTCGGCCAAGCGAGTCTATTTTATTTATGTTGCGATGTAAGTTCTTGCTCTTTTTGGCATTTCAATGGCTTTACCCCGAGCTCATTCTTCAATATTTGCCGAAAGGAATATTGGGATATGTTCAGCTCACGAGCCATTTTTCGGCCACTGTGAAGAGGGTTTCGATCAAGTCGCTTCCTTACGTTTCGAACCATTTCCGCCGATGTTGCGGTTTTCTTCCGTCCACTTCCTTGACGTCAGGCTACGCTACCAGTATGACGGTAACGAGCGATGGTAAGAGACAAAAAATTTATTCACATTTAAATGCTGGAGTCCTCCAAAGAAAGTCACTTTTGGTTTTCCAGCCAAATATAAATAAATCACACTATCTTGCTTGAATTCCATACCGAATAACTTTTTTTCTGGAAAATTCTCACCAAAATGCTTTTGTACACTTGTAAACAATATAATGTGCTGGCACTGGAATAATTTTAACAGCTTTCGGACGAGTGGCTTAGAAATGACAGCAGTCTGAAGATGGTTGCATTTTTTAAACTCACCCTGTATATATACTTTGTAGTGTCTATCATGAATATTTCGAGGATTTACAAACGAAATGACAAATCTAATATACCCTTTATGGAATAGTGGAGGATATAAAAACTGGGTAATACTGAATTCTCTTTTTATTGGTAAACATAAAATTGTTCACTGTTTTTTTAATTGTATTCACACGTCAGTTTATTTTTTCGGGAGCATTCCTTATTCAAATTGTGACATTCGCTAGTTAAAATCTTACTTCCCCCTATAGCCATGGCATTTTAAAAAATATTTTTAGCCAAAAACTAACCATACTAAATTTTATTTAATTCGGTTCGGATTTATATAATTCCTTTCAACATATTTGTTTACACATGGGAGCTTAACTTCAATGGAATTTCGCCGAAAATCAAATATTTATTTGAATTTGTTACGTTTGATACATCGTATCATCTACCCTCGCGACTATCTTGCCTCCCTCCTTCGCCACATTAAACTACAATTTGTATGGTGAATTTTGAAATGTAAATCACACTACAATTGGGAATTTTTTTCTATTAATATAGCATTCATTCATTCACACATACATGTTAATATTCTCTTTAAAATAATGATTTGAAGTGTAACACGTACGGTAAATTAAAATTTGTTTGCTTAAATTTCACTTAAGTTTTTACAACGTCATCAGAGATAATATCAAGTTGACCTACTAAATTGGATAACAAAACTAGTTGTGCACCGCGATAAGTATATGAGATGTGAAAACTTAAGAATCTTATCTAAAAGCTAAATGAAGTTTAGCCTTATTTACTCCGAAAGTGGTTTCATAAAACGTTTTATTTGGATTGTCAATTCTTTTGATTGTACGTCAAAATAAAAGACGGATCTTGGTAAAAAGGGGTAATTTAGGTGTCAGCAGGTTTCAGCAAATTTAATTTATTTCAGGATTTTAATAATCCGAATAGAATGCAACCAAGAAAAGTCATTACTGTTAGTTATACAAAAAAAACTGCTGGTGGATTAGAAGCAACAATCATTCGGAATCATTTAAATTCGCTTTTATTGTTCTTCTCCAATAATATTTCCCTTTACATTGTTGTTTAATTTGAACAATTCAATTAACATTTAAGAAGCCATCTCAATTTATTAAGCATTTAATTTGCCTGTAAAGTTCAAACGACCAGAAGCTATTTTTTAATTTATTTTATTTTCATTTTGAATATTCCACACTTTTCAAACAAATGCTTGTAATTATTTCGAGTGATTTATATCACAATTAAAGTTATCATACACATGTATCATAATATTTATATCACATTACATTCCGTGAGCATTCTCTTTTTTTGCACAATCTCACATCAGCGTTGTGTAAGAAACGAAAGCAGACATTAGGGTGAAATGGGACCGGTATTCAATTAACTTTTGTTCTGTGAAGTGCACTTTTACAAAACACATGTTGAAATGCCCATCTGGCTAAAATACCATTTCATCTTAATGTCAAATAAAATCTTAAGGTATAAAGATAATAATTTGTTATTAAGTTTTTTATTTATTTCTAATCTTGATCTCATATTCTCTCTTTAAAAAAAACAACAACAGGTACCATTATGCGAAATGAAATTATTTATCAGGCTTGTACAGCTGTATTCGAATACAACGATACCGATTGTCAACAGCTGGGCACAAAAAATGTTACCGACTATTTACAGGTAAATACAACTACAACAATGACAGCAACATTTGAACATCTGTAATTACATGAATTAGCAGCCCCTATTAATAAACATTTTTTTGTTTATTTTCATTTTAGGAAATTGAAACGGAGGTCCAACCGTACGTGGCAAATTTGTTTATGATCCGAACACTGTTGGAGAGTATTGTACCGGCATTTTGCGGTGTCTTCATTGGCTCATGGTCAGATCATTATGGTCGTAAACCATTGTTGTTAATATCAATGATCGGTAGGTTTACTGTTGCCAAGTGGAGGGAGATTTTTTTTGCTCAGTTTTATACCCTCACCCATGTGGCTAGAGAGGGTACATATCATTTGATATGGCCAAAACGTGCCTCATCGAAAATCGGTTTTAAACCCTAAATCGGTTTGGACCAAATCCGTTTCAGGACATTTGGAGTAGATATAGCGATGTCCGTCCGTCCGTCTGTCTGCCATTTTATATGGCCAAAACTTGCCTCATAGAAAAAAGGTTTTAAACCCTAGGTCTCTTTGGACCAAATCCGTTTCAGAACATTTGGAGTCGATTTAGCTATGCCCGTCCGTTATTCTGGCTGGCGGTACGCACGATAACTCTCGAAGGCGGTATCCGATTTAATCCAAACTTGGTACATCGCAATATTATTGTCAAACATAGATCGAGTTCGGAGATGGGGAATATCGGTTCGGAGATGTCAATATTTTCAAAGAAAATAATTTACTGCACGAAAATAGAAAGGATAATCCGATTTTGCTCCAACTTTGGGCAAAAACGGACAATATCGGTAAACTCCATCCAGTACCTCCCCCACAAAGGTTCAAAATTTTGAATAATTATAACTCTTATAAAATGTGATGTAGGTGTCCCATTGTCTTCAAATTACACACATCGCAATATTCTTATTAACCCAAGGTCGGGTGTGAAGATGGGATATATCGGTCCATCCCTTCTGGTACCTCCTCCACAAAGGGTCAAAATTTTGAATATTCATGAAGCTTATAAACTTGGTACATTTCGATATTTCCATCAACACAAGATCTGTTATAAATATGGTGGAGATCGGACCATTTCTTCTGGTACCTCCACCACAAAGGGTCAAAGTTTTGAATAACACAAACGATCATAATATCCGAAATAAGCATTCGGTTCTCTTCAAAATACAAACATCACAATATTTTTACTAACCCAAGGTCTGGTGTGAAGATGGGATATATCGGTCCACTCCTTCTGATACCTCAACCCCCTCCAAAAAAAAGGTCTACATTTTGAATATTTATGAAGCTTATAAAACACAATTTTAACATCCGATTTCATTCAGACTTGGAATATCTCAATATCAACACAAGATCTATTATAAATATGGTAGAGATCGGACTATTACTTCAGGTACCTCCCCCACAATGGCTCAAAGTTTTGAATAAAAAAAAACTTTCATAAAATCCGAAATAAGCATCCGGTTCTCTTCAAAACACACACATTACAACATTTTTATTAATTCAAGGACTGGTGTGGAGATGGGATATATCGGTCCATTCTTTCAGGTACCTTCCCCACAAAGGGTCGAAATTTTGAGTAACCATGAATCTCATAAAACGGGAAATTAGCATCCGATCCCATTCAGACTTGATACATCTCAATATTTCCATCAACACAAGATCTGTTATAAATGTGGTAAAGATCGGACCTTTTCTTCTGGTACCGCCCCCACATATGGTTCAAGATTTTGAAAAACAAAACGCTCAAAGAAAGCTAAATAAGCATCCAACTCTCTTCAAAATTCACACAAACTTTTTTTCTTACACAAGATCTATTGTGAATATGATATGCATCTGTGAACCCCTTCTTGTACCTCACCCACAAAGAGTCATAATTTTCAATACTTTTATCTGTCATAACTTGTGAAAAAAGTCGTCAATTTTTTACAACTTGCTCTATCTAAATATGTCTCCCAACCGGAAACCTGAGATGAATATGAAATTTATCGGAATTTGTGATTTCCCATAAAATTGGATATAAATGTTCGATTTCCTTCAAATTTTACACGTACCGATATTTTTATCTGTATTAGATGAAGTATGAAAATGGTCCGCTATATCTTTACCGCACTCATATTTCCCTATTTTCCAAAAATTTGCACATATCTCATTTAGAGTATAGAAAGTCGTCGATATAGTCGATATTTATATCAGTCTTAGTTCAGATACGAATTGGTCAATATTGCCCAACTGCTTCGGAACCTACCCCATAAAGGGTCAACAGTTTGAATAATCATAACTCAAGGCTGGGGGCATACATCTGTCGGCAAACGTTTTAACTTGTTATATTGAGCTAAAGTACCCGTGTCGGCCTTATCCTAAACAAGTCTCCCAATAGATAAAACTCTTATTTAAAATTGGTTTTGATATTTCATTAGGGCTTAAATTTAGCTCAGTATCAGTAGAATTGAGAAGGGGGAACAAAAAAGGGAAAAATGGGGTCGAGTTCACCTGATCTAATTAATATTTTCAGAACTTGATTATGAGGAACAATTATAATTTGGAAATTGAAAAATAAAACCGCGATGATGTTTCCGAATTTATTTATTATCAGTTGTCTCAGTGTTTTTTTTTTTTCGATTTATGATTCACTTTAATAATAACCCACTATTTAAATATTTCAATATTATGTAAATAAAGAATAATCAAAAAATTCCCTTTACAGGATTTTCGGGCACCTACATTATTGCGGCCATTATACGTGAGCTGTCTCTACACTATATCGTCAATCCATGGTATTATGTCTTGGCTGTTGTACCCCACTCCATACTGGGTGGTAATTGTGTATTTTCTGTGGCCGCTTTCTGTTACATATCCGATGTTACCGATACCAAGACAAGACCCTATAGGTAATAGTTCTCAATAATTAGTTGTTAACAACAAAAACATTTATTATTCCCTCTCATTTTTTTTTCAGAATGATAATACTGGAAGCATTTCTATCAATTGGTCTAATGGTGGGTTCCCTGCTCTCCAGTCACATTTACGAGGCTACAAATGCAACATTTACATTCTCCATATCTGCCATACTGATGTGTCTAACCACAGCGTATATTGCAATTTATGTACCTGAAAGTTTAAATAGTGAGGCTATTAAATCTAAACCTGCATCAGAAGATGTCACAAAAGATGTGGCGGTCAAATGTAATGAAATGCCCATGAATTGCAGTATCATAACTGAAAGCTTGGGCAAAACAGAAACAAAATCACCGGAGAAGCCGGCTAAAATTGAGGATACTTTCCATGATGTTGATTTAAATGGCAATGATGAGAAGCAGGACAAATCCAAGGAAAATGAAGAAAATAACAAAAATGATTTGAATAAAAAGATAAGCAAAGAAGAGGAGCAACAAAATGATTACAATAAAGCCAAGTCGGCGGGTCTCTTCAGTTACATTCACATCAAGGAGATGTGGACAACGTGTTTCAGGGAACGACCATTTTATGATCGTTGTATCATCTTGTTGGTAACCGGTGCCATGTTTTTGGCAATCTTCGTTTTAGATGGTGCCATGACAGTATTTTATTTGTTTGTTCGGGAGAAATTCCAATGGACCGTCAGAGATTTTACCTACTATGAGACAATAAGTCATGTGACATCAATGTTTGGTGCCTTGGTGGGATTTTTAATTTTAAGAAAGGTAATAAAAAGGAATACTAATTGATTTTTTTTATAAAATAATTCGGTATTGTGTTGTTTCAGGTTTTCCGGATGTCTGTTGTAACATTGGCTCTCTTGGCATTTCTGAGTGATACTTTCCGCAGTGTCATACAAGGTATGGCATATGCTCCTTGGCATTTATATTTGGCTATTGCAGCGGGTTCCTTGAAAGCGGTCGGAGGCCCCATGTGTCGTACAATTGTTTCGAATATTGTTCCCGCCACAGATTTGGGTAAGCAGAAAATAGAGATGCATTGGCGCAAAGTGAAAAATTTTGCTCGAATGTTTCATTCATACGAAAATTTAAAATTATAAATTGATTTATATTCAAAAACAAAGTGACTTTCGATCTTATACTACTTTTGCGTCAACACCTAAAATCCGCACCCAGTATTGTTTCCTAATTTTTATATTTTCTTCATAGGTAAAATATTCTCTATCAAGAACATCCTTCAGTCCCTGGCTCCCTTCGTTGCTGCTCCCCTGTATACTGTGATCTATAAGGCTTCGTTAACCACATTCCCTGGTCTGTTTAATGTTGTCAGTGCGGCTTTATACTTTATAGCATTTATATTTATATTGTAAGTGTATGATTCTCAAACATTTTAAGGTGAATAAATTATATATATTTTCATTTTTTTCAGAGTGGTTTTCCGTTTTAAGGTTACCTATAAGGATCACTATGGCAAAATGTTAAAATAAATGCAGTTTGTAAATAATGAATTTGTTGTAAATATTATTGTAATATTTATTTTATATCAGTTGTTATAATTTTAATGTATATATAATATAGACAATATAATAAATATTGGGCTTTTTATTGCTTAGAGATATTCCCTTCAGATTAGGGTGGTACAATTATAAAAGGAATCTACAGGCTGAGATGAAAAAACTGCAATCAATTTCAGACTGCTGTCATTTTTAGGCAACTCGTCCGACAGCTGTTAAAATTATTCCAGTAACAGCTCATTATATTGCTCACAAGCGTACAAAAGCATTTTGGTGCCAATTTTCTAGAAAAAAAAGTTATGGAATTCAAGCGTGATAGTGTGATTTCTTTATATTTGGCTGGAAAATCACAAGTGGCTATCGTTGAAGCACTCCAGCATTTAAATGTTAATAAATCTTTTACCGTGATACTGGTAGCGTAGCCCGACGTCAAGGAAGTCAACGGAAGAAAACAGCAACATCAGCAGAAATGGTTCGAAAAGTAAAGAAGCGACTTGATCGAAACGCGTGTCGCAGTGGCCGAAAAATGGCTCGTGAGCTGAACATATCGCAATATTCCATTCGCCAAATATTGAAAAATGAGCTCGGGGTAAAGGCATTTAAATTCCAAAAAGCGGCAGAAAGAAAATAGACTCAAAAGAGTTGCTTCGCTTGGCCGAAAGTGATGAACAGCCGAATTTGATTTTCTCTGATGAGAAAACACAAACAAAATGATCGTGTTTACTTGCCAAAGTCGTCATCTGAAAATGTGCACCTTCGGTTGGCCATCAGAACTCAAGCGCCGGAGTGCCATGGTGATGGTGTGGGCCGCCATAACAGCCTATGGTCGCTCTCCGGTCATATTAGTCGACCGAGACATCAGAATAAATGCCAAATATAAAGCCTTGAACACGCAAACATTTTGGCCGTAGAACTTGAAAATCCCAACAGGACTCAGCACGCGCCACCCAAGAATGCTTACAAAATGAGGTTCCTCGCTTCATTTCCAGCGCACAAGGGCCACAAAAATCTCTGGATACCAATCCGTTGGACTATTGTATCTGGAGTATTTTGGAAAGCAAGGTTGGCAATAAAAAAAACCAAAGTGTCGATCACCTCAAGCAAGCGCTTCGGCGGGAATGGGCCAAAATAGCGCAGAGCAACATTCGGGCAGCGTTTGACGGTTTTATTGGCCCTGTGAAGGTCATAAATCGTGCCAAAGGTGACCAATTCGAATAAATCTAAACTTATTCTAAAATTTGATGCTATTTCAGACATTTTTTGCTTTCATTCAATAAAATTAAACAAAATGTAAAAATGATGGCGTTTGACTTTGTTGCTGTTTTTTTATCTCAACCTGTATACCGAAAAAATAATCGATTTTTGATATTTGTAACATGTTACAACAATTACAAATTTTTCCTTATGATATTGAAAAGACAAAACAGCAAAACAAATAAATTCTTGTAGGTTCTGGAACAAATCTAAGCGTTGCTGACATTCGTAGAGTAGGTTAAAATATTACCCCGAAATTACCCCGAAGCTTAATCAAATCGTAGACTTCTCTCTAGTTGCATTGTAGTTATGGTTATTTAAAAAAGATTTCAGGGTCCACAATTTTACATAAATTGAATACTGCAATTAATGTACTTAAATTGGTTTTATTTTTCCCAATTTTGAAAATAATTACACATTTTATGTGTATATTAACATTAAATGTACATTACACATATTGCTATTTTATATAAATCAATATATTTACTTAAAATATTCGGAAGACTCAAATGTTATGATCACATACGAGACAAATTTGTGTGTTTTGATTTTTTATTACAAAAGCATAACATTGTAATAATATATTAACTATTAAAACCTCCGAAAAATTGTACATAAATAATTATAAAATTGAATTGTATGCATACATGGATATGTAAGAGGTATTTCATAACATTTGGTTTATATACAGAAAAAAACACAAAAAGGTACTAATTATAATAAAATGTCTCCGCCTTGTCCTTTTTTAAATACAAACTTTTGCTAACTATAATTAAAAAAATGTTCCTTTTTTTTCGTGAGATATATAAAAATAAAAGAAAATGTTAGGTACTTCTTCCTTAGCTACTTATAGCCTGATAGGTAGCTGTGTGACCCAAGGATTTTTGTATGCCAAATATGATTCTAAAGAAAAAAAAAACAAAAATTAAATTATGCATAAAAAACGATATCAAAAGACTTACGATATGAATGTGAAGCATAACAAATACAAGCCGGCACTTATAAAGTTGAACAACCCTGGATGATAAGCCAAAGTGGCATTATACACAATTGTGTAAAGGGGAGCGGCAATGAGGGGCGACAATGATTCCAAAGAAGTGGTTAAAGCAAAAATTTTACCTAAAAGAAAAAAATATTAATAATCTTTTTAAAAATTGGTTGAAATATGCAATACTTACCAACTTCTGTGGCTGGGGCAACATGTGAAAGTATGGCCCTAGACATTGGTCCCATAATGCCACGCATAAAACCCAAGGTGAGGCCAACATACAATTCCCACCAATAAATGGCAGTGGCTCGTACAGTACTTTCCAGAACACAACTTGCAATGGCAATCATGTTCATTGAAGTTATCGAAAACTTCAATAGCTGTAATAAGAAATAAGTTTCAATTAATATCTATTTTGGAGGAAAATAAGCTAACTTACTCTTCTCAATACAAACATGCCCACAACACTACCAATTATTTGCACAACAATACGAGCAGCATTGAACATACTGAAATCCTTAAGAGTCCATTCAAATTGCTTTCGCACAAACAGATAGGTTACATTCGAGTCGCCTTCCATTGTAAAGATGGCTATTGTTAATGCCATCATTGTTAACCAAATAATGGAACGATCGTAGTTTGGTCTTCTTTTCAGGCAAGTTCGAACCAAATCTTTAACCAAATCGAAGCGGAAGAATTCTCTTATTTTGGACTGCAATCGGGGAGTTATAAAATTATGATGTATATTGATGATTATATATGTAGTTACTTACTCCCGAGTGTATTTGATCTGGCCGCAGACTTTCAATTACAAATATAACAACATAAATCAAAGCCAATAACATTAGACCCGAGGATATGGCAAATACAGTTACTGTATTTGTGGCAGCATATAAATAACCACTAACAACATTACCGATCATCATGCCCGTGCACAGAGAGGCTTCATTCAATACCATTCTACAATAGAAAAATAAAGTTAAAATCATATACCCATAAATGATCTGTTCCAGAACTGCAAGAATGCATAAAAATTTACTACGATAACCGATTTTCCCTAACTAATAGATTCTTGCAGGTTCTGTAACAAAGCTTATTTTCTCAATAATAATTTATCACCACTCACCGCAAAGCTCTTGCTTTTTCCTTTGCCACATCCGATATATAACAATAAATTCCAGTAATTAAGGCACATGTTCCACCACTGAGAACTGAGGGTACTGAACTTAACAGAAATATCCATGGACTAACAACAGTTTTGGTGGCAATGAAACTTAAGAATGTTAATATAATGGAACCGGTAAGATAACCTAATTTGGAAAGAGATATGCATATTTATATAAGTCATATATTTTTATAATATTTTTTCATACCTGTAAAAGTAGTTAAAACAATTGGTCGCCGACCAAACTTGTCCGACCAGGGACCAATAAATAAACTGACAATGGCTGGTATTATACTTTCCAGTAATGAACGAGCCATTAATATTCTTGCAACATATGGTTGAACTTGGGTTTCTATGAGCTTTAAAGAAATAAAAAAATTATAATTAATATATAATATATTTTGAGTCATCATTATTGTTTTGTATTAATTAACAATTAGCGTTAGATAACAAGTGGAGAAGATAAACAAATCAATATTGCAGTTTTTGTTTAAATAGTTGACTGATAAAATTTGCTCAACTCTGGGTGATTCACACATTCAAAATTTCCCATAAGTATACGCCATTATATATTTAGCATAAAAAGTAAAAAAACATAAGTATCACATTGAACCTAACACAATTGTGAAGATAATTGATACATTGAAATTGTTTACAATTTAATTGCTGACATTGTCACAAAAGTGTGTTATAAAGCTAAGCTCTTCATTCCTATTGCATATATTTAAAAAAAAGAGATAAGCATGTAGAACTAACTGTGATAACAACAGTAGTAAATATGAATATTAGAAAACATCAACTGAATCAAGTGTACGCCCCAGATTTTCCATGCGTACTTTATGTGTAAATAAAGACTAAAGAATGCAACTTTAAACAATGGAAACAATAATAGAATCAATTAATGCATATTTTATTGCACTACTAAAGAAAGAAAGAACAAAGAAATCTAATTAATTATAGCTAAAGAAAAAATAGTAAAAAGAACGAAGAGCCAATAGGAAATGCTAATAAAGATCACAGTGTTTCATAGCCATAGGTTCATTCGAAATGTTTTCTGAAATAAATTACAGACATGTATGACTCTACTTGAAACATTTCCATACAACACTCAGTGAATGTAGCGCCATAAAACATCATCAATTGATTTTTTTCTCGTTGTTTTTATTTTATGTTTATTTTAATTTGACTTCACAACTTTAACAAAAAAACGATTTGAATTTTAAAAACAAAGTAATTTTAAACTAATTTAGCGCTATGTTTAATCGCCATGAAAATAAAAAACACGTTTGGAATGACTTCGAAAATTGGTCACATTTTACTTTTTGCAAATAAAAACTATGCAGCCAAATTTCAGTTAAATGTAAAAAATTGGATGGTAATTTTCCTCAAAATTCAATTCCATTTTTAGTAGACGGCCCTACATAATGCGTGGTATATGGTTTGTTTTGGCAATATGGCGATTTGCCAACATTTTATTAAAAACAACTATTACACAGGCCAAATGTCTAAATAATTACAATATTCCTTGCATAAAAATGCGTTACCTTCTGTGCCTAGGGTATATAATCGGTAGCTATAGCCTGATTTACTTGAGAATAATGGAGTGTCCAAAGTGCTGACTCCGCCATTGTCTCAGTTCATTGAGACGCAGGGCACACCTAGAAGCGTGTTTCTCTACAAATAAACCTAACCGTTTCAAATTGAGTTGGGTGTCTTGTTCGGATTGGGGTGTGCTCCTAAACGCGCCTGTAATTAGTAGCCATTCAGCTCTTTGGGCTTTATCAAAGCTTATACTGAAGGTGGTTTTCCCTATGGAGTGCCACCAAACAAGCCCTTCATAGGTTAGTATTGGTCGGACGACTGACTAATATAACTATTTGATTATGTGCGGCTTAAGTCCCAGTTGTTTCTTATGGAGTTTTTGCAGGAATAAATTGCAATTAAGCCCTTCTTCGCTCGCTCCTCGATGTTCCTTGCCAGCTTAGTTTCTGGTCTAGGATGGTACTGAGATATTTGGCATCCGAAGAAAGGCTTAGCATAACACCATCAAGTATTTGTAGCGAAAAGTCTGGGATTTTCCGCTTTCTTGTAAAGAGTACGAGCTCAGTTTTTTATGGGTTCACGCGTGCCCATCTGGAGAGTTTAACTAGATCTCCCTGCATAAGATTGCTTTAGCATAAAGAATAATATATGTCAACCGAAATGTTTTTACTATAGACATTAGAAATCCATATCGCCAAAAATTTTTGGGTGAACCTGTGGCCCTTTTCCTTGAATATTTCTTTAAAATGCAGAGGATGAAACGTTCAGTACCGGCTAGCAGCATTTAAGATAACAAATTCCACTGAGTTTTATTTTCCTGTTGCTAACACGCTTGTTTCTTTTTTGGGAGAGCACATTTTTGTTTGTAACTTACGAGAATTGCATAATGAAGATAAAATAAGTCGCAGCTATACTTCTTATCTTTAAAATGCGGTTGCACTCGGTAATGGTACGATAACCCCCCTTAAATTATTAAAACTTAATATATGTATAAAAATACAATAATTTCAAATTCCAAAATATGTTGTTAGATGTAACTTACTTTGACCTCTTCTGTTTCGCGTTCAACGCCCAACAGTGGTGCACATTGGGTCTCATTGTACTCAAAAACGTAAATGCAGGTTTGATACAGCAATTGATTTTGATAGACAGTACCTAAATTGTAAATTAAAAAATTGTTGTAGTTGTAATGAAATAAAACAATCTTTAACAAGTATTCTTATCTCACCAGATAAATACATTGCTAGAAATACTAAAAATACTGCTGGTTCCAATATAAAAAATCGATGCTTTATCACCTGTTGACCCTCAACAGAAGGCAGTGTTGAATCGGAATTACTGGAGGAGTGACTATCATCATGACCATTTGGTGTTGTCTGTGGAGTTTCGGTTGTAGTAGATGTCGCATCTATGTTCTGGGCAACTCCATTCTCAAAATCTTCATCATTGGGATCGTATAGCCTTTCTTCGTCGTTGTGCATTTTGTGGGATAATAGATGACACCGCTCTTTTGTTTCTAATACACTTGCACTGGCATTTGTTTTATCATTGAACAAAGAACTTGTTTTGTTAATAATAATTTACGTGTTTTCGTAATTCGTCATCTGTGAATGTGTAAAACTTTAATTGTGAACATGCAATTGAAGCATACAAAAGTATTGTAATTAAAACAGAGCCTCAATTATTTTAAGTTTTGTTAAATTCAGTTTCCATAAAACAATAAAATTTAACAAAATTTGGTTGGATTTGGTTCACGATGACTTGTTTAAAATTGAGGGACGACGATCTTCTTCTATGGACGAAGAGTTAGAAAACAATAACTTTCTCCTCTTTGAAATTAGGCGCTCATAACTATTAAAAACAAATTACACTTATTTGTTATTAACACTTTAATTTTAGCATATTATTGAATCACTGCGCACTACTTCAACTGTTGTGACCGTTGTGCATGTCTCGTTCAGCTTGTTCAGATGTGATTGTGATGTGAGTTGGTTGGTGTGGAAATTATTTTTTGTTAATTTTTTATAAACAAAATGAAGGGAAGCTAAGGTGTGTGTGTGTTTTGTTGACAAAGCAAACGTCACAAACAAATTAAATAGGTCGTCCGATTAGCCCAGCTGATTTCACCCATTCTGTCAAAATACATTTGTTTATATTGGGAATTCGCCGAAAAAATGACAAGCTGCCATTATCTGTCTGGTTATTTTCCTGAAGTAACTGTCTAGTAGTTTCTTTCTGAGAGTTTTTTTCTCTTTTATTCTCAGCTCATTTATGAATAACGATGGAATAAAAAGAAATGAAGTACACACAAATTTAAAATAAGCCGTAAGACTATACAATTAGGCTTTTGATTACTAAAATAATTATGTTTTAAATGTGCATCGGATTAAATGTGCATAACAAATGATTGCAAGAAGAAATTTTCCCAGGAAGAATTTGCAAGCACTCAGTGAATGAATTCCTCTCTCGAGTGAGTAATTCTCTTTTGCAGAACTTTTGTGTTAAAAGTAACAGTTGTTAAAAATGGGTAACCAGACACGCCTAATTCTATTTTGACTGCTTGACTGCAAATGCGATTTTTTCTGTTTGGCCAACCTGCTTTTAATAGCAAGTGGGGAATATCGAACATACAATGTAAAGTATCTTTCTGAATTTGGAGGAAAGCACAGACGATTTGGTCCAAGGTAGCCGCGATATTGCTGGAAGAATTGGACATATACAGAATGTCTATCGCAAATTAGTGAAACTATTTTCAATTATAGTCCATTTAGGCCAACGAGTACTTCTCGAAGTACACCTTCCAGTATCGAAATGCTATATTCCCGTGTTAGTAAAAATCCTAATAGTATCCTCCACTCATTACATAACCCACTAAGCTGCAGTTCTAAAGAATATGTAACGACATTACTGTCCGAGTCAGTAACTTTTAATGAATAAATTGGATTGCACACGTACGTTCCTGTTCAGTCATCCCTTCAATAATAGTGCGCAAATGTTCCTTAACATCATCGCCAAATCCCACGAGAGTTGGTTTCGTTTGCCAACTTAGAACACTTTCGGTACTGGGGAGAGCAAATTTAAACTTATCTATCATGTATTCATAATTTTCTTTTGATAGAAGTTGAAGGTGTTGTACTACATTTAATGCTGATGACGCGAGCAAATGCATTACTGGCTTTACTTGCCTCCTTCCCTGGGAAAATTCCACTTGCTAGGAGAAACTCAACAATGCAGTACAGCTTTTATACCATGATAGAAGAATTTAGGTAGATGCATCAACGTTTGGGAACATTGATATGTCAAAATTGTTAAAATGTTGTTTCAAAGAGGCAACACCATTGTTTCACACATCAAAACAACACGAAATTCAATCAAATGTGTGATTTCAATGAAAATATAAAAAAATAAAAATATATATGAAACGGAATTTCAAAAAATTAATATCAAGTACATTAATCTTATCTTAAATCTTAACTCAAATGAACTTTTCGAAAAGTGAAGTTGTTCAAAGAGATTGTACCATGGATTGTACACAAAGTTGTATCGTTTGTGGCCGAAGCATACAACTTGACAACCCTCCAGGTTGTACCAACGGTTGTATCGTGTGTGGCTTGCATTATACATTCACAAAAAATTGACAGCAAACGTATTCTTCTGTCAAGGCAAAAATATTTATTTTCGCCTCAAGCATTAATTTTGACATTTCATCTAGTAAAATAACAGCTGTTTTTAGATTAATTCGCTCGAAGGAAGAGCTTATAATTGGGCCATGAATACGTCATTACTCAGGAGTTGGTGTTTTTTTTTAGTTTACTCTGCAAACCACGTATAATTATCACAAAAATACAAAATAGGAAGTTGTAAAAATCAAGAATTGACCCACAATTAGAAGATTCTAAGTGATATCATATAAAAAGCAAACACAGAGAGACAAAAGTTGGTCAACCGACACGATCAGAAAGAGCAAGCAACAAGTAAACGTAGCTTGATTTCACTCCAAGTACAATGCGAAGAAATGCGTAAGTTAAACGTCTGTGTGTAAGGAAACAATCACAAATTAAATGAATTCCAATTTTTCAGACGGTCAATTAATCATGAATACGATGAGTATCACAGCTCGCCAACACTGCTATTCACCGAGCCCCCAGCGGCAGCTGCGGAAGATTTTCTAATGGAAAGACTGTCAACGCGCCAAAATACACAACATCGCTTCGAAAACACCATAGAGGCCAAAGTGGAGCCAGGCGACACACTACAAGCCATAGCTTTACGATTTCACTGTACGGTGGCAGATATCAAGAGGCTGAATAAAATCGATAAGGACAATGAGATTCATGCTCGCAAAGTAGTGAAGATACCAGTGACAGTGCACAATGTGTTATTGGACAATCTACCCATAGTTCATAAAAGTGGCAATAGTAGTCCTAAATTGAATCAAAAATCTAGTGGTAATGATAGCCGTGATAGCGATAGTGGTCTGAGCAGTATTGTACGCAATCCATTGGATGATGCACAGGCTATGTTGAGCGAGAAATTAATGGTGGCCTCGGTAAATTCTTCGAGCCGAGATGGGCCATCGACTAGTAGGGGTTTTACCGGAAGAGATGAGCATGTCAACAACATCATTATGAATTCGAAACTGAAAACAGCGACGACGGGTGCAATGAATATTTACACAGATGAAGGTAAGTGATGTATACCACATTTTGTCAATACGTACATCAATTCGAATGTACATGATAATTTATTGGATTGAGTGTGTTTTGTGTAAGTGTGGTGTTAAATAAGAATACAATTTTGGAGTTGGTGTATATATTTATACGAATTGGTACACATGCACCAACGGCTATAAAGAAGTAAATACATGATAATTAGCTTTCAAAAACATCAGCTATTATCAACTATGATTCAGTTTATCGCCATTAATCATCTGATTGAAACCAAAGAACTCAAAGAACTAATAGATATACTTGATTGCAAAAACAAAACGATAAGACACCGCATATGAGGAATACAAGGCATACCAACAATGGCTAAAATTTGGCTTAAAAATGTTAAAAGTTTTGCAAGTTTTTTTGCACGTTTTTGATCCAAAGAGGAAACGAATTCGTAAAGATATGGTTTTAAAAGAAAAAATACATTTAAACAGCTTTTCCTTCAAATGCTTTTTCCATTCACTTCAGCTGTAACGGTTATAAGCATTAATATTTGTTTAAGTTAGTTTAAATTGCCCAATAGTTTAAAATTTTTGGTATCTTTTGATTGCTTTTGGATATCTAATTTTTTGTAATATTAATTTCGTTGCATGCCAACCCGACTGTCTCGTTATGTTACGATTTATCTCCGCCTCCAAATATCTGCAATAAAGGAAATTTAAAACTTTTTCACATTAACCCAACTTTTAGAATCTGTAGTAGGATTTTGTAGTAGAAAAATTTCGTTAATTACCGAAATTATAATACCATTACCACTTTGTTATACAATGCATTTATTATACCTTCGTTTTCATAAAAATTGGATTTATAGCCTTTTTATCATTTGATTATTTAAAAGATTAAATTAAGAATACATTAGTAAATGAGGAACGTATCTGCATGAACATCTACGAAAAAGGCGTCAATTTAATTTATGACAGATAATAACGGTAAGTATAGCGACCACTCTTTTCATTGTCATTCTCTTTACAAAGAAAAAATCTTTCTCTGAAACACCCTGTTGTGTGAACAACGATGTTGGCTATCATTTCCCGTTACGTGTCAAACAAGAAGAAGCATTTTGACAATCAGTCAAGCACTAAAGAAATTGCCAATTTGTATAGTCATTCTTCTAAAGCTTCTAAAGCCGAAATAAGCAAAATACATTTTGTTTAATCATTTTTTATTGAAAAACTTTAACGAAATTAAATTGTAAAACCATGCCTGACTACTTGGGAGACGATCAACGCAAAGTTAAACACGAAGAAAAGGAAGAGAAAGAAATAAAATCTCTGGATGAAGGCGATATTGAATTGTTGAAAACCTATGGACAAAGCCAATATCACAAAGCCATCAAAATCATCGAAGAAGACATACAGAAGGCTGTAAAGCAAGTCAATGAGTTGACGGGAATAAAGGAAAGCGACACAGGTTTGGCACCGCCAGCCCTATGGGATTTGGCTGCCGATAAGCAAATTCTCCAAAATGAACAACCCCTTCAAGTTGCCAGATGTACCAAGATTATCAATGCCGATTCGGATGATCCCAAATATATTATCAATGTTAAGCAGTTTGCCAAGTTTGTCGTAGATTTAGCCGATTCAGTAGCTCCAACTGACATTGAAGAGGGTATGCGTGTCGGTGTCGATCGTAATAAGTATCAAATCCACATCCCTTTACCACCTAAAATTGATCCCACTGTCACCATGATGCAGGTTGAAGATAAACCCGATGTCACATACAGTGATGTGGGTGGTTGCAAGGAACAGATTGAAAAGTTACGTGAAGTGGTAGAGACACCTTTATTGCATCCCGAAAAATTTGTTAATTTGGGTATTGAACCACCAAAGGGTGTGTTGTTGTTCGGCCCTCCTGGTACAGGTAAAACTCTGTGTGCCCGAGCTGTGGCCAATCGCACAGATGCCTGCTTTATTCGTGTCATTGGTTCAGAATTGGTACAAAAATATGTGGGTGAAGGTGCTCGTATGGTTCGTGAACTCTTCGAAATGGCCCGTTCCAAGAAAGCCTGTCTTATTTTCTTCGACGAAATTGATGCCATTGGTGGTGCACGTTTTGATGATGGTGCTGGTGGTGACAATGAGGTACAACGTACTATGTTGGAACTTATCAATCAGTTGGATGGTTTCGATCCCAGAGGTAACATCAAAGTTTTGATGGCCACCAACAGACCAGACACCTTGGATCCTGCCCTCATGCGTCCAGGTCGCTTGGATCGTAAAGTTGAATTTGGTTTACCCGATTTGGAGGGTCGTTCTCACATCTTTAAGATTCATGCCCGTTCTATGTCCGTTGAGCGTGACATACGTTTCGAATTGTTGGCCCGTCTATGTCCCAATTCCACCGGTGCTGAAATTCGCTCGGTTTGCACAGAAGCTGGTATGTTTGCCATACGTGCTCGTCGTAAGGTTGCTACCGAGAAAGACTTTTTGGAGGCTGTCAATAAGGTCATCAAGAGCTATGCCAAGTTTAGTGCAACACCTCGTTACATGACCTACAATTAAACTATCGCTATAACCTGGAGAGAAATTATTCTGTCTTTATTTTCAACATAAAATTTAGTTTTAATCACATAAAGAGCAACCACATGGAAAACGAATTGCGCTCGGAAATATTTATGTAAGAAGTATTCAATAAAAATTTCCTAATAAAATATAAAAAACATGAGATGATCTTTTGTGTTCTCTTGGATTGGAATTGATTTTATTGAAGTTGGAACGCCAATTGGAGGTAAATAAGATGTGCTGGCGGAAATATTGATATAATTTGCAAAACCGAAAGTGGGATGGAATGTTCCAAATATTGTCAAAATAACAAAAAGCCTCGATTAAACTTAAGATATTAAAATGGATTTGGTCTTTCTGAATTGTGACAATTTGGTTCGCTGGGTAGCTTTAAGAATTAAAATGTAATGTATTATTCATCAAATCTTAATGTGTCTTAAACTTATTTTTATATATTATTTTTTCAATATTTTTTTAGAATTGGCTGCCACAGATATAAATGATGCCTCGGCCCCTCTAATCACAGACATTTTGGATGATTCCACAAATGTGCCTCAAATACATCGAATCAAAGGCCCCTCATTGCGTGCCATTGATTGGTCGGGCTCAGACTGTGATATGTCGTGGATATGTTTATTTGTTGTGATCTTGGCTTTGTGTTTTGTCATACCCCTCGTTTATGTAGTCTATATTGCCGAACATGCCCATCACAATATTACGGGATCATCCACAACTGTCGCCTCAGCACATCATTGACATATTTTGTAAGCATATTTTTTTACAAAACACAGTACTCAGTACATAATTATGACCATACATGTCGTCTTGGTACAAAAATTGTATCACGATGAGTTTTAAATACTATCATTTTATCATTCCTCGCGAACTAAAAAAATACAGGACACTAAACACGTGTTTTGGGATACAGGATTTTCTTTAAGAAATACATAAATAAATTTAAAATAAAATAAAATTCAAAGGAAAATATGTCAGCTCTTCTCAAAGTGAAGACATTTTAGAACGATTTTAACTACCTTTTGTATACAAAGCAAAAAAAAAAATATTGTTTTTAAACAACAACATCAAGATTTTTAAGTAAATTTTAATTTTATTTGATAATAATAAATATTAATTTATTTAAAATAATAGAAACTACTCGAAACATTTAATTCTAGTTTCTAATTCTATGGCATTCTATAGGTTTTAAAATAAGAACTAAGAAATAAACTTCCAAAATAAATGTTTTCAAAACATAAATCATAAGAATTATGGCAAATAAACGAAGCTGTATTTTTATACACTATAAATTAAGTGTGTTAAAAATTTTTATTATTATGAATTTATTCATTTTATTTTACATTGTTCAATATTATTTTAATTGTTAATTTTTTGTGTTTTCTTTTTTTATGATTATTTTTAAGAATTTAATTCAATATAATATCAAGACTCATCGTTTAAATATTTTAATTACCGCATCAAATAACTCAATTTCAACATTCATTCATGGTGATTTCAAGAACAAGAACAATCAAGAAAATAAAGAACATATTTTTGCGAATATTCAAGATTTCCCAAAAGCATCAGGTAAGTTGTAACTCCTTATACATTTGATTTACGAATTGGATCTGTAAAGACATTTGTATTATCTACTTGATATGAACTTCATTGTCATTATATATAACACATAAAATTGACAAATAATCGATCTTCATTATCTTGACTTTAAAAATCACATTAAATATTTCAAATTATTTGATGGGTGATCAAAAAATTGTTTTTAGTTGAGAAAAGCGTGTTCAGAAATTTTGCTAAAGAATACTTTTAGGACTTGTTTTATTTGAGTATTAACCATCAGCGTTGTGATATTTTCATGTATATTTATAGCATAGTTTTAGGAGAAAAAAAAATATATATATCTTGGCACTTACCGTAGTTGAAAGAAATTGAACAACTCCTGACAACAAACGCAACTAGCATCCTTAGTTCATAGGTTTTCAGAGTTTTATTTATTGCGTGGAAATCAAAATCGGCATATGTTTGAGCCCATCCGCTATGCTAGAAGAAATACACTATCCAATCCCACGGCAGCGGGTTCTACGATGCCGGATTGAACCGAAACAAAAATATCCCTGTTACGACCAGCGGCTGTCCCCTCAGTGTATACATTTGATGTTCGTGTTTTTTATGTTCCTGCTTTGGGAGAGGGATATCCGAATTATTTTTGAGGAGAGTGTCACAGTTTGCCAGACTTATCTCTTAACCACATGGTCTGCGGAGATGAGAATACAGTTGAATGTGCAGGTCGAGGGAACTTTCTTAAAATTCAACAGCATGTTCAAGTGGTCCGCGCAAGCCACAACTATCTATAATTAAATGAAAATTAGGAACAAGGTCCTCTAGACGTTAGCCGACAACACTTGGGGTGCGGACAATGAGATTTTGTTGACCTCTTGTAACGCGATTTTGGTCGGTATGTGGCCATTTTCCAGACCTGCCAAAAATCTGCTCTGAGAAATGCAATCTACATGCATTGAGTGCAGTACCCTATTGGATGCTATCGTTGGAGCAAGCAATAAGGCATGCCAGAAAAGGTCTGCACGATCTAGGTTGGGAGGTCCAACACTATAAGAGGGTCTCTGAATCAAGAAGTCTATCAGGCAGATCTGAGTAGCATTTATACTGACATCAGATGCATCACAGATGCAATCAAAAACCATAAAATGAATGTTGTCCCCGGAGTCCACCTCCCCTATATTGCAGCTAAAGAACTAGAAAATTCGGGGTAGTTTTGGCGCAATTGCGTTTAGGATGGTGCGTCGTTTACCCGGCGTGTGATACAGTCTCACACAATTCATTGCATCTCTTTAATTTCCCTGCCAAACGCACCTAACTCACTCCAGAAGATCTTTGGTTATAGACCGCAAGAACGTAATTAACAGAAATCAGAAATAATTTTATCAAGTCATTATACCCTCAGACATATGGCTAGAGAGGGTATATATCATTTGCGTGCCTAGTCGAAATAACGGTTTTAGACCCAAGGTCTCTTTGGGGTAAATGAATCCGTCTGTCTGTCTAGCTGTTGCGCACAATAACTCTCAAAGAGAGTACCCGATTTGGGCCAAACTTGGTACATCGTAATATATCGGTACACTCCTTTTGGTACCTCCCCCACAAAAGGTCGAAATTTTAAAAAAATTATTTTTGCGCAGATAGGTAAGCGATAATCCGATCTTGCAAATCATAATATTTGTATCAGTTCTAGATCAGGTGCAAAAATGGATAACATCGGTTCACCCCATCAAGTACCTCCCTCGCCCCAATAGGGTTCAAATTTTGAATATCCATGATGCTCATTAAACGCGAAATGAACATCCGATTCCATTTAAACTTTTTACATCTGAATATTTCTATCAACACAGGATCTGTTATAAAGACGGTAGACATTGGACCATTTCTTCTGGTACCTCCTCCACAAAGGGTCAAAGTTTTGAATAACCAAAACTTTAATAAAATCCAAAATAATCATTATGCTCTCTTTATATTTCACACATCCCATTATCTCTAGTAAGACGAGATATGTTTTAGTACCTCTCCCACAAAGGGTCAACAGTTTGAATATCCATGACGCTCATAAAACGCGAAATTAACATCCGATTCCATAAAGACTTGGTACATCTCAATATTTCCATCAACGCAAGATCTGTTATAAAGATGATAGAGATCGGATCATTTCTTGTGGTACCTCCCCAACATTGGGTTTAGGATTTTGAAAAACAAATCGTTCAAAGAATGCGAAATAATCATCCAACCCTCTTCAAATCATATATCTGCGAACGTCTTCAGATATTTCGCCCACAAAGGTCACAATTTTCAATACAAGCGAAACAAATTCTTTAAACTTGCAACAACTTTATCTCAATATTTTTCTTCGCATTAAATTGTATAAAAATGTTCGATTTTCTTGTAATTTTCCCATATCAATATTTGTATCTGTATTTCAACAACAATTTCTAAAAAATATTACATATCTCATATAAAGTGAAGAAAGTAGTCATTAGTCCAAACCTGGCACCTCGCAATATTTATATCATATTTATTTAGGTCCTATACGAAATAGATCCTGGACGAAATGGCCCATTCTTTTGGAACCCACTCCATAGAGGGCCAACAGTAATAGAAGTCAAAATATTTTTAAATAATCGAACATCGGCTATGGGTATACATCTGTCGGAAAACCGACTGACACATTTTAACTTTTTTAATAATCAACTCCTCTTCTTTTGCTTACCAACTTTGCCAATTAAGTAAAAAAGAAAACATTTTATTTGCATTTTAACTTTTTTTCTTTTAGTTTATTTTGGTTATATCTTTGACTTTTACTTAGGTATTGTTGTTCATGAAAGCGTTATTAGTTTTTAATTGCTTTATTTTCGATATTATCGATTATTATGTTTTTGAAACCTTTTTTTATAATTGTATATATGGGTAGCTTCTACTAGATATACATATGTAATGTAATGAAAAATTATTACATAAATAAGACAACAAAAAAAACAATAATATGAAAAAGTTCGATGAGGAAAAATAATGATTTAATGATAAAGAGGAGGAAGAGGAAAGAATGTTAATGGCATTACAAGATAGCTAGCATGTATAGATAGAACTCTTTCATTTGGACTTACACAACTAAATAGATATTTGTTTTAACAAAACTATTTAATAATACCATAAATACTTATTTATAAATTAACAAAACGTTTAACTTTCTTCTGGTTGTTATTTTTTCCTCTGGAAACTTACAACTTATGTATGCGGGCTGAGGGGGGAGCGTTTTTGATGTATGAATAATGTGTGACAACGAACAACCTATTTCTCCTTTTTTTTCTTTAAAATAAGAATAATTGATTTAAATAAGTTTTTTTTTCTATAACAAACAAATATGGGTTAAATTTGTTTAATATAAATTACAAAATCAAAAAAAAAAAAAAATATGTGTATAAAAAATAATTAAAGCGTACAATGGCACCTTTTTTCGAAACTCATTCTCTCTAGTTTAGTTTCCCTTCACCTTTCGAATTGTTAATTAGTATTTTCTTTAAAAATGAAAATAGTATCCAATTCTGTAGAATTTCTTAACCTCTTAATTATGATTTTTGTTGTTTTTTTTTTAAATTTCCTTTCCAAAAATATTTACTTAAACTTTAAATTCTCAAAGAAAGCAATATTACTTTTAAGGACGCCTTGTCGCACTGGAGATGGTGTGGTGGTGGGGGTCGTCGTTGTCGTTGACGCTGTGTCGGCTGTGGTGGGAGTATTTGCAGGTGTGGTTGTTGTTGATTTTTGATCTTTGGCATCATCTGGTGTTTTTCCAGCCGATGATGGATCGCTGTAATGGAAGAAAATTAATAAAATTATAATGGAACTTTAGGGGTTTCATTTGAGTACACATAGTTGACAGGTCCGCACTAAAGATACCCCATTGTTGTAGGCGATTGTATTGTTTAATTTATATATGTAGGATACACATGAAAGAAACTAGCAGCTTGGATGAAGGCTTGGAGATGAAAAAGAAGAGCAAGAACTAAGCAAGATTGAGCAACTTATTGCCAGTGCCTCATATCTGAACTTCACTCAACTAGATATCCCGATATCAGACAGGGGCGCCTGGACCCAAAACGATTCTTCTCTAAATTGTATAGATGTCCATACCAATGGTGGAACGAGGGGTCTTCTGTGAAAGCCTGAATATCTGAAACTCCTTCAAACTTAACAACAACTGAATCGTATTGCTTCGGAATTCTTCGCTATCAAAAAAGCCATAGATCTGTCGGCAAACAGAAACAGTGAACTGAACGTAAGGTGACGTACACAGTCACCCTGTGTGTGTGTCCTGAATTGACCTCACCTGGGCGCCGGTTTGAGCGTTCCCTGCAGCTTAATGGATTGATTCATCTTTCTGAGATCATTCCCAAAGCCAAATGGAACGCTCTCCTGGCTGATCCTCAGAATTCTGGACTTTTCAAGGAGGATGGACAGCGGTTCACTCTGTCTTTGTATGTTCTCACATACAACGTCTCGTTAAGTTAACAGGGTCAAGTACCCACCAGCATTTGTATACATGTCCGTGGTCGTTTCCTAGGTCGGTGCCTCCAATGAGACAGTTGAAATTGGGTCAGAGTTTGGTTTTGTTGTTGTCGTTCTTTGTTTGTTTTTCTCCATAAAAAATGTTGGACTGTGGAGGTGACGATGTCCACCATGACATAGCCTCCTTATCATGGTAAGGACTTGGCAACTAAGCCTGTTACTCGTCGAGGCGCCCAGGTATCGACGAGGCAACCGTTCGAATACAGTCGCTACCCTGACTTCAAACCTTGGAACGCCAATGGGCGCGATTTACGTAATACACCAGTGTTAGGGTGGACCAGTCTGGAAAATTAGGAGGCGCCGGTAGCTTCGAGACTAGGAATCACTGGTACTCGGGTATTTAGTCCGAGACTCCCCCCGGAAACTTTTTTAAAATTCTCAGCTACCCGATATATCTGTGAACGCATCCGGTAGCTTTCAGTTATGCTTCCGCGAACGGCCGGACAAAAACATTGCTCTGGGAGTTGTTAAAATGAAAGGAAAGTGGGGTGGCGACGACACCGATTACTGAAGGCCCTAGATTGGGAGGATGGAAACGGTCGAGAATTTACTCTGCCACTGTCCAACTCTCTTTGGATTATGAGAGAGCAAATTATGTACAATCTGTTTTCATTCTCCGACACAGAACCAACAGTCATTCATTAGTTTGCCAGAAGACTGAAGTGACTAAAGACAATACGATAACTTCTTCGTGGATAAGAGAGCTGCCGCCTAGCGCCTTGAGGACCTTGTTTCTACTTTTCATTTTGTAGTAGATAGCTGTGGTTTCCGCGGACGACTGGAACTTGCTGTCGAATGTGATCCCTAGGATTTGGGGTAGTTTGTCGTCGGAATCAAATTTCCCTCGACCTGCACATTCAGCTGTGTTCTTATCTCCGCAGACCATGTGGTAAATATGGGGCCGTTAATTTAGTGGCAGATATTTTCATATTCCTCGCGTAGTAGGAAGTAGGCGACAAGTTCTTTGCTACTGGCGACAATAGCGAAGTTGGCCTGTATGATTCGCCTTTGCTTGTCAGGCTCAAGGAAGGATTTCGGACGATGTAAGTGGCTAGCTTCAGATTAAGAACTTTTGTCAGGTACTAAATTCCAAGCTTATCCAGTTGTTAGTTTTTTTTCGTGGGATTCCCTGTTTCGAAAAGGATATTAAAATTCTATTTAACAGTCCCTCTCAATAACAGTCCCAGATTTGTCACGTTTAAATTTAAACTTCTGAAAATTTTTAGTTCAATACTCTGCCAAATTCTAGACCTATTTCTCTTTTAGACATTAGTACGCCCAATTAACTTTTTGTTAATTCCAGTCCTACAACACGTTTTTAAATTTAAAAAAAATCAAGGCTTACGTTTCCAGAGACGATAAATCAGATGCTATTGTGGCATCTTCCTCGGATTTGTCTACATCGGCTTTGGGACTTTCAATGGGTTTTACAACAGATTTGGTAGGTGTTTTCAATTGTCCTGGTATGGTTTTGGCCTAAAAATACAAAACCAAGGAAAAAATATTAACATTTAAGTCAATAATAATTTGTAACCCCCTTCTTTACCTTTCTTGGCCATATTCTTTCCGCTGAATGCTGTGACAATGACGATGTCATTAGGAAGGCTCTGGCCAAGGCTTTTACCGAAGGCAGGGCATGGACTACTTCCTTTTCGATGACGGGTTTCTCTGGCACCTGACTACATGACGGTTGCTACAAGGAAATTAAATTTGTTATTAATTGTCACATTTTTGTTTTCCAGAAATGCTATTACCTCCTCATCAACATCCTGTGACAAAACCTGACTTGGATTCAATAATTTCCGTTTGGGTTGTAAAAATTTAAAAGCTGGCGGTGTAGAACCTCTGGTGGGTGTGTTGCCCGTACTTAGGGGTGTTGTACTTTCTTGTCGGCTGATATTTAGCATCGTTGGTCGTTCTTTGGCTGGCGCATCACTTGTCGTCTCCTCCTTCTTCGTAGCTCCACTGATGGCAGGAGTTTCTTCCTTAGCTCCATCTCGACTGAGTGTCGTTGTTTCCTGTTTCTTAAAATTATATATTTTTATTGTATCTGAATCATCGCTGGTAGTTGCGCCTCCGGCTCCGGCTACCGATTGCAATGATTGTTGTGACATGGTATCAAGGGATGATGACGATGTTGTAGTATCCTCCACCACCACTGCCTGGGCCGGTATGGCTTTGTATACATCTGAAACTGCCTGTGGTTGTGTGGTACATATTGTAGCTTCGGGCACCGTCAAGGTTGCTGCGGATTGTTGTTCAGATTTGCTTGGTTTAACCTAGAAAATGTGGTAGATATATTTTCGAATGTGTGTTGTGTTTTTGTTTGTTGATGAAGGAAAAAAAAAAGGAAGAGCATAAAAACCAAATAGAATATAAATTTGTTAGTTAATAAAGAAAAGAGAGTAGGATATGTATGCAGACAGATGAACAGAATAGGATAAAATGAAGGACATAACTAAATTTTTCGCTCTATATATATGTAAATAAAACCGCTTATAACTTCCTCTTCTAAATTACTATATAATTCTACTTAAAAAACATATCATTCACCGTTTATGATAATTCAAGCTTCTACCTTTTAATGAAGCTTTACATGATCAAATACCTAGTTATAAATAATGCGTGGATTCATACAAATCTATTTTCGAATTTGATACTGTATAGTCCTCCAAATAATTTATAAAGGGTTATTTTTATGAAATGTAGTATTCAAGTAAATATTAATTTTAGATTTGTAAATTTGTGTAATGAACCTCAAAAACGTTTCAATGCGAGATCGATTGCTTTAAGATGTCCAAGTCTTTAAATGTAGGCAAAAGACTAAAATTTCCATGACCTAGCTTTGGATGTCCTTAAACTTGGTAACCTTTTGCGGAAGTAAAATATTTTCATTATTTTCTTGGTGTGTGTGTGTGTGTGCAAGTCAGAATGTCCGCTTCATTTGAGGCTGGAAATTCAGTTAAACCAGGAAGTACTTGGATGTTGGTAGAATTTTCGGTATTGTTTAACCACTGCCGTCAAGGACATTTACTAAGATTTGGACTCATTATTTTCCTCGTAGGGAACATCAATCTCTTTCCAAAAAAAAAAAATAAATAAATAAATAAATAAACAAAGGCCACAAACAAGGTAGCGAGAACGTGACGGGCTGTGATGGCCAAAACATCAGGAGCGTTACATCACTGAGACCTATAGGACTACATGAGGTCTACGACAATAAACGATAAGACTTTTGCCATTTTAAACGTAGCAACGGTGGTCGATCCGGAGAGGCGAGCCGTTTATTTGGAACATCAGTTTGCCTAGCATGCCAAGTGACAAGAGTGGATGGAATAGTGCAATGTTTTATTACATTTCTTTTTTACAGATGAGAAATTCCATCACAATTTCCGGTGGCTGATGTTGCTAACATCATTCGTGGCATTCAGCCTGTTAAAGTAGTCCGGGTATGTATCAGGCTAGTAAAAACATTGTTCTCAAATAATAAGGAGACCTGTTAAAACCTGTGGATAATTTACGTAAGGTCTTACCCTTGCGTCAGCAAAATATTTGCTTAGGATTTCTAAAAAAAGCCACTCTAATCACCATCTGGGGGATAAGCAACCTTCGCCCAGGCAAGTAAGAAAAGACCTTCTGATTTACAAAGAAAAGTTCGGAGATATAAGACAGATATTCTAGATCAATAGGCCTGTTAAGTAGAACTGACTAGTATACTCTGATGTGATCATAGAAACAATGGAACAGTAAAAAGTGAATACGATTCTCGGAGGTCATCCGCCACACAACGCAGAACGAGATGAACGAGAACTGCTTCGAAAAATCAGTTTAGTTTGCAGCCGCTCCATTTCGTTTAACGCCCATCTTGATAAGAGAGATCATGTTCAAGAGAACAGATGTTCACTGCATATCTTTAGCCAGCCAATTCTACTCCGCAAAACTCAGCATCGCTATGAACTCAGCATAACACCTCATTAATTTTCTACCCAAAACTACTACACAAACCACAGCATTGCTATGGACTCTGCCTAAACAGGTCGCCCCCCTTTTTTCAACTTAGAACATAGACAACTGTTAATAAAAATGGCGAATCGTCTGTCACTCTTGGGACATGAATGAAAATTCTGAGGTACTTAAATAAATCAACAATTTCGCAATATTTGTCAGATCAAAATCTATTCCATAATAAAATTTAGGTGTTGATCTGAATAATGCCAGGCTGTTGGTGGCTCCTTACTTATTAAAGGCTTTTTATGTGAACAGTCAGTTTGAGGATAAATTTCAAATTTTGATTGTCAATTATATTTTCGTATGTGAAAACCTAGAGTCTCTCTCCATGCCGTAAATTCGATCAAGGCGTTCCCCTACTCTCCTGGCTTTCCCGAATTGAGTGGAGATAAGGCAATGAAGTTCTTTTAATGCGATAGGCAGTTATATGCCGCGAAAAGGAGCAGCATTGGGAATTTTTTTGAACTCCGCACAAAAACAGGTTGTCGTCTCTTCACCCCAAACGACTATTTAAATGATTCATGCTACTAGGATGCTTTCGTGAGAGTAATCCAAAAGATTACTGGATGATTGGAGCTTCTCAGCCCAAGCAGGTCAAGAAGAATCATTCACCATTCCCGATTTTTAATCCATGGTAAAAGTGGCGAATAATGAGAAATAAATGAGAACAACTTGTTCCATCTAATTTTGAATAATTCTGACAGGAAGTAGGCTTAGATTTAGGGCTGTATTTCAGTGGCTTTACGAACCTGCTGTACCTGCTAATTGTACCATGGGTCTAAGTAGTACTCATATTATGACCCCAAGACATAAATCATTTCATCATACAAAGTATAAACACGTATTGATGATGCCTCTTGTTATTGCTCAAAAGCTGCTCCCAGATTAGGATGAGACTACTCCAATATTAATCGAGGAATAGAATTATAAATGCCTAGAGTTTATTAGTTATACCCTCAGCCATATGGCTAGAGAGGGTATGTATCAGGGGAAAAATGTCGAATATCAATGAAGCTCATAAAACACGAAATGAATATTCGATTCCATTCAGATTTGGTATATCTCAATATTTCCATCAACACAAGATCTGTTATAAAGATGGTAGAGATTGGAACATTTTTTCTGGTACCTCCCCCACAATGGGTCGAAGTTTTGAATAACCAAAATGATAATAAAATCTGAAATAAACATTCGGTTCTCTTCGAATTACACACATCACAATATTTTTATTAACCCACGGTCTGGTGTGTTACCTATATCTGTTACCTTACGCATATTTCCACCTTTTCCAAAAATTTACACATATCTCATATAATGTATAGGAAGTAGTCGATACAGTCCAAATCTGGCACGTTGATATATTTTTTATCAATATTAGGTCAGATACGAATTGGTCAATATTGTCTAACTGCTTCGAAACCTCAAGGCTTGGGGGTATACATCTGTCGGCAAAACCGACTGATACTATTTTTTTATTTTGCACAGACACAACGACACGCCATATGTGGATAAATTATGACCATTATAAATGATTTTGGTTAAACATCCAGAAAAAGACTGAATTAGTTAGTACACAAATCTTCAATATTATACGTTACTGTCATGTAGTCCTTTGAGTTTATTCCACTGTTCTTCCAATACTTCATTTTTATAATTTGGTCTTGTAAATTTTTGTAACCAAATTGTTTCAATTAAATATTAGAAGGTAGGACCGGTTTATATATGTCGAAAAAAATCAAAATTTTTGAATTTCTGAATTTTGAATTTTCTTCTGGTACATATAATCAGGCCCCAACAGTCGAATAAAGTTTTGAGAATATTAAAATTGTTAACAAATACCCAATAACAAGAACAAACTAATATGTTATACTATATACAACAAACAAACCATGCACAAAATTGAAATTGGTTAGAGTATTAATTACGAAAGAGTTATTTTACTTAAGACTTATCGAGAGTATATGGGTTAATTTACAACAATAACACTATACAATTACACTCCAAAGTTTATACTGGTTAATTTACAACAACAACACTACAGTACTATTAATATTTTTTATATGGCAACATATTAAACTTATACATACATACTACAAATTACAACAAATAGCAGCATACACAGTATTAACATAAACAATTGGAATTTATCTTCAATTGAAACAAATGTTGTTAGTAAAATTTTGTTATAATAGAAATGTAGACAGCCAGCCAGCCAAGCTAACCCAATAAAGTTAACAATATATCACACAATATATAAAACAAATGGGTTATTAACAGTTTGATTAAAAACCATTGCACACAACATTGAGGTTATGTTTATTCACTCTCTTCCAGAAGCTGCAAGAATCTACTAGTTTTGCAAGTTTTTTCGATATCATAAAGGAAAAATCGTTTATCTTAGTATCAACATTGCATTCTTGCTGGTTCTGGAAAAGAGTAGTTGTTTATTCTTGTACTTACCAATTAGTTAACATTTATTTTTAATTTAGTCAGGTTTTTTGTTTTGTTTTTAGTTTTGTCAATAGCTTTTGTTTTTGAAAAAAGAAAAATTTTACTAAAACATTTGTTTCTGTTTTTGTTTGTTTTTTTTTTCTTCTTTAAAAGAATTGTTCTGGTTTATTTCATAATTGTTTTGGATAAAGGGGATAATTCAAAGCAAATTATTTATCAAATTCAAAATAAACAATGTTAAAAAAAGTTAGATTACAAAAATATATTAATAATAAGTAATTTTTAACTAATAACGAATTTCTGCATTATAAATAATTAATTGGGTGCATTCAAATTCAATAACAAATGTTTATATTTTTTTAAGGCTTAAAACTAAAAATAATTATTGTTACTATAACTAAATAATTATTAACTAAATATTTTTCTTCATCAATTTGTAAGCAGTTTTTTAAATTGCCAATTTTTTATTATTTCAAAATTAATTTCGTTAAATATTTTTTTTTTTTTTTGATAAGTTCATTTAAGTCATATTTTGGGTTGTTTGGTTGCTTGGTTAGTTGGGGTGTGTGAGGGGGGGGGGGGGGGGAGAATTTGTTTTTCAAACAAAAAAAGCAAACATTATGCTGGAAAATTTATATCATGGCACTATCAAAAAGAGTTTCAAACAAAATTGGCTAAGGATTTATATTTTCTGTAAAGGTGGTGGGGGAGAGGGATATAATATTTTGTTTAAATGTTCAATTTTATTGAAAAAATTACCCTACACGAATATACAATTAACCTATTTTATTTATATGTAAGTTCTGTTAATGTATTCTCTCTAAACGTTGTGTAGCGTGACTAGTAACTAGTTGAATTCTAAGGGCCTGTCTCTGGATGTCAAATTGAAAAATCAATCAAAACTAAGTAATTCAAAATAAAAAGAAATGGTCATATATGCCTGCCTTCGTCTGTGCCATTTGTGTTCGAGGATCAAAAGGAAGGTAACCGATATAGCCCATTTTCGAACTAGATTTCAGTTTAGAATGTGAAACCTATTCGGAGACAATATTCAATCTCTAAATGCCGTAAAACGGAATACACCTGAAAAATGTATATCGGCTGTAAAATATTTAGTTTTGGAACATTGTTGAAAGGGACTATAAAGTTCACTCACGGCTTTTGTGCCATGGGTATCCCTCCGAAATGCAAAATTGTAAGATTTGCTTTAAAATCTCATCATTTGTGTTCGAGCATCAAAAGGGAGGTAACCGATATAGTCCATTTTCGAACTAGATTTCAGTTTAGAATGGGAAACCTATTCGGAGACAATCTTCAACCTTTAAATGTCCTAAAACGGAATATACCTGAAATATGTATATCGGCTGTAAATCCATGGGCATCCCTCCGAAATGAAAAATTGTAAAATTTCCTTTAAAATCTCATTATTTGTCGTTCGGACAACCCCGAAATGGGTTCGAATGCATTTTTAGCTTTGTCGGTGGCTTAGGGTATATAAAAGGACAATATTTTTATAACCCTATAAAGTTCAAGTTTTGATCTTTCCCAATGGACAACATTATTTCTCGGTTCGACAACCTCGAAATAGTTTCGAAATGTAATTCTGGCTTCGTCGGTGGCTTAGGGCGTATAAAAGAACTATATTTGTATGATCCCATAAAGTTCACGCTTTGACCTTTCTCATTGGACACTATTATTTGCCGGTTCGACAACCTCGAAATGGTGTCGAAATGCATTTTTTTCGGTGGCTTGGGTTATCTGAAAGCATTATATTTTTTGATTTTTTTTTTTTTCAATTTCTCCTTGGACATCCTGAGCCAGGTTTTAAAATTTATTAAGGCTTTGCCTATAGTGGAATATCAAATCGAATCAAGTTTTCCTCAAATTATTTATTCCTAAAACTAGAACCAGTAACCTATTCTCTACTTTATTCTACAACCTTAAATTAAAGGGTATTTTGACTTAATCCTTTCCTAAATCTTATAAACCTTGCGGTGGACATTATTGTCTGCTTTTTTAATAATTTTTTACTCAACGCTAGACCAAAACTAAAGCTAAACCCCTAGGGGAAAGGTTATAATACCTATGCCAAATAAAATAATAATTTAAATATTTCTATTTCAGCAACACACGGTGGCACAATCAGGACGGAGATTCCAAAGAACGAAGAATATCAATTATGTACTAAAAACGAAATATTAAAATGTTTTACATGGAAGTAGATGGAGTCCCATTCGAGGCAATGGAGGTCCAGTGAAGGTAATTGCATGGAATTATATTTCTCATTATTCATTACCCTCGTAAGCCCATTCCTGCTTTTTCAAATGCATTACATCTCCTATTTCAGAGTTTCACAAATTTGATGTATACTTTTAGGCACATTATTTTAGTTTGGATATTTTAACTCGTAAATGCCTTCATCTGTTTTGTTTCTTCCAAATTCCTTTGAAAACTTCTCGCATGTCCTTGAATTGATTTTAGTATCCTTAAATATTACATCAATGTATCCATTTTTGTTGTTGCCATTCCTTTTAAAATATAAAACCATCATCGACAATTTTCAATTTACCCTCATCCCTAGCCTTTTCACTAAAACCATTGAGGCAACTATCTACCCCCGAATCACCACCTTGATCATCACCTTGTTGCCGTGTAAATTCCTCATCTCGACGACGATCATTATAATCCTCCACCTGATTCTTTTTCGGCTTAGCTATAGATAATTTGAGGCCACCCTCACCGTTAAAGAATTCTTGCTGTTGCTTTTCAAACAAGGGATTCATAACGAAATCTTTGGTTGTTGCCGAAACGGCACGAAAACTGTTACGTTTCAAATCTTTGTGCAGTAATTGTTTTTCAAATTGGGTCAGAACATTTGAGTCCGGTTGCTGGCTACGTGAACGACTGCTAACAACACTACCACATCTACTGCTATTGCCACTGAATACACTTAACATACTGAGCGTTCTACGTTTGGTGGTGGCATTAAGGGCTGAACTACTTTTCCATGAACGTTGTGATATCAAATCCAACTGGGGATCATCAACACCCTCGTCGTCATCATCATCGTCGCCAATATTGTAATAATCTTCTGGATTGTTATACCTGTAATTTCTATTGGAATATCGATGATGATGTTGACGAAGATATTGATCATCATTGCTAGGATAATTTGAGGCCGATGTTGCTGGCCTGCTACCTATGGACAATCTTTGATATGGCATTGTTGGTGTGGGTGATGTTAGACTATGATTCAAATATTTAAGGGAACTAGCACGACGCACTGGAGTCGATAGCGTCCAATGGCAATCGTTAGTGTTCGTTTTACGTTTGCTGTTACTGTTACTATTTGTATGATTCTCAAATGTATTCTTGTTCATGTTGTTGCTTGGGTTGTGATTGTTTGGCTTGTTTACCTCTGTTACATCCTTGTTGGTCATGTCACGCACCGGTGATGATACTTGTGATGATTTTGCAGAGCCATCATTGATGTAATAATCACGACTGTATCTGTAAGTAGAATGAGAAAAAGGGTAATTCAGTTATTTTGGGTTTTGTTAGGAACGAAGTGTGAAGGGGACTAGGTTCCGAAATCGATTATTAAGAATAATATTACAAGGGTTGAAATTAAAAACTTTTAATATTGAAAGAAAAAGATCGAAAAATGTTAATAAAAATATAGGTCTCTAACGGAAATGTTGTGGACCCCCAGTCATACGTTTTCAGAGGTTATTTTTGGATTAATGAACTCCTGTAAGAATTTTCAATCCCTTCAATAAAATCAGTTTTTAAAAGGTCCAAATCCCAAACCTTCAATAAAATTGGCCAAGATTTTAAAGGCGTCGCAAAAAGTTGAGTCTCCCTATCTTTCTTTTTCAATAAAAATATCAGCTTAGATTAAGCTCGTCTCAAAAATGGACAATTTATTTAATTTTTTTATTTCCGATTGAAGTTCCTAAGTGAAATTGAGTTGCGCTATAAGGGAGATTTGGTGTGTCACCTATTTTAGATTCCATTTGTTTTGATTTGGCGTTCAATTTGGAATCTGAGGTGTCAATCAGACGTTCAACGTCTTTTCGAATCGAAGAAACATGAAAATTCGGGGTTCCAGTCCATCAGCTTAGCCCAGTTTGGAATAACTGTGTGATTAGGAACTGTGCTATTAGGAATGAGATTCGAGGAAAGACACAAAAGAAATTTTCAAGACGTAATTGAATCACAGAGCCTCTAGTTACCACTCTGTCAAATAGTTCAAAGAGCACATATCCAATGGGGAGCAGTTACTCGAAGTTGTTTAAGGATTCTTGTATTTAAGAAGGCAATTGAAATGATAGAAGAACTTTGTTAAAGCATAACAGGACCAGTGACTGTTGGGTCCCAGGACATAGCAACATAATGGGAAATGAAATGGCTCACGACATAGCAAGAGGTAATCTACTGGTTGATGAGACTGTCAAAACATTGGTAAGCCTGTTGCTTCAAAACGACGAGAAGCTGACAGAAGTTGGTACTTGGAAACCATCTGGCCGGCAGTCTCGATAATAGAAAGAATTGACTGGCCTGCAATATCATATATCTGATATAGCACATCTGACATCTAACATCTATCTATACTCTGTGAAGAAAGAAAGATCTTCGTAGAATCACTTTCTGAGTCGATTTATACATGCCAGTCCGCCTATGTATTCTTGTGAACAAATTGCAGGTCGCATTTATTATCCAATTGAGATGAAATTTTCAAAACAATTTTTGCTCGACCCAATAACGAACCCTATTGATATTGCTGATAATCGGATCATTTTAGACCCATAGTTACTCTTGAGGATCATCATAGAATCACTTTTTGAGTCGATATATAGCTCCCATATATCTTCAACCGATTTCGTGCAATTTATGCACCAAATGGCGAAATGATACTGAGTTTGGTGTTGGGTAACGAAATAAGGCTGGAATCCCGAAATTTGTTATTTAGGTAGAGATATGCAGGTGGTTTTGGAAATGCGTCCTATATTTGTACAAAAATATTAAATGATACTAAATTTGGTATTGGTTGAAGGAATAAGGCTGGAATCCCGAAATTTGTTATTTAGGTCTGTGTTGGTATCTGGGGTTGAGATATGAAGGTGGTTTTGGAATTGCGTCCTTTATTTGTACAAAAATATTAAATTATGCTAAATTTGGTATTGGGTGAAGGAATAAGGCTGGAATCCCAAAATATGTTATTTAGGTCTGTGTTGGTATCTGGGGTTGAGATATGAAGGTGGTTTTTGGAAATGCGTCCTATTTTTGTACAAAAACTAATAAATGATACTAAATTTGATATTTGGTAAAGGAATATGGCTGGAATCCCGAAATTTGTTATTTAGGTCTCTGTTGGTATCTGCGGTTGAGATATGCAGGTGGTTTTGGAAAAGCGTCCCATATTTGTACAAAAAATACTAAATGATACTAAATTTGTATTGCGTGAAGTAATAAGGCTGGAATCCGGAAATCTTTTATTTAGGTTATTTGGTGTCTGTGGTTAAGATATGGAGGTGGTTTTGGAAATGGGACCAATATTTGTACATGTTCCCACTTCTACTGAAAATTTAGTCATTAGTTTTTTCACAATCTTTAGTCATTTCAAATGGTCCATGTGATTTTCAACTTCCTACCCCCCTCACAGCTTACCTTCTATATTCATTTTCCCGTTGATTGGCTTCATCAGCTTCCACTTTTTCTTTGGTTAACATCTCTAAAGGACTTAGATCGGTTGATGCATTTATATTGGGCAAGTCAATGAAACGTTCCTGACTGCCACTTATGCGACGTTTGAGGGCTTCCGGCGCATATGGATTATTGGGCATTTCCACAGCATTATACCATTTCTTGTATTCACGTTCTGCTATAGAACCTGGAATAGAAAAAGGAAAAAAACAGATTCTTGAATGAAAATGTATGGGAGAGGGTGAAACAGACTATCCAAACTCCTGGAACTAACATTTAATTAGCCTAAAAAGAAAACCCCTCTAAAAAGCTGAAATAAAAAGAAATACAATGAGTTATTAAGTTAAGACATGGTTACAAGGAGCTATTTGACAGCGGAAAATATTTGTTGAAGAAGACAAAAGCTTCCTGGGTTGTCATTCCAAAAAGCCCTTATAACCATGTTTTGTTGTTTTAACTATTACACACACAAGGAAAACGCACAAACAACAGACACATGAATTTTTACATAGAACAACACAAACACAACAATGATGAGAAGAAGGAGCCAACATCCAACAAATACAACAACAACGAGGCGATTTGAAGTTATCGAGCGCTATAACACCACACCGAGTTTATGAAAATGGCCTTTGTTTTTTTTGGTTTTGGTTGATGTTGAGGATTCAGTTTATGATTGAATTAGTAGTAGTAGTGGTAATACCTGGCAGGAATTTTCTCAGTGTGGTTATTTGATCATTTTCATCATCGTCATCGTCCAGGGATTTATTTAAATCCTGAGCCATCTTTTCGTTAGAAGATCCATTTGAATTGCTTGGTTTTGTTATTTGGGTTAGTTGGTGTGTTAATTGTTCTTCGGGGTTAATAATATCAGAGTTGTTGTTAATGGTGATGGGGGTACTTAAGTGAGTGGGCGTGGCAGTATTGCCTGTTGGTGGCATACTGCCAGTATTAGTAGTATTCGTTTGGGATGCGAGTTTATTGTCGTCGTCGTCGTTATCATTATTGGTGATGGTTTCATTGGCTGTGATATTAGTAGAGTTTATATTAGTAGTGGTGTTGGTGGTGGTAGTTAAATCTATGGTTCTAGTAGTAGTAGTAGTATCTCTATTGCTTTCTTGTTCTATAGTATTTGTCTCCTCTAACTTATCAACTATGGTATCCCCTGCCTGATTTCTCTTTTCCTCATTCTCATCTGTACTCAATGTTAGATCTTCCATATCCTCTGTGCTGGTCACTAGACTTTTACCACAATCTTCTTCATCATCATCATCATCTGTCTGACTCGTGGTATTATTAATGCTTAATTGATCTGAGAAAAGAATTGCATTAATAAAATTATAGGAAATTTTAAAATTATTCGACACAGTTACAATGAACGTATCACTACTACAATCCTCATCATAGTCATTGCATGACAATGATGGCATTTGATGGAGAGATTTTGCTCTATCTACTATTGCAGGTGCAAGAGGAGGTGTTGCAGGTGTTTGTGGTTGTGGTATTGGTATTGGTGGTGGTGAAGTTGCAATAGAACGATAACACTTAGAAGTGGAACATATATCAGAAGTAGTGGTAGTAGAAGTAGTAGAGGAAGCACTAGTAGGAACTACATTCGTTTGTGGGGTACATTCATTTGTGTTTTTGGTTTTGGGTGTTTGAAATACCTCATGGTCTTTGGATAGGGGAGTCGCAGTGTGATACTCCTCCTCATTATCCTCCCTACTTGAATGATATGAATCGATGGTACTTAGAAATCTATGCATGAGTAGGGTGCAACGTCGTCGACTTTCTAGGGCGGCCACAAGATGTTTGTCCTGTATGTGTTTGTGGCAAATTGTGGCCAAGGACTTGGTGTTACATTTTTGTTGCTGTATTGGTATTGGTGGAGGCGGTGATGTTGGCGGTGTAATTGTTGTTTGATAACCATCTTCTAAACTCGGAGTGGTGTATTCCATTCCGTATTGTCGTTGTAATTTCAGAATTTTCATCTTTGTTCGTTGATTTTCGTTGGGGTATAGTGGTTCGTTAGGTGGTATTGTTTCGTTTTCAGTTTCGCTTTCGGATACAGATTCGCTATCCGTAGATTGTCGTGTTTGCAAGGGGGAATCTATTTCTTCTATAGACATACTTGGGGACTTTTCGTTTGGGGGGACCTTTTGAAGTTTGGAACAGATTTGAGAAGCTTTGTATTCTTCGTTTTCTTCAAGCTTGGAACATGTCTGAAAAGCTTCGTATTCTTCATTTTCTTCAATAGATTGTAGAGTTGAACCGGCTGGTGACTTTAAGGGAATTTTAGTGGTATTCGATTTTGCATCAGAATATTTGTTTGATGACCCGTTGGTTTCCATGGCAGGTTGTGTTTGGATTGTTTCGTCTTTAGGGGAAATGTTGGGTTCAATGTATTCTGGCTCTATTAAAGAGCTGTCAGTTTTTTCGCACTCCATATTTTCAGTCTTTGCTTTAATAATATTGTCTGTTATCATTTCAGGTTTTCCTTCATTTGTTTCAATAGGTGATTTTGCTTGCGACTCTAAAATTGATGCTAAAGTCTGTATTATTTCACAATCCGGATGCTTGGCCCCAGTAGAGTCTGATTGTGGCATTTTCAATTTTTCTTCAATGGAAAGCTGGCGTTGCAAAACCGATTTTGAAGTCTCAATTTTTTCTGGTATTGTCTCTTTTGTATCTGAATTTGAATTCTCTTTTAACTCTACTTTTTCTTTTTTATTTTCAGATTCAGGTTCAACCTTGAACTCCATGGAGCTTAAGATTTGAGTTGATTGATGGGAAACCCCACACATCTTTCTCTGCCAAGATTTCAGATCAGATTCAGTTTGAATACCCTCTTCCTCCTCGGGTTTTGAGTTGCTCATATATTTTTCATCAAGTGCACACCTTGAGGCCTCTGGCGGTACCGACAAGTCAACGGTAAGAACAAAGATTTCTTTAAAACGTTTGTGTGAGTCTGAACTTTCACTTCTTTTCATATCCATAGATAAATCATCTGAAGACATTTCCGATGATGGCATATCCTTTGCCCCGCGAATATTTTCATTTACCGTGGCCACCGATGCATTCGAACATGTTGACAACGATATGGCATCACATCGTGTGAGGATTTGTAGTTTTCTGCCATCTCCTTGCTGTGGCAAATTTGGTAAGTACTCATCTGATTCGGAAGAGGTGCTGGAATCTTGACTCATTTCAGAATCGAATGAATTTAATGAAATTTCTTCCAAGGAGATATTTTCGTTAAGATTTGCTCGAGATTTTGTAATTTTCGATTTGTGAATAATTTTCTCTATTTCGGGTGGATTTATTTCGGATTCAGTTATCTGTAGTTTGCAAGTTTTAATTGGCAGATCGGAATGAGTTCTACCCTCACCAGAGGCAATAACCTTTACAAGTTCATTGGGTATGTCGGAGATGTTTTTTGGGGGATTTTCCTCACTTAGCAAGTTAGTGAGATTTTCTTTTGTCAAGCCAGGCTGGATTGTTAAATGAAAGTCTTCCTCATTGGTTATAGCCAAAGAGCCAGGGGTGTTCTTACTCTGTATATTTGCCGAAATGTTCTGAATATCAATCTCTGAGCTTTTGTTACATTTCTCTTTTCTAGATCCTTCTAAGACATTTTTCGAAGTACATGCATATTCCGAGGCAAGAGACTCAATTATTTGGTTGGCAGATATGTCATATTCAATGGAAGTTGTTTTGGGTTCCAAATTTATTGAATATTTAATACCTTCCTTGGTGGGAATTTGTGAGGGTGGCTCAACATTTAATTTCATTTCGTCTTCTGAAAAAACTCTTAAGCTTTTCTCAAAGATCTTTTTATGTTCGGAGGTCTTCTCCTTTTCGTATTTGTTGTTGGGAGATATTTCAATGCTTGTTTGTGCGACACATGTGGGAGTTTGAATGGGGGTTAATTCGATGGTACCTTCTGAGATCGGTTCTTCCATAGCCGTGGCATCAGATTGCCCAATGTCTTCTTCAATATTCATACTTTTCTCTTCTATTCTTGGCTCTTCGGTTTCTAATTTGGTCTCCAAGGACCCCTTCTTGTCTTCTGCTTTCTTTTGACTTGATGCAGCAGGTGGCCTCACAGAAGTGCTTGAACTTTTCGATTTATATGCCGGCATCATGGGCATGCCAGTCATTAGCAATAGAGATATACGTGAGCTTACACTGGGTGGTGTCCGCATTGTCATCATAAGTGGCCCGTCTAGTGGCATGAACTCTTCGCACACAGAGTCATTTGTGGTACCTGTAGATTCTAAAGAAGAAATTTGAACCTCCAACGATTCTGATATATTTTCTGTACTTGGCAAGAGATCTTTTGAATCAACACAAAATGGTGGGATATCTATTGGTTCTGAAGGCTGGCTTGTCAAGTTGGTGGGGGTTACAGGAGTATCAGACTCCTCATTCTCATTAGGCCTTTGTTTGGGTGTTTCTTTGGGAATTATTTCAACTGGAATTTCGATACGATTTTGGTTTGAGGTTTCGTGGGAACAAAATTGTTCTACTAAGTCTAAGGTAGATTTGTTAGGTTGGGTTATTTCAGTAATGGGAAATTCATTTAAAAACATGTCCATGGAATCCTGCTCGGCATTCAGATCAATTGAAAATGTTTCCAAAAATTTTTGTTGTATTTGTTGTTGATTTGGCATTGGTTCTGAAACTTCTATTCTAGATGAGATTTCTGATTGATTAATTGGACTTTTAACTTGTGTGATACCTGGCGGGAAGTCAGTTGGATCATCTTTCGACGCAACATTGTCTAGAGCTGTGGAAGTCGCAGAGGAATCTGTAGCAAGAGTTTCGATTGTAGTTTCGAATTTTTCTTCGATATTTGAAACATCTAAACTTTGAATAGGAGAACGAAGTTCGGTCTTTGGATAAACTTTCTCTGGGCATAGGTTTGCGACGGGATCTTCTGCCACAATATTCTTGGAAGCTTCAATGTTAGAAGATGTCTCTGCTGATGCTTTAGTAATCGGCGAAATGGAAATATCTTGGTTTTTGGTAGAATCTAAGCTAACATTACTTGCTTTAATTTCATCGACAGAATTCTTAACGGCCTCTTTTTCATCACTTGGATCCTTATGTTCTGGACTCTCAATTTTCAAAGCGTTTGTGGTATCTTTAATTTTGGCAAGTTCCTCAATTTCTTGTTTTTCGACCGGTTCTAATGATACTTTTCCAACTGTATCTTTCGCTAGATCAGTTTGTGAAATATTCGGAGGTTTTTCTGGAGAAGGTTTCTGCGAAGAAACCGCTGTCGGCGATAGTTCCAGAGTAGCTTCTTCAGTACTGATACTTTCTTTTTTTGAGGTTACTAGAATTGAAATATTATTTTTTGAAGAATCTGATTCGGACGTAGGGATATCGACAGTAGTAATCGCAGGTTCCACTTCGGATACGATCGTGGTAGAGACTTTCTCACTTGATGGGAATTGTGCTTTTCCACCCATTTCTTGATCCATTTCAATTAACATATCAACAGTACGTTTCTCAGGCGGAGAAATCACAGATTCCGTAACGATTGCCGTTGGTTGTTCCATAGTGGATTCGTCGACTTTGGCGATATTTTTTTCAGAAGCTATAGGAATCGTAAGTTCTTTTTCTGAAAGATCAGTTTCGGAATTTGTAGCATGGGCAGTAGGATTCATATCATCATCTTTCGTCGTCTCAACAGAAGCTGATGAGATTGAAATTTCCTCTGCCGCAGATATTGGCATTTCAGCAGGGGGAGGTAGGACAGATTCTGAAACAATTGCTGGTGAAACTTCTTCTGTTGAAGCATTAGCTTCCGATTTACTAATATCCACAATAGGTTTCTCAGGTTCCGAATTAGTTATTGTAGAATGCTCTTTAGTTGGTTCATTTTCCTCGGCAGATGGAGTGGAAATCTCTTGTTCTCTGATCAAATCTAAAGGAGTTTCTTTTTCAACGTTAGATGTTGAGGAAGATTCTTCCTTTGGAGGTATCACAGATTCCGGAACGATTAAAGGAGATTCTTGTGTAGATGGCTCATCAACATTTGTAGTTATTTCTTCAGAAGGCGAGGGAAGGGAACCCTCTACTTTTTTCGAAGAATCAGCTTCAGGTTTATGAACATCTGCAACAGCATTCTCAGTTGGCTGGATGACAGATTCTGAATCGTTTGAGGACTCTTCTTCCGGAGCTTCATTGCTCTTTGGAACTGCTTCCACGGAAATTTCCTGCTTTTCTGAAGCTTCAAGAGCAATTGAATCAGGTACATTCTCAGCCTTCGATTCCAATTTTGCAACATTGGAAGTAAGACTCTCAACATTGGAAGTAAGACTTGACTCATCTTTTACTGCCGAAATCTCTCCAGTTTTTATTTCAAGAAGCTTTGTGATTCCTTCTTTTTCGACGCCCGATGGAAGCTCTTGTTTTTCGGAAGTTACTGGAGTAGATTCACTCGGAGCAACTGCGTTCTCAACAATTGTTGTCTTTTCAATTTCAGATGAAGGAATACCAACTGTGGAGTTCTCACTGGGTGAATTTTCTGACCCTTCTGCAACGGTTGAGGATTGTGAACTTGTTGCCTCATTTGTCGTTACGTTTTCTTTATCCGGAGAAGGTGAACCCCCTTGTTTTTCTAGGGAATCCCCATCAGGGCTTGGAGTTTCAACAGTGGATTCATTAGGTGGCGGAAGATTTTCTGTTGTTTGATCTTCAGTTTTTGGGACCTCTTCAGCAATTTTTGCAGGGAAACACTCCCCGGTTATTCCCGAAGAATCTTTATCAGGTTCTGCAACGTTTTGACTCTCCCCATGCTTTTTAAAGACATTTACCTCTACTTCTTCCATTTCACTAGTCTCAATTTTCTTTAGAGCCTCAACTAATTCCTCAGCGGAAATATCTTCCTTGGAGGCTCCCAAAGCGGCTGCCAATTCATCAGCCAAAGATACAGTGCGAGGTAATTCACCTGATGACATATCGCAAGGATCTGCAACATCTATTTTCAGCTCATCAATAGGATCTTCTGTTTCTAGAGCTTCTGCTTCACTTACTGCTGGAATTGGTTCTACCGAAATAGGTTCCGCCACATCTGCATTGATTTCAATTGATTCTAATTTCGACAATGAAATGTGTTCGCCTGATTGAGATGCACAAGCAATTACTGATGCAGTAGCATTATCTACTTTTGAATCTTGTAATGATTTGGAATCTTCTGTTGGGATATCCGCAAGCGGACATACTTCTGATTCAGGAGTTTGTTTATTTTCTATGGCATTGGGTGCTTCCCAAGTAGCTGGATTTGAATCTTTCTGCTCCACGGGAACAGTTTCAATATTAGCCGAGGAAGTCGTTATTACATCCGATACTCCTGGTCCAGAAGATTCCTTTCCGATTGTGATGGTGGTTTCTTTTTCAATTTGTGGCACATCAGTTGATTCTTGTGTGGGCACTGCTTCGGCAGACATGGCGGAACATACTTCTAGTTCGGAAGATTTGGTTTCAATGGAAGTTTTACTTGATTCGTTTGGAACCTCTGTAATAGATTCAGGAATGACCTTTTCAGAAGATTTTATGGTGTCTGTAGCACCAGCACTTGGATGAGGGGCAATATCTATAGACTTTTCGCCTAAAGTTTGATTTTTATCAGCTCCAGAATTCTCAGAGCCAATTTGTGTTGTGACAGATGATTGAACTGATTTTAGTATTGTGGTAATGGATGTTTCATTCGTAGTTGCTGGTGCAACTAAAGGTGCTTCATCCGAAAGCGCTGTTGTTGGTTTAGGAACTAAATTTTCTGGCACTGAAGAATTTGTTGGAATATTTTCCCCAGAAGACGAATCCAAAGTACTTTGACTTTCACTTGGCAATGGGGTTTCCTCAGTTAATGTTAGAGAAGATTCTACACCTTTTGCTGGTAGATCTGCAGGTATTGAAGCAAAATCTGTCTGTTTATCAACTTGTGATGTACTGGAAGGTATCTCTGTTGAAACTGAACCACATTCTGCAGCTGGTGGTTGGGATACGTTTTCAGTGTTAATAGTTTTTTCCTGATGTATGGATGGACTCTCTTGAGCAACAGAAGACACTTCAGAACCTAAAATAGGAGTTGATTTATCCAAAATTAGTTCTCCGGATTTTTTCGCTGTTTGTTCTTCTTCTAATTGAATTTCATGTTCCAAACCAGACGATTCTCCAGTAGTTTCCTTATCAGATTCAGATTTTTTACTTTCATCCGATACTTTCTCAGCATTAATTATAACTACATTTGAGATTTCCTGGACATCGTCAGAAGATTTAGTAGAGTTACATTGCTCTTGATTTGTGACTGATTTTTCTTGGAGAATTTCAGATTTTTCCGAATTTTCAGTTGAAGTTCCTTTGCCAAAAGCTGATTGCACCTTACCTTCGTCTTCTGATTTTTCTGGTATCACATTTTCTGTTAATTTATTCGGAGCTTCATGAATGGTAACAGGAGACTCGCTAGCGTTGCATTCCTCTTGTACCATAACTGATACTTCTTGAGGATCTGGGGAATCCCCAGACATTTCAGAAACCACGGTATCTGGTTTTGCAGTTTCCGTGATATTAGCTTCTTGTGGAACCTGAACTGAACTCTCTTCTGGCACAGCTGAACTTTCAGAAATTTTTGAATCCGAAGGAAGTTCAGAATTCTGTGAACCTGAAACTTCCGCTTGCTCTACCTGCAAAGAGCCTTCATTTTGAGTGGATTCCACAGTAGCTTTGGCTTCTGTTTTGATTTTTGCAGCCAAAACTTCTTGTACTGCAACATCTGAAGTTTGTAGTTCCGTTGCTGACGCTGTGGATGCTATATTATCCGATTCCTTAGCTTCAGAACCATTTATTGTTTGAGCTTCCGTTTTAGTAGGTTCGGATTTTAAAGCTTCTGGTGTTTGAGCTTCTAATTTTGGAGGTTCTTTCGCTTCTACATCTTTAGGTTCTAATGGTTTAACTTCCGCAGCTGGAGTTTCTGATGACACCATATCTGTTTCATTAGCTTTCAAAACATCTACTACTGAAGTCTCAGCTGAAGGAACTTCTGAACTTTGTGTTTTTGATACTGGAAATTCGGCAGCCGTTGGATCCTCCGATGCGACAACTTCCGCAGCTGGGGCTTCTGACGACACATTATCTGACTCGTTACCCTTTGAAATGTCTGATGTAGCAGTCTCTGTTAAAGCAATTTCTGAACTTTGTGTTTCTGGTACTTGACATTCTGTTGCCCCACCCTTTGTTACTGCAGTATCTGAATATTGAACTATTGGCGCTGCATCCTGCGTTGCTTCAACTTTCCCTGTTAAGGTATCTAATGCTGCATTTTCAGATTCTATAGATGTCGAAGCAATTGTTACTGAAGTTCCTATTACTGCAGCTACATCAGCTTGAACTTCTGGTACTTGAGCACCTAGTGCTGAGGATTCAGATGCAGTTGCTTTCGAATCATTTGCATTAGGTGGTGGAGCTTCTAATACTGCATCATCTGTCTCTTTAGCTTGCGAAGCTTTAGGTGGTAATTCCGATTCTGGAACTTCTGATGATTGAGCTTCGGTTGTCGGAGCTTCCGATATTAGTCTATCTGATTCCGCTGTTACTGCTTCCGATACTACGTTATCAATTTCTTTAGCTCGCGAAGCATCTGCTTCCAAAGCTTCCATTTGAGCATCAGGTCTTGGAACTTCCGACGCTTCAGCATCAGAAGATTTAGGTTCTGCAATTTCTGAATTTTGAGCTTCTGATATTGAAACTTGAGCGTCCGATCCCACAATATCTGATTCTTTAGCTTCCAAAGATGGTAATACCTTTACTACAGAATCTATGGGAACTTCTGACTCTAGAGCTTCTGTGGCTGAAACTTCAGATGTTTGCGTTTCCGGCTCTGGAATTTCCGGTTGTTGAGCTTCCTTTGTTGCAGTCTCCGGCGAAATATTATCTGATTCTTTAGCTTCGGAAAAGTGTGTTGCAGAAGCTTCAATTTCAGATGCGTCTGTTCTTTGAGCTTCTGCTACTACAGCATCCGCTAATAGAGATTCAGATACAGAAGCTATTGGGTCTTGGGATTTCGCTGGTGGAACTTCTGATACATTATCCACTTCTTTAGCTTCCGCAAGGTTTGCAGCTGGGGCTCCTGCAGTAAGAGCTTCTGAAGCTTGAGATCCTTCCACTGGAACTTGTGCCGCTACATTATCGGTGGTATTTGTTTTTAATTCATCCGACTCTGATGTAGGATGTTCTGAAGCAGAAGGTTCTGCAATAGAAGTTTTGAGTACCGGAATTGGAGCATCCACTGTTGGAGATTCTGTTGCTGCCTTATCTGATTGGTCAGCCTCTAAAGCTTTCGTTGCTGGAACCTCTTTTTCACAAACTATTGGGACTTGAGTATCTGGTACTGGAACTTGTGATGCTGGAGATTTATCTATAGAATCTTCTAAATCTTGAGGTTCTGGCATTAAAACTTCTGATGGCTGAGGTTCTGGGGCAACATGATTTGGAGCTTCTGAGCCAACATTATCTTGAGCTTCCAAAGATTTTGTTCCTGGTACTTGTGTTTCCGGAGGAACAGATTCCTGATTTTCTGTCACTGATGATTGAGTTACTACTTCTGGAGCTTCTGAGGTCAGATGATCGGATTCTTTAGCTTTCAAAGCATTTGTTTCTGGTACTTCTGTCACAAGATGTCCAACCGCTTGAGTGTCCGATACTGGAGCTTCTGGCGGCTGAGTTTCGGATATTGAATTTTTTGATGCTTCAGTTTCCACTGCGGGATTTTCTGTTGCAGGTACTGCTGGGTTTTGAGCTTCTGGTGCTTCAACTTCCGACGCTACAACTTCTGGCGCTAACGATTTCGCAACAGAAACTTCTGAATCTTGGCTTTCTACTACTTGACTTTCGGCTGTTTTAGATTTTGTTTCTGAAATGTCTATTGGCAAAGCCTTTAATGTTCCAGCTTCTGGTGTTGCTTCAGCTTCTGGTGTTGCTTCAGCTTCTGGTTTTAGATCTTCTGCCGCTGCTGCTTCTGATGCCGAAGATTCAGCTGAAGCTTCCGATGGTACTTCTTGAACTTCCAAAGTGTCTTTTGGTAAAGATTTTGATGTGCCAATTTCCGATGCTGAAGATTCAGATACAGTAATATCGGACTCTTGAGATTGTGTTGCTGGAATTTCTGGTCCTGGAGCTTCATTTGTTGCAACGTTTGCCACAATATTACCTAATACTTTAGTTTCCTGAACTTGTGTGGTTGAAGCTTCGGACGTAGGAACTTCTGAGACTTGAGTTTCTGTTGCAACTATTTCTTGAGCTTCTGTCATAGGAACTTTTGAATCATCAATTTCTGCAACTGAAGCTGGAACATCTTCAACTGAGGAACCTTCTGCTGCTACAATATCAGTTACTGGAGTCTCCGATACTGCAACTTCTGATATTGGTTTTGATTGTGGCGTTTCCGGTGAAGGATGTTCTGATTCTGAACTTGTCGCTGCTTGAACTTCTTTAACCGAAGCTTCTAAGGCAACGTTATCAGATTTGTTATCTTCTGAAACATTTGTAGATTGAGTTTCCGAGCCAGTCTGAGCTTTTGGCACTGGAACTCCTAAGGTTTCAGCTTCCTGTGCTGGGGATTCAGAATCTTTAACCTCTGTTATCTGAAATTCTGATGTAGGAGCTTCTGAAGCACCCAATGCCGAAGGCTCTGATTTTGGACTTGGATCTACCTGAGCTTCTTTGTTCAAAGCTTCTAACACAGCGTTGTCAGATTTGTTATCTTCTGAAATTTCCGTAGCTTGAATTTCTGATCCAGTCTGAGTTTCTGGCACTGGAACTCTTAATGCTTCAGCTTCATGTGCTGGGGTTTCAGAATCTTTAACTTCTGTTATCCGAACTTCTGATGCAGGAGCTTCTGATGCATCCAATGCTGTAGGCTGTGATTCTGGACTTGGATCCACCTGAGCTTCTTTTTCCGAAGCTTCTAACGAAGCGTTATCAGAGTTATTATCTACTGAAACTTCCGTAGCTTGAGTTTCTGGCACTGGAACTTCTAAGGTTTTAGCTTCCTGTGCTGTGGATTCAGAATCTTTGACTTCTGTTATCTCAACTATTGAGGCAGGAGCTTCTGAAGCATCAGGTGCAGGAGGTTTTGATTCGGAACTTGTCACTACTTGATCTTCCGTAGCTTGAGTTTCCGATCCTGTTCGTGCTTCTGGCTCTGGAACTCCTGATGCCCTTAATTCCTGTGCTGGGGATTCAGAATCTTTAACTTCTGTTATCTGAGTTTCTGGAACTTCAGATTCTTGCAATGGAGCTTTTGATTCTTCAGGTTTTGGGGACGGTGATTCATTTGCGGCTTCAGATTCTGTAGATAGAACTTGAACTATTTCTTTTGAAGAGGCAGGTGTTGTATCATTGGAATCCGGCTTTTCTTTTTGTGAGGTTGTATCAGGATTGCTACTTTTCACATTTTCTGTATCCATTGGTTCCCCTGCCGAGAGCTTAGAGAACTCTGAAAAATCTTCCTTTGAAGAAGATTCTAACTCACATTTAGCAACTGAAGGAAGGGTTTCATTGACACTTGTCGATGTTTCAGTTTTTAACATTTGTTCCTGAAGGTGTTCTTCAGGTGGATTATTGACATTATTTTCTAGAGGTGTGGGTGTTTCTTCTACGGGGCAAGTTTCTGTTATTACTTCTTGAGGTGTTACAGAGAGATTTGGAAGTGTAGGGTCTACAATTTCTTTCGACTCCACAACGTTTGTTTGAGGTTCAGAATTTGGGATGTTGTTATCTGGATATTGAACTACTTGGGAGATTTCTTCCGTTAGATTATTGGTAATTTGCTGAGGGCTAATGCTGGGAACAGTCTCCACTATTGGAGCGGAATTTGTTGTTGATATTTCAGATATTTCACAAGGTTTTGATTCGGTGGCACTGGATGCAGTTTCTTTTTCGATTGCATCGGAGGAAACTGCGAGAGGTTGAGAGTTGTCATTGGAATTTTCTACTTGGCTGGTGGAAGTTTGACTTTCAGAGGGGGCAATGTCATCTGTAGTTTTGGCTGAGGAGACTATTTGATTTGCCTCATCTGCGCTACATTCTGTGGTTGGTTGTGTACTACCAGGGGCATCAGTGGCTTCGGATGTGGATGTTGGTTGGGAAACATCTGTCTCAGAAGTTACAGTGGTATCTTCGAGGGTTGTAGAAGGGGGAGGAGGTGATTCACCTGATTTGATATCGGAAGGTTCAGCAATTTTTACTACCACAATTTCGAGACCTTCTGGAACTTCTGCTGATGTAGTTTCAGCGGTAAGTGCGGTATGAGGAGAACTTTCTTCTGGAGCAGAATCTGATTTTTTTGCTTCACTTGATTCCACTTTTGAGCACTCTACAGCTTCTTTTGGACACGTGGACGTTTCAGAATCTACTTGAGTTTCTAATTGAGGTGCAGTCATTTCTGGCAACGCTTCTAACACTGAAACTTGTGATGTTGGAACTTCAGATTCTGGAGCTGAAATTTCTGATGCTTGACACTCTGCTGTCTCCGTTTCTGGAGCAATTGATGCAGGTTCTTCAGATTTAGCAGATTCTGTCGTTTCTATTTCATGTTTTGGAACATCTGGTGTTGAAATTGATTCCTGTACTGAAACTACTGATTCCGCAGCTTCTGAAATTTGTGGCTCTTTTGGCAAATCCACTGTTGTTTCTTCAGTCGCTGCCGTTTCAGACGCTTGAGCATCTAATGACGGAGCTTTGGCCCCTAAAGCTATAGATTCAGATTCTGAAATATCTGGTTTTGTCGCCGATTCTTCTGATAGAATATTTGATATTGAATCTTCAGGCACTGAAACTTCGGTAGCTGGTGGTGGGGTTTCAGTAGCCGGTGCTTCAGAGACTGCCGATTCTGGTGGAGAAAAGTTTGCTGATGTAGGTGATTCTTGCTCCGGATCACTTGATGTTGGAGCTTGTGATGCTGTAGCTTCAGTCGTTGGAACATCTGATATTGGTTCTCCTGTCGGCGGGACTTCTAATGCCGTAGCATTCGATTCTTGAGTTCCAGACTCCAAAGTAACCTGTGCCGACGTTTTTGATTCTATCTTATTAGATTCCTGATTTTGTGAAGCCAAAATTTCCGATTTTGTAATTTCAGCTGCTGGTGTTTCTGGCGTAGAATCTATCGATGCTGGTGCTTCTTCGATTTCTGGAGCTTTGGGTTCCTGGACCGAAATTGTATATGCTTTAACTTCTGATGCCTCATTTATTGAAGCCTGGACCTGCGGTTCTGTAGTCTCAGTTCCAGGAGATTCTGACGGCAAATCGGTAGATGCTGGTACTTCATTTATAGGAGCTTCCGACGAGCAACTCTCTAATGTTGGAGCTTGTGGTGTTGTCGCTTTTGCTGCACCTTGAGTTTCTGCTGCAGAATCTGTTGTTTGAACTTCTGGTGCTTCAGACCCTAAGGGTTTCTTGTCCGAAGTTTCAGATACTTTAACTTCCAATGTCACATTGTCTGAATTTGGAACCTGCGGTTCTGTAATTTCAGATCCTGGTGATTCTGATGTTAAATTTGTTGATGCTGGTGCTTCAGTTACTGGAGCTTCCGACGAGCAACTCTCTAATGTTGGAGCTTGTGGGGATGTCGTTTCGGCATCTTGAGATTCTAATTTTGGTTCCGCAGACTCATTTGTTGCTGAGGCTTCTGATTCTTCTAAAACGGCTGGTTTTGATTCTGGAGCTTCAGGTGTTGGGACATCTGGCATTGTTGAAATATCCGGAGTCGGAACAATTGATTCTGAGACTTCTGACATTGGAGCTTTTGCTACTTCAGAAACGGAAGCTACTGAAAGGGACGCTTCACATACTTCAGTATTTCGCACAGAGCCTAGAACTTCTTCAATTACTGGAGCTTCCGACGCGCAGCTCTCTACATCTTCAGTCGGTTCTGGATTTTCCGTTTCTGGGATTGGTAACATAGATGGTTCAGCATTCTTTAGTATGGCTTCTGATTCCTCTGTAGCTGAAGGTTTTAATTCTGTAGCTTCCGGTGCTGCGGTTTCTGTTGCTTGTACTTCCGGCGTTGCTGAAATATCTGCCACTGGTGCTTTTGAATCTTTTACTTCAGAAACAGGAACATCTAAAGATGATGCTTCATCTGCTGTAGATTTTTCTACAGAGTCTAAAACTTCTGATTTGTCTGCAGCTGATGCAGAATCTTTTGATTCTTGAACTTCGGATTCTGCATTTGTCTGATCATCCAGTTGTGGCGATTCTACTGATGCTTTCAATTCTGGAGCGTCGGGCTCCATATTTGTCTGTGCTGAAACATTTGACATTTCCAAAGCCTGATCTTCAGAAGATGGGGCTTCTAATGTCGGAGATTCTGCTGATGATTGCGATACTGGAACTGATTGTTGGTTTGAAATTTCTGATAATTTTTCATTTTCAGTATCTAATACTAAAGATTTTGATGCAGATTCTGTTGCTAAATCTTTCGATTCTGTCTCTTCCGATTTAGGGGCTTCTGGAGATGGCACATTGATTGTAGCTGTTTCAGATGTTCGGATTTCTGTCATTGATGCTTCTTGTTCCGAGCATTTTGACAAGGAAGCTTCTAAATCTGAAGCAGAACCTTTCGATCCAGGAGCTTCTGGTTCAGAAGGTTCTATTGATGGAGCATCTGTTGCAGTAGCTTCTAAATCCACACCAGATACTTTCGATTCTGCATTTTCTAATGTGGGAACTTCTGATTCAGGCGCTTCTGTTGTTGGAGCAACTGAAGGTAGGGGTTCTGTTATTGGAACCTCAGGCACTGAACTCGTTGATTCCAAGGGCTCAGAGGTTGAAACTTCTGGAGCTGCAATTTCTGTTTCTGGAACTTTTGAATCAGGATCTTCTGTTGATGGAGATTCCGACACTTCAGTTAAAGTTTCTACAGGCGCTTTATCGGTTATTGGAACTTCCAATGATGAACCTTCTGCTACTGGATCACCTGATTTTGCAACTTGTGACATTGATTCTCCTTCCGAGACTACAGATTCGGACGCTGAAATTTCCGGTTTCAAAACTTCTTCAATTTTTGTAGCATTCGTATCCGGAGCATCTGAAATTGGCACTTCAGACCCTTCAGTTTCCGCTGCTGAAGCTTCTAATTTCAAATCATCTGAAAGTTGAACTTCTGACACTGGAACATCTGTTGCAGATTCTTTTGTGTCATTTCCAGTTGATGTTTGATTTTCAGAAACTCCTGCTTCCTTTGAGGTTCCCTCCGCATTTTCTTCATTACAATTTTCTTTTGCAATCCCTGAAGGTTCAGCTGCTATCGCTTCCATCTGCTTTACCTCAGGTTGTGGCTCAGGAACTTTAGAAGAAGATTCTTCAATATTCGTGTCTATAGGGGTTTCTACTTTCACTTCATCTCCCGATGTCTCTGAAGGGAGTGGCGTGACCACTTCACATGAGCGAGACGATTTTTGTTCATCTACAACAGGTACCTCTGCTAGGTTGTCCGCTGAGGATCTTACAATTTTATCTTCTAAGGATGGTTCTTCTATTTTTGCCTCCTCAGCCGACGTGTCATGTTTTTCCACTTCGGAAGTATCAATGGCGGAATCAGTAGCTTGAGTTACCTCTTCTGGTGAGGCTTGATTTTCAGCAACCGGAAGTTCCACGATATCGTTATTATTAATTTCTCCTGGGGGATTTATAACATCTTCTCCACCATCATCTGCTGTCTCCGGAACGGCTTCTTGAGGTTCCACATTACCTAAGCTTATATTAGCAATTTCTGCACTTAGCTCGGATTCTACATTTAAAGATTCAGAAACTATATTGTTCTCGGATGAAACTTGTGTTAGGTCAACATTTGATTTCTTATTACCGGGCGATTCCAGTGGTGTTTGATAATCTGTTTGTGGTTCTGAAGGTGGTGTTCGGAACGCATCGGAATCAGAATCCATGGAGGGTGATTTACATATTTGAAGAGAATCTGGCGTTATCACCTCCTGCGGTACCTCTAATGTAGGTAGAGCGGGCGAGTTCGGTGTTGTTTCTTCTGAAACCGGGGTTGAGATCGTATCTAATGTTGTGGGAACTTTTGCAACTCCTTCGTCAGCTTTTGCTGCGGCAGTTGACTCCGACGGGGTACTTAGCTCAGGTTCCCCATTTGGGGTTGTTTCAGTGTTGGAAACTATATCTGGTGTTGGATTTTCATCTGCCTCTACTCCCGATATCGAATTTGAAGCTTGTTCTGTTGATACTATTTCAACATTGGAAGTTGGCGAGCCTTCGAGGATAGTAGGATTTACTTCTTCAGTTTCCTTGGAATCTGCAATAGAAGTTGCATCTTCTGAAGGTTTTGATTCGACCACTGTTTCATCTGAGACTTCTGTCGTAGGTGTTGATTCGGATGCTGGGGTTTCCTCGACCGCTTTCTCCGATTTTGCTTCCGAATTCTGGTCGGCTATTGTTCGGATTTCTCCTTGTGCCTTTTCAGGCTCAACGGCTGGTGATTGCGATACCGACTCAGTTTTAGTTTTCTCAGGTTTCTGTTCTGAAGTTTCCTCGACAGACTTTTCCACAGAGGTTGGTTCTATTTCAACAGATTTTGTTTCCGGCCCCTCTTCTGATTCTTTTTGGAGTTTCTCTTGTTCCGCGACTAATTCTTTGGTATCTTTTTCTATCACTTGTGTGCTAACAGTTTGTGCTGCTGGAGTGGGAGTAGTTTCTGCCACACTTGGATTTTCCACCGTTAGTTCTTCAGTTTTTTCTCCCGGAGCTCCTTCTGGTAAAGGTTCTGCTACAAAAGCTTCCGATGCTGGAGCTTCCGATATTGACTGTTTTAATGTTACTACTTCGGTTTCCGGAATATTTTGCAATACTGGTGTTTTTACTTCTAGAGATTCTACCACCGGAGTGGTAGCTGGAGCATCAGTAGTTGGAACCAATTCTTGTGCTGTGTCGTCTAAGATTAGAGGTTTGCCGAGCTCTGACACAGAATCTTGTATCTCCGACGTTGGTCCTTGTGATGTTGCATTTTCAGCTTCTAATACTTGAAGCGTTGACGTTTCGGGTTCTGATTTAGGCACTTCAGGTGCTGCGGCTTCCGGTGCCGAAGCTTCTGACACTACCACTGCTGCTGTTAATTCTGGACTATTATATATCGCTGATTTTGGTATTGGAACTTCAGGTGCCAAAGCTGATTCCTGTTCTGGAGCATCAGAGATTGGAGGTTCTGTTACTGAAACTTTCTCAGATAATTCTGAAGCCAGAGGATCTGTGTCCTTTGCTAATGTTGACACTTCAACAGAATCTTCCTTTGGCTCTGATGTTCCACAAATAGACAACGACGTGGGTGAACTTTTCTCGCTAATTTCCTGAGATTTAGGTTCAGCACCAACATTTTCTACAATTGGAGTGGGCCTCACTTCGATCGCTTTCTCATGAATGGGTGGAGTAGCTGACTCTTCACTTGGAGTTGGATTAACGTCGGGAACAACCTTTTCAGTTACTGCTGTTGTTTCCAAGGGAACGCTTTCAGTAGAAGTTGGACCTGCAATTTCATCTGAAGTGGGTTCCTTCGAACTGCCTTCTGCTGTCACTTGAATTTTCTCACATGACACTTCCGTTGATGGCACAAGCTCTTTTGAAGTCTCCACTTTTTCAGCGGTGATTTCTTCGGCTGGCTGTTTAGAAGGAGATTGCTCAACTAGAGTGGATTCCGACTCAGTTGGAATTTCCTGAGCGGATTCTTTAGGATCTGCCACTGAAGCTTTCTCGACTGTTTCCCTAGTTACTTCTGTTGAAGATGGATCGGTAGGGTTCTCGGTTTCAGACTGCACCACATCAGCTGTTGATTCCTTTACTGATGTTGGAGTGTCTTCAGCTACTGCTCCGGTAGTTGATTCTGTAATCATTATTTTTGATTCAGAAGCTGGAATGGAATCGGGTTCTGTTGAAGTGTTCTCCATTGTCTCTTGAGACGTTGAAGTCAATTCTGAAGTTATAGTTTCGGAAGAAATATTGATTTCTTGAATTACTTTAGTAGGTGGTACTGCATCGGAAGCTGTCACATTTGTTTTTATTTTAATGTCCTCTGGTGTAAGAGGGTCTGCGATCTTTGATTCTGTAGTAGGCTCCATAGGAGTTTTTATTATTTCTTCGGCTGGTTCCTCCGAAATTGATTCGGCTGATGGTTGTGTTTCAGGGTTTTCACCCACAACAGCTTCAACAGCTGTTTTTTCAATGGTTTCCTTAGAAGCAGTCGTTGATTCAGTCGCTGTTTCTGCTGATGCAGGTTGAACATCATTTTCAGTTATCTCAGAAATGGTTGAAGAGGCTTGTTGGCCCGGTGTTTCAATTACATCTTGGGATTGATTTGTTTCCACTTCCGAAGTTTCCTTCTTCTCTTCAATTGCAGTGTCTTCTGCATTTTCCACATTTTGACTGATTGCTTGAAGTTCCTCCCCACTAGGAATGTTTGCAATGGAATCCTCCTTTGATGTTGTCACATTGTCTTTTACATCCGCTTCTGTTCCAGTAGGAGTTTTGTTCTCCTCCGAAGGCTGATCTTCGGTATTTGTAGATTTATCAAGAGAAGCTTGCGCTGAAAGTGGTTGCGAAACTTTTTTGGATGGTGATAAAGCTGATGCGTCTTCGGAATCTTTCATATAATCTGCCTCGGTTTGAGATGCGACAGAATTCTCTGGGCTTATATCGTCTTTAGACTCCATATTTTTCGAATCAACTTCCGATGGATCATTTGATTGATCCGTTTTAGTATCGGCTTGCGGAAGATTATCTTGGACATTTTCGCTTGTAATTTCACGTTTAGGTTTAGTTTCTTCTTGTGTAGCTTCAGTTTCATCGGCTTTTGATTGTACAGCTGGTATTCCAGAATCTGCGGGTATAATCGGCTTCAATGCCTCTTCCTGCTTTTTTGGTGCTTCCGCTACAGAATTTGAAGCCTCGTCAGGTGCCGGGTTATCAATGGACTTTTCCTCTGAAACAGTGCTAGCGATAGCTGCTGTGGAAACTTTTTGTGGTGAAGAAATGTCTTCCTCGTCTTTGGAAGCTTCAGTCTTTTCTTTATCAGCGGATTCTTGTGGATTCTCAGATTCCTTAGTAACTTCAGAGCTAGATTCCAAATTAATGGAAGTTTCTTTAGTTGCTGTAGCTTCTACATTTGATGTGTCTTCAGACACCGGTAATGTGGAATCTGATTCAGTTGCTGGTTCAGTTTCACAGGTGGAATCTTCAGTTTTGACATTATGTTCGTCGGATATTCCCGATTGTTCTGGGCCTTTAGACGATTCCACTTCAGAAACTCTTACATCTTCCACAATTTTTTCAGCGGATTTCGATTCGCTTTCAGAGCCTTCGGCCACTAAATCATTTGGCTTTTCGTCAGTTTTAGATTCAGATACTTTAGGCTCTGCTGAGACATCCAAACTTTCCACAATTTCAGATACTTTTGTATTTGTTTCCACATTCAATTCGCACACTTTTTCTTCGGTTTTAGATATTTGTGAATCCTCCGCTATCGTACCGGATTCTTCGCTTACTTTCGGAGACTCCGTTACTTGTTCTGACACCTCTTCAGTAGCATGTTTTGGAGGTTCCCCTTCTGCCGTAGGTAATATATTATCTATAATTCCAACTTCAGGAACATTTTCCTTCTCCGCAGATTCCAAAGGTGTTTCATCAATTGTCGGGTTCAATTTTTGGGTTTCAACATCAGCTGAGCCAGCTTGTTGATCTTTAGTTTCAGGCTCTGTGATTTGCATTGGTTTGTCATCCAGAATCTGGGAACTATCACCTGCGACTTCCTTTGAAGATTCGTCTGTTTTCATTGAAACCTCTCCCGTTGTTTCTTTTTCAGTTACACATGGAGCTGCAGCTGACAGTTCGACTGACTCTATAGATTGAGTTTCAGTCTTGGCAATATCCGCTGTTGTAGCATCCTGTGACCCTCCCGTTATTTCTTTTCCAGCTTCACATGGAGCAGGATCTTCGACCTCTTCTTTTTTGGGTTCAATTTCGGTTGACACTGACTCTGCAGTTTGATGTTCAGTTTCAGTCTGGACAATGTCTGTTGTAGCTTCTTGTGGCCCCGCCACATCTGTTGATACTTCAGCCTCTGGTTTAGGAGTAAAATCTTCTGATTCTACTTGAACTGCGGGTTCTGTTGTTACTTCTTCCGAAGATTTAACAGCATCATCTGCAGCAGCTTCCTCCACTGCAGCTTTAATAGGTTCAACCTCTGCTGCATTTGAAGTTTCTTCTGATTTCTTTTCGGGTTCTACATTGCTTTCTTTTACCTCTGTCTTTTCGTCTTCAAGTGCAGCGGACGCAGTTTGAGGCTTAATTTCAGCAGTTGGAGCTTCCTCAGCTGCATGAACTTTTTCTACACCTGATGATGTAACAGATTCTGCTAAAACCTTTCCCTCCACAGCACCTATTTCAAGTACTCCATCTGCGGTTGCACTTTCTGTGGACTCATTTAGTGGGTCTGATTCTCCTTGAGACACTTTTTCGTCTGTGGCTTCCGGCGAAGACACTACATTTTCAGCTGCAGTTTGAGGTTCAACCTCAGCTGCGACCCCATCTACTTTTTCTACCGAAACTTCTTGAGGTTCACATTTAGTTGCAGATGCATTTACTTCTTTTTCTTTAGCGGGTTCCTCTTCTTCGTGCGATGCTCCTTCTGTGCTTTCTGTTTGAGATTCAGTTTTAGTAGTTTCGGATTCTCCAGTTGGAGGTATTGTATCCTTCAATTCTTTGTCAGATTCAGCTACGGGTAAATTTTCTGCTACGGGACTTTGGGTTTCCATTTCGGATGATATAGCTTCTTCATTTGTTTTATTTACATCAGTCGAAGATGATTCCACTGTAGTTGGGGGTCTTTCGTGATCGCCATCTTCAACATCTATCTCAGATTCTTTCTGCTCTTGTTGAGGTTTCGCAGTGGCTTGAGTTACTGCTTCTGTGGTGTCTTTTTGAGTTTGGATTTCTTCTGAAGGTTTCGATTCTACAATGTATACTTCTTTTTCCGCTACAGTTTCAGATTCAACACCAGTTTCTGCTATCGATTCCTCTGCTGCCGTTTGGGATTCTTCTTTAACTTCGCTTTCTTGTTTAGATTCGCTTTCTTCTTTAACTTCGTCTCCTTTAGCTTCGCTTTCTTCTTTTGCTATTTCAGCTTGGGCTTCAGTAGTCAAAACTTCTTCTGCATTTGCTTTTTGAGAGTCTGAGTTCGTTTTTTCTACCTCAGCAGATTCTGAAGATTGCACCAGGCTGTGAGATTCAGCTTCAGCTGATTTTTGAGATTCAACTTCATTTTTGGATACGTCCTTTACATTTTGAGACTCAACCTCATTTTGTTTGCTGTCCATTTGAGATTCCACTTCAGTCACAGCAACATGTTCCACGGCAGATTTTTGAGATTCTTCTTTCTCCTCAGAATCCTTATCTGCAGTCGGTTTCTGAGGTTCGATCTCGCTTGAGAATTCAGATTCAGCTTCGGTCTTAGTTGCATCCGAAACAGTATCAGGTTCGACTTTAGAAACGGATACTTTTTCCTCAACGCCAGTATCCGAAACGTTTTCTTCAGTGGTCTTTTGGGTTTCCGTTTCGTCTCTTGCCTTTTCTTCTATACCGGCGATTTGAGGTTCTAGTTCAGCTGGTTTTTCAGTTTCAGTTTGGGTCGTTGTCGACACTTCTTTTGGCCTTAGCGGTTCAGCAACTTCTGTTAATGATTTTTCTTCTACAACTGCAGTCTCGACCTCGGTCTTCACAGGGTCTTTTTCGATCACAACCTCAGCTGAAACTTCCTCAATTTTTTGAGGATCGTTTTCCTCTTGGGTAGGTATTTCACTCTCTTCAGCTACCTCCATTTTCGAAGGTTCATTAGCTGTCTTAACTTCATTTTCCTTGCTATCTTTTTCCGAAGGTTTAGGAACTTCTGATTCAGGAGTTACTATTTCCGATTCAGGTGATATTGTAGCTGCTACTTCGATTGTTTCTTCATTTTTATTTTCACACACCACAATCTCAACCTTATTTTCTTTTTTCTTTGTTGTCAACGGCATAGTTTGAATGTGGAACTCAATGGTGGGTAGATCTGAGAAGGTTTCCACATCTGCATCCTGTAATTTTTCTGTGGATGCCAATGCCTCACTGGGATTTGGATTTTCTTCCACTTTTTCAGAACTCTCGGAAGTTTCAGATGCCAATTTGGCTAATGTTTCCAAAGTTGGAACATTTGAGGACAAAGTGTCATCAGCTTTTACCGGGGGATTCAGTTCAGCTCCCTTATCTTCTGGTTTGCCAATTTCTTCCAAACGTTTACTTTCCTTTTCAGATGATTTTGCTTCTGAATCTACATTATCCTTAGGAGAAACGACGACACTCTCTGTGGCTTGTCCTTCAGATGGCACAGAAGTATTAATCGGAGGCTGTACTGTCTTCTCATCAATTTTACTCTCTTCCTTTTCGGATCTCTCTACATTTGCAATTTGTTCTGCGACGGGTTCTTCTTTCTCAGATTTTGCAACACTTTCGGATTTATCTTCTTGTGAACTTTGTTGCTCCGACGATACTTCAACTTTAATAACAGCAGAAGGTTCAGTTGCATCTTGAACCGTTGTGGAAAATTCCTTAGTTTCAAGCTGTGCTTCTGATACCTCTTTAGTTTCTATATCAGTTTTTCCCTGTTCCATTTCTTTTGTTTCCAAGGTACTTTCCGTAGCTTCTTCTACCTGTTCCTTTGTTTTTGTGTCCGAAATACCTTCCTTTGTATCTTGGGATTCGGTTGCATTATCAGGTTCTGCGGAGGTCTTGACTGGTTCTACTTCCTTATTTTCCACAATGGTTTCAGAGGATGCTTCTTCCGGCCCTGCTGATTTTGTTTCAGAATCATCCACAAGTTTTTCATGTTCTTGAGAATCGGATACAGTAGCAGTTTCAGTTCCAGGTTCGTTTTGTTCTTCCTCTGCTGATACCACAACACTTTCCACTTTTTCTGTAACAACTTTAGGCACCTCCTCCTCGGTTTTCAATGTATTTTCCGTTGACTCATCCCCGGAAATCGATCCACCAGCAATATCTTCAATTTTCTCCGACAAATCGGAAGTTTCATCAATCGTTTCCAATATTACCACCTTATCTCCACTTTGTTCAGCCAATTGTTTTTGACCATCCTCCTCTTCCTTCTTCTGTAACTCTTCGGGAGTTGGGAAATTTTTCAAATCAAATTCCGTCATTTCTTCCGGTATCACACCCAAACTATGTGGGTACATTTCATGAGATCGTGCCTTGATTTCGGCCAATGCCAAATTTTTCAATTCATTCATTGTAATTAATTCGGCGGCGGTTAAGGCGGCCGGTTCATCTGCAGCTGGGACAGCCAACATTGGGCCCAAGGCCATGGCTGCTAGAATTTCAACCACCGAAGGTGTACGTTCTTCTTCTGGTGGTTCTACCATCTCTACCGTGCTAAAACCGGTACAACCTTCTGTATCAGAAATATCTTCACCTGTTCGAAAAATGGCGTAAAATGACGAGGGTCGAAACGAAAAGAGACGAAATTGTCAGCCCAAAACTCATGCATAGATTTCATATTTTTTTTTGGGAAGGATGTTCTTTTCAAAGCGGAAAAAGGGGAAAGCAATATTTTACCTTACAAAAAAAAAAACGAAAACTCAGGACAAATCTAACAACAATGGAGCAGAAACGTGGTTGAGACTAGCACTTCATCTATAAAAAGTTGGGAGCATTTGAATCCAATGATGTGGCTTATGGGTTTGGTGATTGGTAAAAAAAATTATAAGAATAGGTATAACTAAAGCTAGGGGAACTTGGAAATGAGTTTAAAAAATTTGCCACCTACCTGCCAAGGGATTGCTGCTGCTGTGATCCCCAAAGCCCAAGGGTGGATTTAGAACCTCCAAATTCTTTTGATCTTCCTGGTTATTGTTGTCGCTATTATTGTTGTTATTGTTTTGCTGGCTGACATTTGTGTTTATGGCTTCATTTTTACTGGGAACATCAACATCAACATTGCGTGTCTCGGCATAGGCCTCCTCCTGATCCAAATGTAAGGTATTCGATATCATACTGCTGCGTTCAATCAATTCATCCAAAACCATTTTACTATTTTGTCCCCCGATCAGATGTTTGTTAAACAAACGATTATTGACCGGATCCATGTTGGCACGTAACAAATCCATGGACGAATCATCGGTATCGGAACCCAGTTCCGATAGATCACTTATTTCATCGGCCGTCTTATCGCCGATTTGGGCACGCACATCTTCTTTGGGATCAGGTACCAACATGCCGACGCTTGATGTTGAAATCGAACCACCGGCCAAAGAAGGTTTCTTCTTTTTGAACAGCCAATTGTTCTCCCAGGCACTGTCGCCCACAGCGCTTGAAGTCACCGACATATAATCTGAGAAGGGGGTTAAATGAAATAAAAAGAAAAAATACATATTTGGGTGATGAAGAAGCGGAAAAAGTTTACAAAAAAGGTGAGGGTAAACTTAAATAAAAAGGAAATTTTGGGATATTGGGTAGTACCAAACAATAGGTCAAAAGAAAAAAACCGAGGTATTAAGATAACAAATATTGAGGAGATTAATAGATCATACATAGAAACTCTGGAGATCTCCCGTGGACATGGTAGAATTAAGAAGGTAATTTCATTTCAATTAAAGATATAAAACTCTGCATATTTGTAATTTTTCCTTTCCAATATTGAACGGATAGAAAACAGCTTCCGATCTCTGTTTTTTGTATATATATATATATATACTTTTCGACAATAAGACGTTTTGAAATGTATATTTTTGAAATAAGTTTAAACATAGAATTGCAGGAGGTAGCCTTCTTAATTCGACCATGTCCGGGGAAAAACCGGAGATAGAAGAAGAAATATTCTAGATATAATAGACGAAGGAGTTCCAAAAAATATTTCTTTGAGATTTAGGTCTGGGTTTTTTCCCTTATTAAAATCCGATATTTCGCAATGGGTTACATTGTATATTTATATATTTTATATAGAGCATAACTTTTTAGACCAATCGACTTTTAAAAGGACTTCTATGGATAGAATTCCCATAGGTTTTATTAAAATATAAGACCTAGAGGTCTTCTTCAGACAAGGGTAAAATGATAAGATATCTCTAAATAGTGAATAAAATTTAGAAGCAAACAGGTTAAAATGAAATAAAAAAACTCATTTTCCGGTCATGGGGTTTGTAATAGGCTCCACAAATATAGAATCAAAATTGCAGGTTTATTTTATATTGAATAATACTCACCATATTCCATTTCCGATTCCGTTGCCACAACAGATAGATCTGGTAATGGTACCATATGAGTTGCCAAATAATCACTCATTACAGATTCACGGCCAGCATTCAACAACAATTCCGAAGATTTTTCTTCATTGGTCTGAAATAAAGAGAAGGATTTAATTAGTCAAAATTCTCAATGAGAAGTTATGGGTTATCATACAAATAGGTAAAGGCCCGTTTGCACGTTATGTTAAAGTCATATGTAATATAATGTGATATTTTACATTTTTATGGCATACTTTGAGGAGTTTGACAATTTTAATCTTTAAAATAACGTTATACGATATAAAAATTACTATAAATACACTTTTTTCTGTAATTGTAGTATAACTATATAAAAATTTCCACTATACTGTGTAGCGTTTCTGTTTAGATTAAAATTTCTGGAGAGCGACTAGAAGTAGTAGTAATTCTTAAGGTTTCCACGCAATACTATAAAGAATTTCCTTTCAGATAAGAAATTTTGTGAAGTTCCTTAAAGTATGTTATAAAAATGCTTAGCATAAATGTAGAAAATTGAGAATTACATATGGCTCTAACATTATGTCTATATTAGCCATTAGTTCTAAAAACTGTTTAAAATCCGTAGAATTTCTTTTAATAGTGAAGTTATGGGGTATTGTGATGGAAATGATTTCTACTCGTTTTGCTATAGATCAATTTATTATCTCTGAAATTTGACCAATCCTTTTACTTAAATTGTAATTGAATTTCTTAAATATAGTTTAATAAGAGCGTTCTAAAATATAACCTCCTCCGCCTCCGATCCATAAATCGAATCTGCTTCCATCACATACCTGTATATGAGATTTTTCTATTAGTTTTTCTCGACGAGGGATCTGTGACCAAAAAATTAGGAAATACCATCTATTCTGTCTTATAAGAGGCTACTTTTCCGTTTCACAATTCTCTAAGACCAATACTCGACTTAAGTTATTGTGTTTATCGGAGATAAAAGTCCTTGCTCAATTTAGTGCAGGCATTATCCAAATAAATACATGATTCTCCAAATCGTGTAGTCCTTTGGTGTATACATGGTTGACGTTTAAAGTAAGGTCGACTGTTAATTTGATGTTTTCTTTTTTATTGTCCAATTTTATGAAGAACCATCTATCTTTCATGATAAATGAGGCTCGATTTACATAGCGCCCTGGTAGATGTTTCTGGCAATTAAAATTATTAAGTTTTCTCTAAAAGGTTAGATCTTTAATATTTCAAGACCTTAGTGGATGATTTAAAGGTTTCGTGCAACTTTTTGATTGTGCAATTTTAAGTCCAATTTTAAGTGTTCAACTTTTTGAAGTGCCATCTATCTTTCATGTAAATGAGGGCCCAATTTCATACCCTATTTGGTAGATGTCTTTGCTTATTAAAATTATTCTGCTTTCTCCAAAAAGGTCAAATCTTCAGTATTATAAGCCTTTAGTTGATGATTTAAAGATTCCGTGTAACATGGATATGATTTTGCCTTGTTTTATAGTCCAATATTGTGAAGCGCCATCTATCTTTCATGATAAACTGGGTCACAATTACATTGTTCAATGGTAGATGTCTTTGTTAATTAAGAACTATGTTACTGATTTAAAGATGTCGTATTAATTGTATTCCATTTTTGATTTCGATTTTATAATGTCTCCCAAATATAACACTATTATTCTCCGAATCGGTTTTAGTTATTTCTGTTTGCATACATATAAAATCCAATCCCATTTAATATATAAAGCGGAAATTATTCTAATTCTCTTGAGCATTCTCGATTTTAGGAGAGCTTGCTTTTTGCTTTTTCACAAAAATAAATGCCTGAAAAGGCAGTCATTGTAGCTACCAGCAAATATTCGAAAGCTAACAGATTATTTTTGAAAAGCAGTGATATCTAATAATAATATTAACTTAATCCAATTGGGATGGATTGGGCGCCATCTATATTATCCTGGAAGTTATGTTGTGGAGAAGTGGTAGTTAATTAGGTGCTGAAATTTCTCTAAGGCTGGCGCCTCTTAATGTCCATAGTACTGGGTTTTGGGATGGTGTAGTGTGAAGTATTTCTTTTAGATCAGATGCCAGTGAACGAAGTTATTATCCAAAATTTTGAGCTAATTTCCTTAAATTGGGTCTAGGAATGGTTGCTGTCTTAGATAATCCTTGTTATGAAATTTTCTCGTATTGATGGAGTTTTGACTTAAGCATTTTGGAAGCCAATTTTTTCAGATCCTATGCCATTGAATCCTGTTATTATCCGAAATTTTGAGCTAATTTCCTTCCATTGGTTGTAGGAATGGTTGCTGTCTTAAATAATCCTAGTTATGAAATTTTCTGGTATAGATGGAGTTTCGAAGATTTGATTTAAGCATTTTGAAAGCCGAATTTTTCAGATCCTATGCCATTGAACCCAGTTATTATCCAAACTTTTGAGCTAATTTCCTTCCTTTGGGTCTAGCAATGGTTGCTGTCTTAGATCACGCTAGTTATGACATTTTCTCGTATAGATGGAGTTTTGAAGATTTGATCTAAGCATTTTAGAAGCTGAATTGTTCAGATCCTATGCCAGTGAACCCAGTAATTATCCAAAATTTTGAGCTAATTTTCTTCCATTGGGTCTAGGAACGGTTGCTGTCTTAGATCATCCTAGTTATGAAATTTTCTCGTATAGATGGAGTTTTGAAGATTTGATCTAAGCATTTTAGAAGCCGAATTGTTCAGATCCTATGCCAATGAACCCAATAATTATCCAAATTTTTGAGCTAATTTTCTTCCATTGGGTCTAGGAACGGTTGCTGTCTTAGATCATCCTAGTTATGAAATTTTCTCGTATAGATGGAGCTTTGAAGATTTGATTTAAGCATTTTGGAAGCCGAATTGTTGTTCCCAGACTTTTGTGGCATTGTTTGATTTGACCAGAGTGGCTTAGAATAAATTATACCACCATTTCTATAATCAGGTTTTAGGCATAGTTTCGCATTCCTCATTCAAGACTAACCTCTGCTTCTTATCCGCTTCATTTTAAGACCTCGAAAACGCTCCTCCTTCCGAATTCCTGAAAACAACATTAAATCATTTTTAACAGTAAAAAAACACTTACCGTAACATTAGGTTCCGTATCCGTGTAGCTTAAATCACTTCGTGGCTCCACCGAACTACCCGAAGTTATCGATTGATTTTCCATGTTATAGTTTTGATCCATATCGCCAGCACCCTCAACGATACCGCCTACATCTTCGGCGCCATCAGCCATTACGCGTGTCAAATTAGGTGAACTTTCGGTCATGTTGCGATTGTTATTCGATTGCTTGTCGACAATCTACAAAAAAAGTGGGGAAAAAAGAAGAGAAGAAAAACAAACGAAACGAAAATCAATTTACGACCTTGACTTTGAAAAGTAGACCGGGTCCAGACAACCAATTGCACCCGCACACACACACACACACACTGCTTAACGACTTATTGTGCGCTAAGCTGATTGCAAGCAAAAGTGCGATGGTGATGATGAAGGCACGGTGGTTGTTTTTGAGCCAGGTCAGGGAACTTAACGAAACATTAGGAGCTAAGTTTCGTTAGGTTTTGTTGTACAACAATTGCAAAGTAAAAGAAAGACCCGACAACAATAAAAAATTGTGCGTAAGCGTCAAACTGTCGCCCAAGCTATTGATTTTTGTTGTGGTTTCTTTAAGCGGCTGTCATCGATAGGGATTCCTTGGTTGTTGCATTGTCCAGTTTTAGAGGTTCTTGGTTATTTACCAAGAAGAAGAAGGTCCACACAATGTCGAAGATGGCTCATAATGATTTTTTTAACACAAAATATGAATTTCATATGCATTTCAAATCCATTAATTATGATTTTTTTAAAATTTCCGAATTTGTGGTGATTTAAATATTTTGATTTTTTTTAGAATCCAATTTTGAAATTTACATTTTGATTAGCCTCTTGATCCATTACTTGAGTTTGGAATAACACTTTGATTTATTTTCACTAAATTCAACTTTGCAACATGTAATCCTTTTTTTTCGTTGGGTTTAAAACTTCGTAATCCTTGTCTGGGTTGGTTAAATCTCCGTTTACTGGAGCGGGAATTTTCACCCAGCTAATAAGAAGCCTTATCCAATTAGCTGGTGTAATTTATTTCACTATTTTTTTCCTATGATTCGCGAAATTTATTTTCAAAACAACGACGTCTTTACGCTTTAGTAGCTGTTGGACAACTGGACAAAATGCGTTTTCTATTTTGCATTCTATGGGATTTTCAAAGGGGTAAAACTCAATTCCATGTCCGGTAGGAAACCCCAAAAGTGCTCAATGAAAAACCTAACGAAATGCATGCAACCCTTACGAAACCATGTTTCTCGTGGTGGAAACCCCGAAAGACAACAAACAAACCGACGCCAAGAGGCTTTTTCCAAATATCACTTTGTTCAGGCCTTCTTTTGCGTGTGTGACCACCATCACCACCACCCCGGCCAGACATGGCGTCAAAACGCCACACATTTTCCAGCTCAAAGTGATGCCGGTTGTACAGCGACATGTTTGAAATCAACAGGTTTTGTTTAAATTCTCAATGCAATGCAGGACAGGTCAAAAAAAAAAAAAAAAAAAAACCCAAACTAAAAATAGAACTTGTTTGTGGGGGGATAGACGGTGGAAACCAATATAATACATAGTTCAGACTACAATCGTAAACCTTAGAAATACAAAATTGTTGTATTATGAAACAGGCAATTATAATTTTTTTCTTTGATGTGTGAGAGGTTTCGATAATAAAATTATTAGGGCCTCATAAGTGTTATGAAATATTCGTGAGTCAGATTTTCAAAAAAAAAAAAAAAAAAGAAAGGAAAGGTAAAATGCGGAATAATAGATTAAAGCAGTTATACTTCCTTTGGAATAAACACTTCCGTTTTTCACGCTCTGCTCAAAGTTAGGGGAGAGAATTGGGCTACAACGAAATCTTTCTTCCAGGCGAAAATCCAAACAATCGCAGAGGTTCTGAACTGGTTTAGTATTCTAGATTCTATTACCTGCGGGGAAGAAATTTCTTAGAACATTTGATTTGCCACTGCTCAGCTTTTACGAACTTTAGGAAATAATTTTTAGGAATAGACAACATTTGGGGATTGGTTATAAATATGGGACCCACACATAGAATAAACATTCTTGAGGAAGGGTGAATGGTTAAAATCTTGAATAGTAGATTAACTAAATTATACTTCTTTTGGAATAAACAATTCAGCTTTTTCACGGTTTCAAGTACTAATCAAAGTTAGCTAAGAGAATGGGCTACCCCTCTTTATAGCAGATCTGAAGTCCAAAATATATTCTCCAGGCGGATATCCAAGCAATCACCGAGGCTATGAACTGGTTTAATATTCTAGGCTCTAGTACCTGAGGGGAAGAAAATCCCTAGAACATTTGCTTTGCCACTGCCCAGCTTTTACGAACTTTAGGAAATAGTTTTTAGGAATAGGCAACATTTGGGGGTCGGTAATAAATATGGAATTCCTCACCCCTGGGACCCCACATAGAATAAACATTCTTGAGGAATGAGGAGTGGTTAAAATGTTGAATAGTAGATTAACTAAATTATACTTCCTTTGGAGTAAACAATTCAGCGTTTTCAATTCAACGTTTTCAGTGTTTTCCATGTTAGGGGAGAGAACGGGGCTACATCTCTTTATAGAAGATCTGAAGACCGAAATCTATTCCCGAGGCGGAAATCCAAACAATCACAGAGGCTTTGAACTGGTTTAATACTCTATGCTCTAGCACCTGTGGGAAAGAAAGATCTTAGAACCCTTTCTTTGCCACTGTCCAGCTTTTAAAAACTTCGGAAAATAGTTCTTAGGGAGAAGTAACCTTCCAGGTCTGGGCATGTCAGGGGAATATATATTATTTGGGGGTTCGTTAAAAATAAAATATTCTTGATCTGCATAAAATTCTAAGTCGATTTAGCTGCCTGTTCAAATCAAGAGGAAGGAGGAAAAGTAAAAATGCTGAAGACTAGCTTAACGGAGTTATACTTATTTCGGAGTGAATAATTTAGCTTTTTTCACTGACGGCTCAAAGTTAGGGGAGAGAATGAGGCTACCCCTCTTGGTAGGAGATTTGAGGACCGAAATTTCTATACTCCAGGCGAAAATCCAAGCAATCACATTAGAACATTTTCAGGGTTTACAAATTCAAGGCAACAGTTCTTAGGAAGAGATGACCTTTGAGGTCTGGGAACGTCAGGGGAATAGAAAATATTTGGGGTTCGTTGAAAATATGGAATGTCCTCATCCCTGGAACCCCACAGAGAATAAAAATGTTTAATCTACATAAAATTCTAAGTCGATTTAGCTGTCTTTTCAAATCAAGAGGAAGGAGGAAAAGTGAAAATACTGAAGACTAGCTTAACGGAGTTATACTTCTTTTGGAGTAAAGAATTCAGCTTTTTTTCACGGCTTCACGAATTGCCCCAAAATTAGGGCAGATAATGAAGTATGAGAAGGAGGTGGGAGACGGAAATCAATACAATCACAGAGGCCCTGAACCTCTTGGTAGGAGATTTGAAGACAGAAATCTCTCTTATCCAGGTGGAAATTTAAACAGTCACAGAGGCTCTGAACTGGTTTGATATTTTACGCTCTAGTACCTGCGGGGAAGAAAAACCTTAGAACCATATCTTTGCCACAAACTTTTGGAAATTGTCCTTAGGGAGAGATACCCTTCAGATCTAGCCACATAAGGGAAATAAACAAAATTTGGGGTCTCGTTAAATATATACAATTCATCATCTCTGAGATCTATATAGAATAAAGAATCTTGATCGCCATAAAATTCTAACTCGATTTAGCTGTCTTTTCAAATTAAGAGGAAGAAAATATTGAATGGTAGATCAACTGAATAATACTTCTTTGGAGTAAACAAATCAGTTTTTTTGACAGTTTCACGGCCGGTTCAAAGTTAGAGGAGAGAAAACCTGGAGACTGAAATCTCCCATCCACAGGCGAAATCCAGACAATTACAGATGCTTTGAACTTGTTTAGTATTCTAGCCTTTAGGAGTTGCGAGGGGGGGGTGGTGTGTCAGACCGAAATCTCCCATCTACAGGCGAAAATCCAGACAATTACAGATGCTTTGAACTTGTTTAGCATTCTAGCCTTTAATATTTGCGGGGAAGAAAAACCTTAGAACATTTTCCGGGCTTACAAAGTCAAGGAAACAGTTCTTAGGGAGAGGTACCCTTTCAGATCTGGGTACGTCAGGGAAATAGATAATATTTCGGGGTTTATTAAAAATATGGAATTTCTCATGCCTGAGACCCACAAAAATATTCTTGATCCGCATAAAATTCTAAGTCGATTTAGCTGTCTGTTCAAATCAACAGGAAGGATGAAAACTGAAAATGCTGAATACTAGCTTAACGGAGTTATACTTCTTTTGGAGTAAAGAATTCTTTTTACGGCTTCACGTACGGATCAAAGTTAGGGGAGAGAATGAGGCTACCCCTCTTGGTAGGAAATTTGAAGACCTAAATCTATCTTTTCCAGACGGAAATCAAAGCAATCACAGAGACTCTGAACAGGTTTATAAAACCTAAGAACAAATTCAAGGAAACAGTTCTTAGGGAGAGGTATCCTTCCAGGTCCGGCTACGTCAGGGAAATAGATAATATTTTGGGGTTTATTAAAAATATGGAATTCCTCATGCCTGAGACCCCACAAAAATATTCTTGATCCGCATAAAATTCGAAGTCAATTTAGCTCTCTGTTCAAATCAAGAATGCCAAACTATTTTAAATAGTTCTTGAAATTTCTTGAAGAAAAAATTGGCATCTAGAGGTACCCGATTTTTTAAGTCAAAATTTTAAAATCACCATCGCCAGGTCATAAAAAAGATTTTTATGCTAGGGCCATCGAATTAGGTTACGTTTGAATGAAATCCATGGTTAGTCCTTATTGTCTTATTTAACAGATTAATGAAAACGTCCCTTATACTTACATATAGATGGCGCTAAAATAACAACTTCTTTTGACATTTAGAGGTAACCGATTTCAAATGTTTTGCAAGCCAAATATTTAAAATTATCATAATTTAGGCCATGATAAGGTGCATTAGATTAGGACCATCGAATTAGGGTTTGTTTGAGTAAAATCCGCGTTTAGTCCTCATTCCCTTAATTAACAAGTTAATGAAAAAGTTCCTTATACGGACATATAGATGGCGTTAATAGTAATACATTCTTATTCTTATGACGATGGAAATAACGGTTTTAATACCAAAACGCGCGAATAGTCGTATTTAAATCTGAATTAGGTCTGGAGCGAAAATTGACAATATTGGCCCACTCCCCTATTCCGTCAAAACATTGAATAATTAAACCCCCTATAAAAGTGCGAAATAATTTTAATTTCTCCTTATATTAGATTTAGGTGTAACATGTTAGTCCAGTCCTTCTGGTCCTCCCCTTTAAATGGTCGACATTTTTAAGAATATATTCAAAAAATGTGTTTTTTATTTAAATTCTTGTGGAGTATCTCCCATAAAAGTTCAACATTTTCAAAACAATCGTCTACCTTATATGAAGCGAAGATTATCTGATCGTAAGATTTGTATGGAGTCAGTTGTGAAAATGGACAATATAGGTAAGTCCATTTCTTCTCGAATCTTTTCAATATTTTCTTAACCATGGAAATTTTTAGGCAGCCTCTTTAATGAGAAATTTTTAGCCAAATATCATGCGGTTTCGGAGGACCGCTATTTCGATGAAACTATTTCTTAAATATCAAATATTCCCCAAACTTCATTAACCTACCTTATTCAGCACAGCTGTTGCCAACAGATCCTGATAGATCGTCGGCTCAAAATAATGTTCTGTACGATGGCGACGAAGACCCACACCATTGGTCAAATTCATATCGGCCATTTTGCTGGGACGATCCAGAGCAATCTCAGAGACAGCATATGTTTTCGATAGCGGAGGCATATCAATAGTTTCCGATATGATTTTTTGTATCATATTGCGCAATCGGGCCTCCGACAAATCGGTAAAATCTGGCCCCGGTGTGGATTCACGTGATCCCAAACCATCGCCATGTGATATTGAGCCATTCGTATAGATGTGTGGATGATTGTGGGGGTGGTGATTGTGCTGGACATGACCATTGGTTTTGGGTGGCGCAGGCAAATCTGAAAACAAAGCGAAGAGAAGCAAAAAACAAAAGTTAATAACACAAATAATTAATGGATTGGTTAAACGAAGTGTAAACATTCCGTTTTTAGGTTAGGTTTACTTGGTAAAAAACGAAGCGAAAAAACGAAACGAAATAAAAAATGCAATAATATACGTTAATGACATGCAAATTAAATAATCTGATAATTATGCAGTGTGTGAGTTGCAATGTACGGTCCAACACTAATGGCATATTAAAGTTTTGTGGGTCTGTTTGTTAGATCAATACGAGGGAGGAGAGATAAGTAATGGGAATATTGAAAACAAGATAATACGGACAATATTACTATTTTTTGGGTATATTTTGTTTGGAATGTAAGATTTTACCGGATGTTGAGCATATAAGAGCTCAAGTGGAGAAAATCCGAGCCGGAAAACTACTAGGCTGTTAAACATGCATAGGAAAAATAGTATAGACCCCTGTGAGGCAACATAGACCTCTGGAAGGTATTTCATTCATAGAAATTCTTCAAAAGGGTTTCTTTGTTTAATGGATAAAATAACTGCAGAAGAACCTCCGTGTTAAAAAAGATCTCCGGAGAGACTTCTATGTAGAAAACCATACGAAGGCCTAATTAGAAGAACCTCCAGAAGGGTCTTCATGATGAGAAATCTTTGACAAGGTGTAATTTTTATAGGAGACCTTTAGAAGGTTTTCCTACAAAGAGGCTCTGAGGGTTTTATTTTAGATCACCAAAAGTTCTTCCTAGCAGTGAAAAATTTAAGTAGTATTTCAATTTTAGGTTTTATCGGATATTGAAAAATAAAATATTTTAAAAGAGGTCTTCTAGAAAAAAAACCGTGTAACTACTAGACTGTTAAAAAGTCATAGGAGTTATAGTATAGACTTCTATGTGGCAGTATAGACCTTTCTTTGTATTTTATGGGTAAAATAGCTGCAGAAGGACCTACATGTAAAAAAGACCTCCAAAGTGTCTTCTATGTAGAAAAATCATTAAGAAGAGCTTATATTATAGGAGCATAAAATCCTTTGGCGGAAGACCTTCAGAAGAGTCTCTGAGAGTTTTTTAGGTGAGAAGACCTCAAATAAGATCTAAATTTTAGGCTTCATAGGATTTTGAGGGTGGATTTTGTTTATAGGCAGTCAAAATAAGATAAGACCTCGTAGAGTAGAGAACTAAAGTAAATAAGACCTCCGAAGAGTCTTCTATGTAGAAAAATCATTAGGAAGGGCTGATATTTTAGGAGCATAAAAGTCCTTGTCGGAAGACCTCCAGAAGGCTCCCTGAGAGTTTTTAGCAGATAAGACCTCAAATAAGATATAAATTTTAGGTTACACAGTATATGGAGGGGCTTTTAGACCTCGAAAAGATAGAGTTTTTATAAAAGACTTACAAAATCGATTTCAGTGTAGGGCCTCGTCGAGTAGATAATTATAGTAGTGTCCTAATTTTATAGGATCTAAACAAGATTTATATGCATAGAATACCCTCAGAATATTACAAACGTGCAAAAGATCTCAAGAAGACCTTCTAATTAAGGTCACCTATATAAAGTTATTTCTTTAGAGAACACCGTCTGACGGGTTTCTTTATGTAGAGGACTTCCAGAAGGACTTGAGTGTGGAATGATTCAAGAAGGTCTTTCAGTTATAGAAGAGCTCGTAGAGTAGAGAACTAGAGTAGGGTCTTAATTTCGGAGGACCTAAACAAGAATTTCTATGCATAGAAGGCCATAGAAGGCCAGAAGGAAAAGATCTCAAGAAGGCCTTCTAATCAAGATGACCTGTAGAAAGTTATTTCTGTAGAGAAGGCCTCCTGATGGCGATCTTTATGTACAGGACTTCCAGAAGGACCTGAGTGTGGGAAAGACACAAAATGGTATTTTAGTTAGAGAATATGGTCATTAGACCTTTGCGTAGAGGACTTTCTGAAGGATTTGAGTGCGGAAAAAACTTAAGAAGGTATTTTAGCTAAGGAAGAGAAGTTAGAGAAGATGGTCATTAGTTATGAAGACCTTTGCGTAGAGGACTTTCAGAAGGATTTGAGTGGGAAAAAAACTTAAGAAGATATTTTAGCTATATATTTGTAGAGGATTTTGGAATATAAATATGACTTTAGAGGGAGACGTCATGGATGCTATTAAATAAGTCCTTCAGAAGAGCTTCCATGTACGGAAGACCTCAAGAAGCATTTCAATTTGGGAGGTTTCCATATAAACAAGTAGCCAATCCTGTAAAAGGGGTCTAATACGTAGAGAACAAATTCAAGAGGAATTCTAGGCACAAAAATCCTTCAAACGGGTGTCTACATACCGAAGGTTTTTAAATAGTCTCAAAATATTCTTCGGACCTTCAAGAGTTCTTCCACGTATAGAAGACTTTGAAAAGGTCTTCTGAATGTAGGAGACCTTGAATAGGCCTTCTAAATGTAGACGGTCTTCAAAGGCTTTTTTGGTGCAGAATACTCCTATGCGTATGGAACGTTTGTCTTATGCGTACAGGAGACCTTCGAGAAGCTTATACGTGTACCAAGCCTTTAAAATGTCTACTTTTTATAGAAAAGCGTCAAGAGGTCTTCTAGGCGTATAAGACTATGAAAGGGTTTCAAGAAGTAGTTAGCTTTTCTAGTTTCTAAGAGTAGAAGATAATGTTTTCAGGAGTAGAAGGATTTCAAAAGTTTTTCTCGTGCAGTAAAGCCATAAAAGGCATCCTGGGTGTAGAATACCTTCAACAGGTCTTTGAGGTGTAGAAGGCTCTTCAAAGGCCTAGATTTGGGAGAGCTTCAAAAGATCATCTACAAATAGAAGTCCTTTAAAATGTCTTTGAGGCAAACTTAAAAAATCTTTTAGGGGTAGAAGACCCTTAAGGGAACTTTTAGGTTTGGAGGATCATTATAAAGACTTGCCCATAGAATACCTTTCTTAAGAGGTCTTCCAGTTGGCCTTTAAAAGGTCTTTTAGGCTTAGAAGACCATGAAAGGATCTTCTAAGTGTAGGAGAAGACCTAGAAAGGATTTTTAGGTTTTTTAGTTTGGACCAGGTTTTTATGGACCATAAGTTTTTATTTGGACCAGGATCCATGAAAAAAAATGAGGGTACATACATTTTTCCATTAGGTTTGCAGTACCTCGATATAAAACTACTTCCTCAGTTAATTTTAGAACCATGTAGATCCAATTCCGATAACATAATTCGTATTAAAAATTCACCGTTAGCCTTTGTACTTTGAAGGTCTAGATTAAAATTTGCCCCAGATGCCGTAAAAAAAGGTGGCGCCCAACCGAAAATTTTTCAAATTATTTTTTTTTTTTTAATTTGACCATTAATTTTGGTTTGGTCCAGGATGCAATACCGTGAAATATATTTTTCGAAGACCTCATAAGAATTATGATCAAATTATAGATATACTGAAAAGTTGGCCTTCAAAAGGTCTTGTAGGCATAGAAGACCATTAAAGGATTTTCTAGGTATAGAAGAAGATCTAGAAAGGATTTTTTGATAAGATAAGAGATTTCCAAAATGTCTTCTAGATAAAGAATATCTTCCGAAAATGCTCTTTAACACTGAAGGCCTTCCATTTAAACCTCCAACAACTTCAAAAGTTTTTAGTGGTAAAAAAAAAGTTTTTCTAAATTTTCCAGACTTCGAATGGGCTTCTATTTCGTAGTAGACTGGTTATGCGTTGCTAGATTTATATAACATATCGTTCTATATTCCCTTATCATAACACCCTCGTATCAGCCATCCCTTCATTCATTCATTCATAGATTTAACATAAATTTTTTGCCACCACATTAATATATTTGTTATTTTCAAAAGTTCGACAGACAGTTCGTCGTCGTCCACGACATCATCAATGGCTTGCGAAGTCACAACACAAATAAATAACGAAAAAAAATAATAAATGAGAAAAATACAAGTTAAATACTGAATTTACCTAAATTTACTTTCAAGACATGGACTACAAACAATGCTAATGCTACCACAATTCCAAATATGCCCGTTACCAGGCCAAACATAAAGTCCATGATGGACTGACTGACTGACTGACTGACTGGTCACAACACCTGCTGGTCGGAGTGGTGATGGTGCATAAAAGTGGCAAAAGTAGTTTCAGCAGCAAAATCAGTGGCAGCAACAGTAATGTTGACGCCACCACCATGCAATGATGACGCCACCACCATGCAATTCGTTGTTTTATTTAATTTTTGTTTAAAGGAATTTTGTTTAATTTCTAATTTTCATGTTTTGCTTTGGTACACAATATGGCAAGTTTTGGGTTTTTTGGTATCTTATTTGGTGCTGGAAAAATATTTAAAATATTTCATGTCGATTATTTTCATTCATGGAAACAATCTCCATATTTCATGTTCACAACTTAAGGAAGCTATTTTATTTTTTTTTGTTATTTTTGGACGCATGCATTTTCACGTGTTTTCAAACATTTTTTTTTTATTTTTTTGGGAAATTGTTTATTGTTTTATCTTGATTGTTGTCTTGTGGAATTGTTGCATAAAACGGAGTTTTTTTCTATTTTTGGCCATAATTATGATTTCAAGTTTGTTTGTTTTTTTTTTTTTTTTTTTTTTTTTGTGGAATGGTGGGGCGTTGTACGAATATTGTTGTATTTTGACTTTCTTTGCTTTTTTTCACTTTTTTTTTCAATTTTTCATTAACTCATTTTACAAACACTTAATTTACATTAACCGTAATGACGTTCACCACTCTAACATTTGTGAGCGGATTTTTTCTCCTTAGACGTTTGGGTGTTGGGGTTGCATTACGCGTTTGTTTCAATGACGTCAATTCGATTTAGTTGCTAATTTCTTTATTGATTTTTATTAAAAAAACCGGGAACAGGTTTTTCTCTAATGACAGCCCGTCCATATTTCATGAAATATTTAATTATATATTTCTTTGCATTATTTGATTTAGAGTTCATAAATTTTGCAGCAATTTATTATTAAAATGAATTGCAATCACATTTTAAAATTAAATAGGAAATTTGAAATAAGTATAAAGGTAGAATCGGAAACAGGGTTTCTTAATAAAAAATATAAATTCGAAATTGGCTGCCGTCCAAAATTGATTTGATTTAATAAGGTCTTCTTTATAGTTGTTTGGCTGCGAGAGGGCAGCATGAAGCTCTCCAAAAAAAAAAAAAAAATAAATAAATAAAAAATAAAAAATTTCAGAGGATATTGAAAAAATATAAAAAAATATGTTATAAGGGGGAATGATCGTATAACAGTATTTCTATGTTATTGAAAATTCGCAGGATACGTGTAAAGACCTCTGGGTAGGTATAAATTCTGAAAAAGAGGTTCTTTGTTAAGAAAGCTTCCAAAAGGGAAGGATGCTAAAGTGTCAACTTCAAGAACAGCTTCAATGGGCTTCAGAATATCTTTTTCCCATAGAAGCCCTCTAGAATCTCTTCTGCGAAAGACCTTCAGATGGTCTTTGATGTGGAAAAGACTCCAAAAAAGTTTTTTTTCTGTGAAAAAGACCTCATGAAGGGCAATAAAAAAGAACATAATATTTGAAATCGGTAACAAAAAACTATTACTCCAGTTAATTTTAGAAATGGATCGAATTTCAAATTTAATTCGTATTAGCATTACCCTGTTTACCTTTGTACTTTGGAAACAAATGGAAAATTTTATTGAATATTGAAAAATATAAAATATTTTTTAAACTATTTTGTAGACAATCTGCGGGAGATGTGGTACAGTCCTTAACTTGGGGTGATTTAAAATGTTTTCCAAAAGGGGATTCTTTTGCGTAGAAGGCTTCCAAAAGAGAAAATCTTTACCTCAAGAACGTCCCCAATGTAAGAGAATATTCAAGTTCCTAAGAATAGAAGGGCTTCAGAAGATATTCTTCGCATAAAAGCTCTTTAGAATCTCTTCCATGGAAGATTTTCAGATGTTCTTTGATGTGTAAAAGGCTTAGAGAGAGTTTTTTATTTACGTGGAGGAGGGCAATTTAAAATAAAAGAATATTAGAAATCAGTAAGGAGGACTTCAAACTATTACTTCAGTTAATTTTAGAACTGAATTCAATTTCGAATATATAATTCGAATTAGAAATACCCCGGTTACCTTTGTTCTATGGAGGTCTTCGAATAAATAGAGCTATAAATTAAGATTTGCCTTAAAACAAGGTGGCGCCCAACCAAAAATTTTTAAAATGAAAAGGTTTTCCAATAAGAGAATCTTGGAGTTCTTGAGAATATGAGGGATTCAGAAGATATTCTTTATATGGAAGCCCTTTTGGACCTCTTCTATCACATGAAGGACAATTTAAATCAGCTAAAGCTATACAAATATTACTCCAGTTAATATTCGAACTGAATCCATGGATGTCACCAAATAAATGGAGCTATAGATTAAAATTTGTCCCATTGCCGCATAACTTTTCTTGTGGCGCCCAATCGATTTTTTCTTTTAAATAAAAAAAGTTTTTTTTTTCAATATGATTTTTTACCACTAATTTTTATCTGGTGCATGATCCAGAATAATATAGGGGGTACATAAATTTTGCCATTGGGGTATTGCAACCTCGAAATATTCGTCGAAGACCCCATATGTCTCAGATCAAAATTTTAAAAGAGTAAAAAGGCCATTAAACTATAACTCTAGTTAATTTTAGAACTGGACTCAATTTCAAATGTATCATTACTATAAGAAATAGCTCATTAACCTGTGTACTTTGAAAGTCTCCAGAGCGAAAAATTAAAATTTGCCCCAAAACCGTAAAAAAGGTGGCGCTCTACCGAAAATTTTTAAATTAGTTTTTTTTTTTTTTGATAAAATTGCTGACAATAAGAACCCAAAGGATTTATTATCAAATTTTAGATATGTTGAAAAGCGCCAGTCTATTTTATGTAGTTTAGAAATTTGACATAAAAGTAGCCTCCATTCAGCCAAGACATCAAACCAAATCTCCTGCAATTTGTAATTTCGATATCTCAATAGTTAAAATCACTACTCGCGGAAAAAGTCCATTGCGTAGGGGAGCTATGGCCTGGTGACACCTGATTTCAATAAGTCGAAAGCATAAGTTTCATTTCCCTACAAAGAGAATCGATTCTTGTTCTCAGGACATATAAACCTCCCTGCGAGAACTATTTACTATTGGTACACTATTCGGTATAACACCATATTTAGGGTTAAAATGTAAATTAATGACTTCAGCCACAATTCCTTAAATCATTGGCTGGAATTTGTCTTTTTGGATCTTTGTTATATTTGCCAATGGATCTATTGGCCTTAAAGGTGGCCCGGACCGTTGGGAGGAAACCTTCCTAACCTGACGATTTTCTCTACAACTCTCCTTGGATCCTACATTCCCACAGCTCGTAGGCAGCTTTTCCAAGTAATTTCTCTACAACTCTCTCTTTGGATTCTCTCTCAGTCTGTGTTGCTTTTAGAGATTTCCTGGAAGAATCGGTGATTCCAGCCAACTCGGAACATTGCGACATTGTTTGCATATTGAAACTTCTTTGCTAGCTACAGAGGTGTAATCTTTCATATCGGGTTGACAACTCAAACATATTTAAAAGTAATCCTTCTAGTTTTTATTTATTTCTCTATTTCTTGCATCACGTTTTGTATTAAGCATTTGTTCCTGTTGAGCAGAATCAATCTTAATGGATGAAAATTTTTCAATATAAGTCCAGGTTCTCACATAGCAAAAGTGGCTCTAATTGCGACGTTTCGAACAAATCAAATATTCTTATAAGAATTATAGATTTTTAAAAAAAAATGTTGAACATTTATATTTATGTCACCAAAAGAGAGAGGCCCATCTTGCTCTAGACAGGCAGACATGGATTGAAAGACTCCAAATATCCTAACATAGATTTCGTTCAATCATATGCACCCGCAGAGTTCTCAACAAAGAGTGATTATCGTCCGAACTCAAATTTTCTCGTTTTTACTCGTGAGTGAAACTTGCTCACGACTAGGAGTTCTCGAAGAGTGCGAATTTTACCCCCCACTCAAAATCGAGCAAAACATTTTGTTTTGAGTAAAAAACTCTTATTCGAGTAACATCTATACCCTACACCACAAGGGTATTATGTTTTTGTGCATTTATTTGTAACATGGAGAAGGAAGACCATAGTTACTTTTGAGTATTTTCATAGAATCACTTTCTGAGTCGATTTATGCATTCCAGTCCATCTCTCTGTCCATGTATTTCTGTGAACAAAATGCAGGTCACATTTATTATCCGAATGAGATGAAAATTTACAAACAATATTTATTTGATCCACGGACGAACCCAATTGAAATTAATGAGAATCGGTTCAAATTTAGATATAGCTTCCATATATATATATATCTTCAACCGATTTCGGGTTAATTGTCCATTAAATGTCCAATATCTGTCGAAATGACTTGAATTTTGACACATCCGACCAAATTAAATCCAGAAGCTAGTACATCAAATTTGCTGAAAATCGGTTCAAATAAAGCTTAGCTACCATATATGTTTTATCCGATATGGTGTTGAAATCCCTCACATTCGTAAAATACACTCCACAAGAATGATATTTTGTACCAGATATCAGATAAAGCCCAGCAATACCTTTTTCAATTTTTAGCGAGATCGGTACACTTTATATGACGAGTCCCCTCATTCATTTCAAAATCAGTCTATTAAAAATAAGCCTTTAAATAACTTGCTACTTAAAAAAATATTAGGTCGTCGACTGAATGTGGCATTGCATGCAATTCAAGACACCAATTCAATTTGAAAATCCGCACAAGCAAACGCTCTTATCTCACATGAGATTTGCCAGCAAACAACTGGTTGCACTTGATGCGTTAACTGTCTTCTTGATTTTATTTCTCCAAAGAAAAAAAATATAACATTCATTTTTGGGCCTTATTATGTTAATTGGCCACATAATAGCGGCTGGTTTTCTTTTGACAAGAAAACGTTCGATCAAAAGAAAATTTCAAATTTGACCATTCAGGAAAGTTGCCTGTGTGTGTGACAATGACATTGGTGAGGTAGAGAA